TGTCGCTGAACTTACAGCATGTGCGTTTACAAGAGTCACGGATTGTAAAGTGCTAATGATTAGAAGACCTCTGGCAGTGTTATATTCAACGTGTAATAACAAAATGTATGAAATTACATGCTAAACATTGCGAAATTATTAATAACATTGTGGTGTAATCGTGAAGGTGTTAAAGGGTGATGGTTTATGCTCCTTCACGAGACCAGCGAGGTATTTTGGTTCATTTGTGGCAAATGTGATATTCAGCAGCGATGAGGCACGATGAAGTCACGCATCAAGACGGTGACACGGCTGAGTGCAAGGACCGGAAACCGAATCAACAAAAAGAGCCATTCTAGATTTAAAGCTTTCGTGACTGCAAGGATCCATACTCTTTGGTTCTATTGGGTAAAGTCACGTAGGTAAAAAAAAATAACAAAATCTCCTACCTATAGACTAGCCCGTTTTCTGTCAGATACCTTGCTGCCTTTCACTGGCAAGACCGCCTCAGCAGTACTTAACTCAGCCCAATTGGTCTCTATGGTCAAAGACGTTGTACTGTCCCCTGACGATATCCTTGTCAGCTTCGATGTGGTCTCTTTGTTCACCAAGGTTCCAGTACCTGATACCATTGAAATAATTGAAAATTTGGTCCAACATGGACTAGACCCCGACACACCTGCACTGGTTAGGCACTGCCTCAACAATACCTACTTTACTTGGAATGGCTCCTTCTACAAACAAAATGAGGGTACCCCCATGGGATCCCCCTTGTCACCAGTGATAGCCAATATTTTCATTGAGAAATTTGAATCAGACGCCATCCAGACTTCCACCCTCAGACCTTCCCTGTGGAAGAGATATGTGGATGACACTTTCATCATTTGGCCACATGGCCTCCCAGCTCTGAACCTTTTCCTACACCACATCAATGCCAGACATCCCGCCATCAAATTCACCATGGAAGTGGAGAAAGATGGCAAGCTACCATTCTTAGATGTTCTGTTTGAGAGGAGACCTGATGGCTCATTGGGGCATTCTGTCTACAGGAAACCCATCCACACAGATTCCTACTTGAAACCTGATTCCCACCACCACCCAGCCCAAAAGAATTCTCTAATCAAAACTTTATACCATAGGGCTCATTGCATTTCGGACCAACACCACCTGACCAGTGAATTAAAACATGTACATCTGGGCCCTCAAAAGGAATGGTTACTCTGACCGTACCATCCGCCAAGCTGTTTCTCCCTCCATACAGAAACAACCACTTGATACTCCGGTCAAAACCCTCACACTACCATATATAGCAGGCGTTACTAAAAAGATTTCCAAAATTCTAAACAAACACAAGATCCAGGTCCGGTTCAATACAGTACACAAAATTCGTGATCTGATCCCATCCGTGAAGGATGTCATTCCTGACTTACAGTACCCCGGGGTTTACAAATTGAGTTGTACCTGCGGTGATTGCTATATCGGGGAGGCAAAGTGACATGTCTCTGACCGAATTCGCGAGCACAAATCAGATTTGAAACATGGCAAAACGAATTCTTCTGCCGTGGCTGATCACTGTTACAACGCTGTGGGTGATCACGATATAATTTTCTCCGATACCAAGGTTCTTTGCAAACCCACGGGTTTTTATCAGAGATTTGTTCACGAGGCAATTCAGATCTACAAACACAGACACAATTTCAACCGAGAAGATGGTTTCAAATTAAGCAATTTGACTTCCATGATTAACTGGACTACCATGGTCAGGGGTCAGCAACCAAAATAGCAAGAAGAGCCATATTTGTTAGAAATTCAAGAGCCGCACTGCAGTCCTTCAAGAGCCGCATGCGGCTCCAGAGCCGCAAGGTTGCCGACCCCTAGCCCTAGTGGCAGCACATGGGTGCACAAGGTCACGGTTCGACCCAGTGGCGTTGTAATTACATTATGCTGGTAGGAACCTCCTGGTTACACCAGCCCACAGGGGGTTATTGTGTCTGTCCGTCGTGCATCCAAAAATGGGAGGGATGGGGCTGGGTGGAGAGAAGCAGGGTGGGGAGCTTGCTGGGTGGGGAGGGAGGGGCTGGGTGGGGAGGGTGGGTAGGGGCTGGGTTGGGAGGGTGGGGCTGGGTGGGGAGGGGAGGGGAGGGTGGGGCTGGGTGGGGAGGGTGGGGAGGGGCTGGGTGGGGAGCGTGGGGTGGGGCTGGGTGGGAGGGGTGGGGCTGGGTGGGGAGGGGCTGGGTGGGGGGTGGGAGGGGTGGGGCTGGGTGGGTAGGTGCTGGTCACCCCGTGGTGCCCTTATAAAACGCAACGTTTAACCTACTCACGCCGGCTTGTGCCCGCCCTCACGGTCGGGTATATTTACGGAATACACCACGTGGTGCCGCCGTTGACCCTGGCCATTGACCGAGCAACCCAACGTTCCTTCCAGCTCCCTCCACAGGAATGTGTTGTTCTTTTCCACTGTTGCTGAAAACATATCTCTAGGTGGTTGTCAAGGGGGCCCTAACTCGTACATTTGGCCACCCCCCCCTTGGCTCCCCCCCTGGGCAAAGGCACGCCTGCCTGCACACTCGTTACGCTCCTGGGTCGGTCCCAGAGCGGCTGCCCTAACGACCACCGCACCAGGGCGTCTTCTTCTTTCGTTCAGCTGATGTAGATGCAGAGCAATAACGACAATTTTACATTCTTGGTTCTTTCGGTAAAGTCACCTGATGAAGGCCTGATGAAGACCGCTTGTGTTGCGATCGAAACATCGTGGTTTTTTATTTTTTTTATTTTCCATCGACGTGACTTTACTGAAAGAACCAAGAATATGAATTCGGGCAGTCACGAGTGTATTGCTCTGATGTCTCCTTCGCATTTGGACATATTGGCGGTACAAAGGTGCATGTAATATTTTAAAAAGCAAATGTTTAGCAAATGTTTTCCCACTTTATTTATTTATTTCCCCGCGATTCGCAACCCCGGTCAGAAAATCTTGCGGGGTAGTGCGTCAAAATCAGTTCTCGTGATGTCGAAGCAGTCGGAAGACGAAAGTTATGAGCAGCTGAACACGAAGCTTCACAGTCTGTTGAATTATAGCATCCAGCATGATGACGTTTGGCTCAGCGCTTTGACTCGTGCCCTAGACTTGGTCGGATGGCGAGGGTTAGGTTAGGGAAACACGAGCACTGACCGTTCATGAACAATTCTGCCTTTATTGGAAAACCTTGTCCTTAAAAAAGCCTTTGGTTTTTCCACGAGTTTTATGTTTTGACCTCATTTATTGTTTCCATTGACATAACCCTAACGACCCCGACTTGCCATGCTATCATGGGCGGGTCAAGATGACGACGAAGATGATGCCCCAGTCCCACCTGAGGCTCGTAAGGCAACGCAAGAAAGCTGCTGCTGTTGCTCCAGGCGCTCGCCTTACAAGTCGACCCAAAAAATCGCATCTCTCGAACCCAAGTCAATGGTAAATATTGAACTTTTTTTAAACAAGTCTCCGTATACTGAATACACCTTCGAATCGCGTCTAACTTGGCGACAGGGTCAATGAAAGACTGATAAACAGGTTTACTAATTCAAATTTCCATTTCAAAGTGTTTTATGAGGACCGGTCTGTTACGCTGCACCAGCCTACCGCCAATTCGTCCGTTTGTGGATCGGGCATTGCGTCGTTAGGGGCCGTCCATAAATGACGTCACGCACCTAGGGGGGGGGTCAGACATTTGTGACGATGTGTGATGAGGGTGGGGGGGGTTTGAGAAATGTGACGTCACATCAAAATGCGCAACTTTAAATAAATATAGACAACACGTTCTACTTAATTAAATAGACTTTTTCATAAATGTTTTCTCCTACAACATCAGAGTGCAGCGGTACATTAAGTACGCACTACAATGACAACATTTTAAAGCGATTTGAAGCATGTTTTATTTGAGGGGGAGGTGGGGGGCAGAGCTTTGTGACGTCATATTTGAGGGGGGGGTCTGACTTTTTGTGACGCCATGTGACGATGGGGGGGGGGGTCAAAAATCGTCCAAGAGCGCGTGACGTCATTTATGGACGGCCCCTTATATGTTGATACGGTCTGTTCTGGATGACCACAGTCGCTAACACTACTGGAGAGGTTTTTTTTAAATATTTCCCATTTGTGCATCAGGTATCCGCATCTTCCGCCATGGTTTGTGCAAGCGGATGCAGTTTCGGTAGGGGTGGACCATGAGCAACTTCGTGGAAGATTAAAAAAAAAGATACCCAGGGGATCTTCTGAGTTGGGTCTTTCACTAGGTAGTGTTTGTCTGACTTCGGGCAAGGTGCTGGCCAACCCACCCCTTCGTGTACCCTTCCGGCCTTCATAGGTGCTCGCTAACAGCACTTGCCCCAGCAGTCTGTTGCAGGCTACACGGGTGATCTTTATCTTTGCACCTTTAACATCACAGACGCTACCCGCTAACAGCACTTGCCCCAACAGTCCGTTGCAGGCTACACGGGTGATCTTTGCCTTTGCACCTTTAACATCACAGGCGCTACTCGCTAACAGCACTTGCCCCGGCAGTCCGTTGCATGCTACACGGGTGATCTTTGTCTTTGCACCTTTAACATCACAGGCGCTACCCGCTAACAGCACTTGCCCCAGCAGTCTGTTGCAGGCTACACGGGTCATCTTTGTCTTTGCACCTTTAACATCACAGACGCTAATCGCTAACAGCACTTGCCCCAGCAGTCCGTTGCAGGCTACACGAGGGGGGGGGGGGGTATCTCGATTTGAAGTTTTCGTGACTGCAGGGATCCATACTCTTTGGTTCTCTCGGTAAGGTCACGTAGCAGGTAGAAAATATAAAATAAATTATGATGATTGCTTGTGTTGCAATCGAAACGTCGTGATTTGATTTATTTTATTATATACCTACTTGACTTTACCGAAAGAACCAAAGAGTACACGGAGGGGGATCTTCGTCTTTTGGAACTCGCACGTGGGGCGTGCGGGGGCCTTCGGGGGGAGGTCAAAGGTCGGCGGCCTTCGGGGGGGTCAAAGTTCAACGACGACGGCGGCCTCATCCCTGCTCAAGATGGCGGACGAGGGGCAGCAGCAGCAGGGGGAGGAGGAGGAGGCGGCGGCGACGCCGGCAGCAGCGGCGGCGGCGCGGGCAGCCGCTCAGGCCAAAGCGCGGCCCAAGGTAACGGCGGCAGAGAAGGCGGCGAGGGAGATGCGGGGGATGGCGAGACGCGAAGGCCCGGAGATGGGACGGGGGTGGGTCGCGAAGTGCCCGTGGTCAATGAGCCTGGCCAGGCTCTAAGGCCTCGCAGCGGACTCGCAGACGCAGCGAGACGTTCGTCCTCGCAGGCGCAGCGAGACGTTCGTCCTCCCCCCCCCACCCCTGCCCTGTGTGGTTGTCTCGTGTGGCTGAGCGGTGGCGTAAGCGGTTCGTGGTGGCGCGCAGTGGTTAGCGAGTTGCACTCCACGAACCTGGCGGCCAGAGTTAGATTTCCGCTCACGGCCACCAAAACCAGTGACGTTTATTTGATCCGGTCTTGTGCCTCCTCAAACGAGTACCCGGTGCGGTGTGTAAACAACGCCACTCGGGGAGACAAAGGCGGCCGGGCGTGGTGCTGGCCACCCACCACATCGCGTGCCGTGCCGGCCTTCATAGGTGCTGCTCGCAAACAGCACTTGGCCCAACAGTCTGTTAAGGCTACACGGGGGATCTTTGTCTTTGTGTGTGTGTGGAGCGAGGGGGAGCGGTGGTGGAGCGGTTAGCGCGTTGTGTTGCGAAGCGGGCCACCCGAGTTCGATTCCCGCTCACGGCCAACATCGGTGACAATTATCTGAACCGCTCCTGGGCCTTCCCTAGGTCGACTCAGCCCCAAATGAGTATCTGATGCGGTGTGTAAAACATCGCCAACTGGGGATACAAAGGCGGCCGGGCGTGGTGCTGGCCACCCCCTAGTGTGTCGTGCCGGCCTTCATAGGTGCTCGCTAACAGCACTTGTCCTAAAAAGTATGTTAAGGCTATTACGGGGTGGGGAGGGGGGTCTTTGTGTCGTGAGGGATTACGTAACAAGGGGATTATTCTGCAATGATTGTTGTGATTTGATACGTGAACCACCCGGCCAACGTGTTTAGCAGCTCACAAGCAGCAAACGTTAAGCAGGGGACCGCAGTGGCGGTCCCCTGGAGTTCTCCCCGTAGTCGTGTGAATTTTTCTCTGGGTCCTCCGGGTTTCCCCTCCACATTTAGAAACATGCGTTTAGAGTACCTGGTTGCTATAAATTGCCACGTAATACGCCACTTCGTTGAGCTATTATTTGTGGTCACGTCGTTATAAAAAAAGAGCGATATAGTTCGGTGAGCATTACCTGGTAAAATAATCAAAAATAGTGGCGTGCAGTCCGCAAGCGGCACTTGTGCATAATTCTGCCACCCCCTCTCCCCTTGTGCTCCGAGGTAACTCGCGCACACCTCGGCGTCGTCGCACCACGTCAGGATGAGCTGCGTCCCTGCCTCACTGCTTACGCGTGCCCGTCATTTCTGTTTTTAGAAGATCCAGTTCGCGGACCAACTGCAGGAGCTGAGCAAGCGGCCCATGAAGACGGGAGTGGCCGCGTTCTCGCGCTCCATCTCGCAGTCTTCGGCAGACAGCTACAGCTCCGGTGACTTCCGCACAGCGAGACACACGAGTCGTACGGCAGCGAATGAATGGACGTGGAGTTTTGTGTTTAATGATGCCGACCACAAGCGTTCAGTTCACTGCGAGTGGAGCAGACAGCGGCACGTAGTATTTTACGACGATATACGTGTACGTCTTCAGTTTTTCTTCATATTCCGGAATCGGAATAAAATCGGAAGAATTTTTATTTATTATTTTATCGGCATCGAGGCTCTCACAAGGCCATGCGGGAGTGCGTGTGGCTCAGTTTGGCGCCAGATATCATAGAGTACAGTTTTGACGCTACAATTCTCTGCGACGAGTCTAATTCCTTTAAAAACAACAGCATTCCGAGATTCAGTGGTAAAAGGGACCCACTTTGCAACTTACAGACATTCCAGAACAGGAAAAGGTGAATACACCCACTCACAGTATTAACCAGGATGGCCTGCAGAGTTCGATCAGCGAATCCCCGCTCCCAACGGTGACCATGGTTTACTGCAACTGGGCCCGGCTTCCTAAATAGGTGTCATGGCATCACAGGAACAACCAATCGGATTCAAGCCAGGTATTAACCATGATGTCATGATGCCTGTTTAAGAACCCAAGGTCATTAGCACGGTTATTCTGATTTCCTGGCTTCTGAGGTTGCTTGGTGCAGTTTGAAGTAAACGTAGCGTATCACACTGCATAATATGACTGTGATAATTGTTTTTTAACTTGGTGAATTGAAACAAAATTTGGCATATGAAACGCTTCTACACGTGATAATTTACTTTGTTTGGCTGTGTTGCGTGGTGGAGTGTTTCGTGATAAACAAAATTGCCCAGATCATTACGTGGCCTAACCCAAAAATCTATGACGTGTGTCAGGTAAAGCATGATAATATTAATGATGAAACATCTGCGTTGACTGATTCATTGCTGGTTCTTGTATTTGCAGCGTCTTTCTCAGAGAGCGAGGATGAGGTTTCCCCGAGGGAGAAGCGACAGTCGAACTCCAAGAGCAGCTCAGACTTCTGTGTGAAGAACATCAAGCAAGCCGAGTTCGGCCGCAGAGAGATTGAGATTGCCGAGCAAGGTAGGGAATGATAATCGTAGCGAGAGCGACAACGGTGATTTGTGTTTGATGGAGCCGCCCTCCTTCATGCCCGGACGTTTCAGCGCTTTGCACACAATAAAGGGCACCCCCACAATGGCAGCTGCCCCGGTGGGCACAAGGTGAACTCAGAACCTGGTCAGCAAGTGAGTATTTAGCTGCCAATAGGGGAGGGGGGAGGGGCGATGATTCGCCGTGTGTAATTCTAATTGAGTAATTTGTAGGTAATTTTTCAACATTTGGCTGTTTTGTCAAATACCAGTTACATTGTATCGATGCTTTTTAGCTATGGGAGAAACTTGGAGGAGAAAACCCCATGCAGAACAAGGAGAGGACATACAAATTCCACGCAAAAAGGCGGCCGAGTCAGTGGCGTAGTGGTTAGTGCTTCTTGCTGCGTGCTGCAAGTGTTACCATGGTGCTTCCGCCATCCTGCCACCCAATGAAAATGAATGAATGAATGCACCATTGCAGAGATGCCGGCTCTGATGGCGCTGAGGAAGCGAGCCCAGGGGGACAAGCCCCTGGCTGGAGCCAAGGTGGTCGGCTGCACACACATCACGGCGCAGGCGGCGGTGAGCCCACACCCTCGCCGTCAAGCTCGCGTGAACTATACGGCATCCGTGGGCCCCAGGTCGGCCGTGGTCGAGTCTTTGGTTTTGTGGTATATTCCGATTCTGATGGGCGCTGCCACAGTGGTGTGGAACAGTTAGCAGCAGCAGGGGGTCGAACCAAAAAAATGTCAAAACGGAGTAAACCAGTAATTGCATGAACCAAAATTGAAAACCAAACCTTCCATCAAATGTCCTGCTCTGGAATGAAACCCCTCCCCTACAAAAAGAGCATTTGGTTACTGGTTTAAATGAGTTCCTTCATAAAAAATTGTGCTTTATAGATTCACTAATTACTCTAGTGGAGACGTTTGCCACGGTCAGTTAGGTCGCTCGGGAGCTACCAAAGTAGTGCAACGGTCAGGACACTGGACCAGAGTAGTTGGCTCGATTTAAATCTCCTGGCCACAGGGCCGTCCATAGGCAGGTGTGGGCCCCTTCGACCCTTTAAAACTAAACTGGAAGTCAGTTTAACACGTAGGCTTTCGCGACCAACGTGACACTTTTTTTGCTGATTGGCCGTGTCGGGTGGTGGAGGGTTACGACACATTTATAAATAAACGCGATCTAACCCAAAAACCTTTATTATGAATAAACTGGAAGTATTACATCTGATACCGTGACGTCGAAACGCGGGGCCCGGGGCGGTCGCCATGATTCACCGGACGGCTCTGCCTGACATGACCTTCTGCCACCGGACAGCTCTGCCTGGCCATGGCAGTTGAAACAATGGGAGGATAAGTTTATCAGCTCACCATCACCTCTGTCCACCCAGCAGTTTGCGTTTAGTATGGGTATGCTCACTTTCAATGCATCCGATCAACGTGGAAGAGCACGGCAAGTTCTTTCGTCAATGGCGTGAGCAAGCAATTAAGGGCCACACCTTTACTTTTGTACTTAAAAGAGTTTGGTTTGTGATGCTAATGCAATGTCATGTACGATGCTAATGTTGTGTCGCGTGAGACACTAACACCGCGTCGTGTGTATGCGCAGGTGCTGATAGAGACTCTGTGTGCCCTCGGGGCGCAGTGTCGCTGGGCAGCCTGCAACATCTTCTCCACACACGATGAAGTGGCGGCTGCGCTTGCGGAGTCCGGTGGGAATGCGAGCAAATCCCACTCTCCCATACTACTCGACTAAACTATTAAACAATTTATATTTTACTAGGTAAGGCCCACATATAGCTCTTTTTCAGAAGCGACCTGGATATCACAAATGATAGCTCATCGAAGTGGCTTATGTGGGAATTTCTAGCAGCTAAATACTCTAAACGCACATTTATAAATGCACGTTTATAACCGGAGGACCCAGAGAAAATACACATGACCACGGGGAGAAGATGCAAACTCCAAATATACAAGCATCAGGGTTGGGATCGAACCCATGACCTCCTGTTTGCCAGGCGAGGTAGTTAACATCTCACTGCCACCGTGGCACCACCACAGGAGGTGGCAGTGGCTGACGCTCATGCTTCACAGCATAAAGTGCCTGGATTCCGCTCCCAGCTTGCATGCATTTCTGTTCTGCATCGGTTTCCTCCGGGTTCTCTGGTTCCTCCCGTAGATAAAATAAAAATAGAGTGAAACCTTGGATTGCGAGCATAATTCGTTCCGGAAACGTGCTCGTAATCCAAAGCACTTGTATATCAAAGCGAATTTCCCCATAAGAAATAATGGAAACTCAGATGATTCGTTCCACAACCCAAAAAATACTGTATTCATATAAAAATTATTAATACAAAATACCTTTTATATTTTTATTATTTAAAGTAATCAAATTTATTAGTTACATTTAATCGTGGCTGGTGTGAGGGAGACGAGAGAGAGGAGAGGAGGGTTATTGTGTTGGACGACTTTCACTTGCAGTACAGTTACAAAAGAACAGTCACTACACTTGGACACAATAAAAAAATGCTTTACGCACACACACGTGGTCACTACACTATAGTAAGCAGTATACGCTCGCACGGATGTTGACTATAAGAGTGAGGCACGCCAACTGAGACCGAGCATTGGAGATGATTACCCACAATCCCGCAGCGAGAGAGAGAAGAACCATTGGCTCAGTTGTGATCACGTGACGCTCGGCAGACAAAGCGTATACTGTACGTACTGCTCGTATTGCAAGACATTGCTCGTTTATCAAATTATTTTTTATTTTACAATATTTGCTCGTCTTGCAAAACACTCGCAGACCAAGTTGCTCGCAATCCAAAGTTTCACTGTATACCAATGCTGAAAAATTAGCCGCACAATTATTTGACTGGTGATACATGTCGCGGCACACTCCTCAAAGAGAGTCTTGACACTCGGGCGTTTCTGGATGAATACACGTAAGAATAACAGTAATACAAATTGGGAGAATTCCCTCCCTGCTCCAACATTAATCGATTCCTCTGTCCTCACCCCCACGGGCTCCATCATCATCACTCTGCTAGCAAAAGCCAGATGGCCTGCTCGCCAGTGGCCACTGTGAGCTTGGGTGTAATCTTATACTATTCCCTTTCATCATCATCATCATCATCGTCAGCCATGGTCAATCCACTGCTGGATGAAGGTCTCTGCAAGCCGCTGCCACTTCCCACGATGCAACAATCCATCCAGCACCTGCACACTAAACGATTTAGTTGTTATTTTATCGACCGTCACCCCTGTGAGTAACTTGTCCTGCCGGAGCCCATTTTGCTTCACACTTTTTAATGATCTCATTAACCTGTGTACGTTTCTCTAATCCACGTGCTCCTTTTTTTTGTGTGCGTGCATCTCTCCATGCTTCTTTTGTGTGCATGTTTCGCTCTTTGCCCGAATCACCTTGCACCCTGTTGGCATTACCCTGCCATTAGGCGACGATGATTGCTGCTCTGGGGTACTCATTTTGAATGACGTCAAGAGAACTTTACATCCACAGTGAAGGGTGCGGCGTGTATAAACACGTAGATTTTTATTATTATTATTTGATGCAAAAACACTTGGTGAAAGAGTCGGTTGTACAAAGTAAGTCTCCATAAAAAAAAGTATAGAAATAATCAGACGAGGTTTTTTTTTTAGGTTGATTGATAGTTCTGACATGTTTATGAACAAAACACAAACTTTTAGGAATATTGTACCATAATCTACAAATGTTTATTTTATACAACACAAATACAGCCTTAATGGCATTGGCATGGCAACTTCTTATTTTAAAAGGTAGTGAGTGGGGGAACAGAGTTGGGTACTCTCAGAATCCGAATGAAGAGCACACCAGAGTGACTCAGCATGTTCTTCTCTTGCAGGCTTCTCGGTGTTTGCTTGGAAGGGAGAGGCAGAGGATGACTTCTGGTGGTGTATCGACCGCTGCATTAACGTAGAGGGCTGGCAACCGAACATGGTCTCCAACGCACCACACCCACACCACGACACATGCCGCACACACACACTCCGCACAGAAAGACAAAATAAAGACAAAGATCCCCCGTATAGCCTTAACAGACCGTTGGGGCAAGCACCTATGAAGGCCGGAACGGCACACGAGGGGGTGGGTGGCCAACACCACTCCCGACCGCCTTTGTCTCCCCAGTGGCGATGTTTACACACTGCACCAGGTACTCATTTGAGGCTGAGTCGACTTAGGGGAGGGCCAGGACTAGTTCAGATAATCGTCACTGGTGTTGGCCGTGAGCGGGAATCAAACCCGGGTCGCCAGGTTTGTAGCACAGTGAGCTAACCGCTACACTACCGCTCCCCACCCACACCCCCATGCATGCCGCACACACATCCCAAACATCCCGCACACACACCCCACACATTCCACACACACATTTCACACACACTCCACACATTTCACACACACACACCCCACACATTCTACACACACACACTCCCCACACACACGCCCAACACACGCACCCCACGTACACACCCAACACATTTCACACATACACCCCACACATGCAGCACACAAACCTCACACATCCCAAACACACAACCAAAACATTCCCCATACGCACACATAGTCCAGGTCTATTGATGGTATCATAGGCCTTGACCAAGTCAATAAAGCAGAGATGTAGATCCTGTTGAAATTCCCTATACCTCTACTGTAACAGATGGACATAGAATATGGGGTCCATGCAAAACCACCCTGGCCTTAAACCACATCACCGTGCTTGGCAAGGCGAAGTTGAAAAATCCTTTCAAAACACCTATCCCGGAACACTGCGAAGGAAGATGCCCCGGTAGTTGTTACAATCAGTGTGGGCGCCCTTATTAAAAATGGGGACCACCAGGGCATACGCACACACCACATACTGCACACACACCAAGGCACCTGTTCCCTCCCTGAAAGGGTCGTCATCTGTACACGGCATTGGCTGAGTGTGTATTAGTCTAGCCATGTGTGAGCAGTTGGTGCATTACAAACTGTCAGTAGCTTGGTAACAGCAGCGACGCTATGCATCACATCAGTATACTGGTGTGTGTTGCCAGCTGGCTCAACGGTAGAACGAGTGCCTCGCAATCAGAAGGTTGCGACATCAAATCCTGTTTGGGGGGTTGACTCATTCCATCATCCCTCCATGGTCGATCAAAACGAGTAACACTTTTAAATTTTGATTTAAAGCTTTCGTGACTGCAGTAATTCATATTCTTAGTTTTTTCGGTAAAGTCACGTTGAAGAGAAACAACAAAATAACAAAATATATATAAAACAATAAAAAAATTCTCACGACGTTTCGACCATAACTCAAACGGTCATCATCAGGTGTGTCGGTTTGCATAAATTAATTTTGAAAACGGCATATTTATTTTTTATTTATATAAAAATAACGTTTGCGTCACGCGCAACGATTGGCTGTTTGCCAGGACTAGTCCATCTATTTTTTGAAAAGAGGAGGGGGGAGACGAAATTTGTTTTTATGTATGCTGTCTGAAAGCCACTGTAAGCATGAACAATCAATCAAGAACTGAAATGATTTATCAAATCTTTCCAATGATTGCTAAGATAGAATCCATCTTCTCGGTTGAAATTGTCTCTGTGTTTGTATATGTGGATAGCCTCATGAACGAATCTCTCATGGAAGCCAGATGGCTTACAAAGAACCTCCGTCTTGGAAAAGTCAATGGCATGTGAGCCTACTGAATTAGAACAATGATCTGCTACGGCCGAGGTGTTGGTCCTACCGTGTTTAAGGTCTGCTTTATGTTCACGAATGCGGTCCGAGATATGGCGTTTGGTTTCTCCAATGTAACTACTACCACAGAGGCAACTTAGTTTGTAGACACCAGGGTATTGTATGTCCGGAATCACATCTTTTACAGACGGAACCAGATCACGGATTTTATGTAATGTGTTGAAACGGACCTGGATCTTGTGTTTATTCAAGATTTTGGAGATCTTTTTTGTGATCCCAGCAATGTAGGGTAAAGTGATGGTTTTGAAAGGCTCCTCAAGAGGGTTCTTCTTCATGGTTTGAGTGATAGCTTTGCGGATTGTATAGTCGGAGTAACCATTAGCCCTAAGAGCTTGGTGTACGTGCTTGAGTTCACTGCTTATGTGTTCCTGGTCGGATATGCATTGGGCTCTATGATAACGCAAACGTTATTTTTATATAAATAAAAAATAAATATGCCGTTTTCAAAATTAATTTATGCAAACCGACACACCTGATGATGACCGTTTGAGTTATGGTCGAAACGTCGTGAGAATTTTTTATTGTTTTATATATATTTTGTTATTTTGTTGTTTCTCTTCAACGTGACTTTACCGAAAAAACTAAGAATATGAGTAACACTTTGTGAGGAAGGTCAATGGGCAGATTTGCCTCTGCAATAGAAATGTGCAATTTTCACCACTGGCTGAGGGCAGTGGACAGGAGATGAGTTCCGCCTCAAATGCTCATTTGAGCAGGAATTCGCCAAGTCGTTGGGTGTGATAGCGATGGTTTTTGCGTGTTTTACCGCGTGGTGACGGTGAGATGGTGACGCCTGTGCCGATAGATCCTGGATGACGGCGGGGACCTCACCCACTGGATGTACAAGCAGTACCCGTCAATGTTCCGCACTGTGCGGGGCATCGTGGAGGAGAGTGTCACGGGCGTGCACAGGTGCTTCATACACAACAACAACAACAACCGCCATTCGCCACTAAGTGGCGGTGATGTCAACACGGCGCTTGTGCCAGGCTATTTGCACTTTCAGGCCACGTTACGTGTCGAATGCCCGCTGGCAGGGGTTCCTGGGACAGACCTAGGTGCCATGGGTTGAATAACTGAGATGACTGGACGATGCACCACCTGTGCCCCCCTACTGTGCTGTGTTTTAGCCGCCTGGCTCAGTGGTAGAACGAGTGACTCGCAATCGGAAGGTTACGATGTATAATCCTGTTTGGGGGTTGACTCATTCCATCATCCCTCCATGTTAGATAAAAACGAGTACCACTTTGTGAGGAAGATCAATGGTGGCCGTCCTATTGGCAGACTTGCCTCTGCAATAGCAATGTGCAATTTTCTCCACTGGCTGAGAGCCGCCTTCCTAAAACATAGCACAGATTGTCACCATCACGACTGCTACGCGTGTTTTATTCAGGAAAGCCTCGCCCAAGCCTCGAGACTCAATTTCAGGAGGGTCCTGTTAAGTTTTTATCTAGTAGGGGACGATGATTGCTCTGTGTTTCTCTTAAGTATTTTTTCTGCCTAGGGCCGCTCCCCCCTGATTGCAGTTTGTCCCTTTGCCGCACAAGGTGACTGCAGCAACCTGTAATTGGACATTATTCTGCCAGTCAAGAGCGATGATCGCTCTTCTCTGTGTCATCCCAATTGAGTAATTTGCAGTGTAATTCTTCAAATTTGGCAATTTTGGACCTTGACGCCGGCGCACAACAGCCTACTCTTATTCGCATGACGTCACAGGATTGTTAACGAGTGCAGTGGACGGCAGGTGCGTTATGGTTTGGGTAGATATTGGAGATTGCTGCGATTCTACTGTGCAGCGGCTGCGAGATCTGGCGTTGGGTAGAAAGCGTCGGTAGCAAGGGAGGTGTGGTGGCGCCAGCATCTTCGTGCACGATGACAACTTGATCCTAAGTGTTAACCAGAGTAGCCTTCCGCATTCAAACCACAAATCTCTACTACAGGCTGGTTAAAGCACTACCACTGGGCCACGTTGCCGCTCCATAGAACGACGTTGCCCCTAACGCCATCTTGAACTTGGCTGAATGCTACCGTGGCATTGCACGCGATTGTTAAATGCTCCTTGTGGTGGTTGCCGTGTGTTTGTGTGCAGGCTGTACCAGCTGTCCAAGGCCGGCAAGCTGTGCGTGCCAGCTGTCAATGTTAATGATTCGGTCACCAAGCAGAAGTTTGATAACCTGTACAGCTGCCGGGAGTCCATTCTTGATGGGTGCGTAGGGACTCTGAGCGCAACTCACACTGATAAATGTTAACGCGTGTTGTGCGTTCTATGTATTTGTATATATATATCTCTAACCTGGAAAATATCCCTTGAGGTGGAACGGCTCATTTGCAACGGTGTCCAGGGTGTCAAGGGATGCATACATAGCAAATACGTAATGACAAATATGGTAAATACGGTAAGGCCTCGTTGTTGAAAAACTGGAGAAAGAATTCGCGAATTATAGATACGGTATATTTATATAGGAAAAAGGGGGTTAGATTCTCGTGTCCGACAACATACAAGAGAAAATAAAAATGTTTCAAAATATTCATCCTCTACTCTGCACATAAATAGCATCCGTATACTTAATTAAATTGTACGATGATACAAATAGATAATAACACAAATAATACAACAAAATATAATACATTCAACAAATTAATACATTTTGCCTGAACATTTGGAAGTTTAATTTACCTCAACGCATAACGTCGGGGTCACTTGAACGTTAACGACACGCCACCTAGGCGTCCATATGGCACCTCAACGAGTGGACGGCTAGATGCACACGCCAATGCTGCGTCTACTGCACATTTGCGCCGTGCGTGAGCGCGGCGAGTGAGTGTGTTACACAATGGCTTGGGTGCACCCACATGGGGGCCACAATGTACAACTGCACCAGCACCCCTCCGCCATGATGCAACGTTGCGCAAATCGCAAATAGTCAAGAGGAAAAGATGCAACATCTGGAAACCAGTATACAAATATGAAATTGCGAATAATCTAATTTCGTGAAAAATTCCACAAATGAAAAGGTTTTACTGCGCGTAAATATCCATACACACATACATAGCAAACGTCAAAGAAATATGCCTAAAGAATACACGTATTATTAAGCATGTTGAACTTTTTTCGCACCGTACGTAGCCAACCGTGCTAACAGACTGTAGGGGCAAGTGCTGTTCACGAGCACCTAATGAAGGCTGGCACAGCACAAGAGGGTTGGGTGGCCAGCACCACACCCTCCACCTTTGTCTCCCTCGTGGCGATGTTTACACACCGAACCAGGCACTTATTTAAGGCTGAGTCGACCTCGGGGAGGTCCGGGACCAGTTCAGAAAATCGTCACCTGGTGTTGACCGTGAGTGGGAATCAAACGCAAACCGCTACACTACTGTTCCCCATAGAAAGACAAAGACACACATCAACATATAAACATTGACACTCACGTACATATACCTAGCAATCGAAAACAGGCCACATATATCGAAAACAGGCCTAACAGTTGGTGTCACCCGGTGCGAATCGCACCGGGTGACACCATCAAAGGGGGTGACACCAAAATGACTGTCTATAATATTTGTGTGCAGTGTTTCAGCAGAATTTTTTTTTTAATAAAAATATCGCCGTAGTTTTAACAACAAAAACATTTTTCGTAAGCCCAGCTTACATGTACTGTATCGATATACCTACAAGGCTAAAACTCTGTGCTAACTTACTTTTTGAACCTTCTAATGCGCTCCGGTCAGAGCTGTCATTGTTACCCAACTACGCTTCAAGTCACGTGGTTTCGTCTGCACGCGCCACTAGCACGCGCTGTTGTTTTTGTCGCTGCTGGCGTTTTTATAGTCGCTGATTTTGTCTCATTTTCTGGTGTTTTAGCTACAATATTGTGGTAATTAGTATTTGTGAACCTATATCAATAACTATTTTGAGAATGAGGTAGTAATTAAAGGAAAAGGAGAGAAATAAAAAAAGGTTTCCACTCAGTTACTAATGTTGTAACTAATAATGTTGTCATTCAACGTAGAAAGATTGTACGAAATAATTTTGTTAGTATTCATATCATCTAAGAAATATTACATTTAAGCAATTTACAATTATTTCACATGTTATTTTATGATTAAAATTGATAATACACTTACATGTAGAACGATTATTATTGAATATATAACTCTTTGATAACTAAATAAAGAAATTGACAATTTAAAACATGAAGTGGGGGGAAACGCTATGTTTCTTGATACATGTTTAGAAATATAACTTAAAATCTTAAAATATTTTTTTTATTTTAGTCATTTTTTATTTTCTTTAAAAGCATCACTGCCTTGCAAATATATATCTGATTAATGTAGTTCTTAAATGTTTTAACGGTTTTTTTTACTTCGAATTCTATTGTTTTCTTACCGAATATTTACTTTAACCACATGAAGAGACTATGTAAAAGTACACTTAGGCTGTACGTATGATATTGTAATTTGAAGGTGTAATTTGAATTTTGCTAGTTGTTTATGTCACTACTATTGCCATTACATTCAGTGATATACGGGAATTACGATTTACGAGTAACATTAGTACAAAAAACATTACTTAAGGATTCTTTATGGTCTGGTACGGGAGGAGGTCCATGGGGAGGGTGACACCGTGAGTTACCGCACTGGGTGACGCCAACCCTAGTGACGTCACTGCACATACGTATACACCTTTGTCTCTACTTTGTGTGAAAATCCCATCCGGTTATAAAAAAAAAATATTAATGTCGCCCAACCTCACGTGTCTTGTGCAGTCTCAAACGGACAACAGACATCATGTTTGGCAGTAAGCAGGTGGTGGTGTGCGGATATGGAGAGGTGAGCTCTTGTGTCTGATGCAAACTTATCTGGGGTCGAGCACCAAGTTCCTACCTAAACTGCACTCAATAGAATCCAGAGTAGAACAGCAGTCAGGGTGATGGATGATCCAGCACCCATTGATTCACTCCTATCGCTCGCTTACCGGTGGTCCGTCGCCTCCGTGTCGCTCTTCTGCAAATGCAACTGCCGTGGTTACCGTTCTCGTGAACTTCACTCGTTGATTCCTGCACCCGTGTTGAGGACTCGGGTCTGCCACACACCGAATGCTTAACCTCATCCACACTTGTGTTTAACCACCACCAACACTGCAGGGCATAGCAACTCGCTCAACCACTCACTCGCTTAGCCACTCACTGATCTATGCACCCACTAACTCAACACACTGTGGGTCTCGACACTTCCCTTTCTGATTATTCCCTCGCATCGTCTCTTTTCCCCCAAGTTGTTGCAACTCTCATCACAACTTTGATTATGCTGTTTGTTGCCGGCCGCTTGATGTTTTAGGGCTTTGGGGCTGTCTTTAGAAAAAATGTGTTTAAGAAAAAAAATATCTAAATGCGAGTGTTGTGGGCAAGTGCAAATGTTATTCGCTGCTTGTTGTGTGGTTCACCCAAAGTTACCATAATGGCAAACTTTGGATTCACTTCAATATTCCATGCCTCATCAGCAGTCGGGCAGTCAATCGGTTTGATTTCTGCTCTCAGCCAATGTCGGTGACGAATATCTGAATCATTCCGTGGTTTACGCAGGCTATTCGCCCTTAAATAAGTACCAGTGCGGTGTGTAATGAACATCAGTGCGCATGGTGTTGGCCAGTCCACGCCTCGTTCGCCTTCGGAGGTGCTCGCTGACAGCGCTTCATCTTTTTGCGTGCAGGTGGGCAAGGGGTGCTGTGCGGCGCTGAAAGCGCTGGGTGCCGTGGTTTACGTAACGGAGATGGATCCAATATGTGCCCTGCAGGCCTGGTAAACATGTCAAGTGGTTCGGTCCTCTGCACCGATACATTCACAGAGTGGCAGTGCTTTCGCAAAAAACATTACTGTGCTATCGTTAATGTTGGCTGCGATGGCTATGCGTTAAATCACTTCACGTAGTCAACAAAATACACAGACAGCACACGTTTGTGTCTCCATATAAACAAGAATACTGCGTGGCTCAGCTGGAGAGTGAGCGGAAGGTTATGAGTTCAGATCCTGATTGGGGTCGACTCAGTCCATCATCTCTACAGAGTCAATAAAATTAGTACCACTTTGTTGGGAAGATCGACAGTAGTTGTTCTTTGGATGGACTCGCCACCGTCACAGGAATGTGTCATTTCCATTTCTGTCTCTGCAGGACCCTAAACAGGAGATGAGCAAAAATGCCTCTGCTCAATTTAGTAGGAAATCACTGACTATATAGGACTCGTTTTATCTCATCCAAACTGTTCAACCAACACACTGCAGGTTGCAAAAACACACCTACTCACCCACTCACTATCCCACTCACCAACGCACTGACCCACTCAGTCTCCCACTCACTCACCCACTCACTCACCCCCACATTCCACCCATTCACCCAACCAGTCACCACACTGCAGGTCACAACACTTCTCTTTCTGCTCCTTCCCTCGCACTGCTACACTTTGTAATTCCCTCCCATCGTCTCCTTTCCCAAAGCTCTTATTAGTACCCTTGCTCAATTCAAGAAACCTTTTCTTACTTCGATAGTGCTATTTGTGGCTGACTGTTTGACATATTGGGCCTTTGAGCCTTTGCTCACCAACTGTTTTAAAGGACGAAATGAAAATAATGAAAGACCACATGTTGTGCGTTGTGGGAATGCAGCTTAGAGGGCTACCGGATTGTGAAACTCACGGAGGTCGTGCGTCAAGCAGACATCATCATCACCTGCACAGGTGAGCTGCGTTGGGCCCGGCGGCACACGCCGCCACGAGGGCCCGCGTTCCGAACTCACTCGCGCCGTTCACAGGCAACAAGAACGTGGTGACGCGAGAGCACCTGGACCGGCTGAAGAACGGCTGCATCGTGTGCAACATGGGCCACTCCAACACGGAGATCGACGTGGTGAGCGCGAGCTGACACACGCTGGCACGCAAACGCTGACAGACGCTCGCTTGCTCGCTGATATGCGCTGGCGCACACTGGCACACAATCGCTTGCTGTGACACGCTAACTCATGCCGACACGCTGACACGCGCTCGCTCCTGCTGACATGCTGACACACGCTCCCCCGCTAACACACACGCCGACACACGCTGACATGCTCACACGCTGCCACAGACACATCGTCATGCACTGACACGCTGACACATGCTCGCTAACACACAGTGAGACACTCGCGGACGCACACTGACACCCTGACATGCTCACGCGCTGACAGACACGCTGACACACAGGCACCCTCTCACTGACACGCAGTGACACGCACGCTGGAACACGCTCGCTGAAACATGCTGACACATACAGGAATGCTTGTTTGCACAAGCTGACACACACCGACACACGCACTTTCTTGCTGATGTATGCGTCTGTGTGTGTGCGTGCGTGCGTTTGAGCAGGCGAGTCTGCGCAGTCCTGATCTCACGTGGGAGCGAGTGCGAGCTCACGTGGACCATGTGACTTGGCCCGATGGAAAGCGCCTCGTTCTGCTGGCCGAGGTACGGCCATGATCAATCCGTCTGCTGGATGAAGGCCTCCTCAAGCTGTCACCATCTCTCACGATCGTCTTTATCATCCATGGCCTATGCGCACTCCATTTAGCTCCTGCACACGAGTTGATTTCATCGCTCCATCTGCGTGGTGGACATCCTCTGCCATTCCGCCTGCCCAAGTCCCCTTCCTGTTATTAAGCCATGATGTTTATAACCTTTGCATTTTCTCAGATCCGTATGTTCATCCTGTGTCTCGGTGTCATTCCCAGCATGCGTCATTCTTTGCTTTTTTTGCACACTTTTCATCTTTTGTTTCATTTTACTTGTCAGTCTGCACGTGCCTCATGCATTCACCATAGTGGGTTCTACGCACTCGTTAAAAATGTCTTGGGGACTTTGCCACGTTTCGTTATCACGTTCGACTTCCTATATTATTCCAATCTGCTCTCACACACATTTTTCATCATCATCATCATCCTGGTCCATCTTTAATTAAAGCAATCGCATCAGATAAATTATGACACAAGGTATAGGACAATAAAGGATTACACACAACCACATCTGTGACACGGCCCAGCAGGCTGCCTAAGAAGATGTGAGTGGGTGAGTGAATGGTTGAGTGAGTTGGTGAGTGGGACAGTGAGTAAATGAGTAGGTGTGTTGTTGTGACCTCCAGTGTGGTGGTTGAACAGTTTTGATGCAGGGGTTCGTGGGTGTTCAAATCCAGAGGTTTCCCTGGTTAATACTGCAGTGTATGAACCATAAAATACCACGTGCCATCAGTTTCACTCACAGTGGCCAATAACTATTCACAGTGGCTGACATCATTTGCAAGAGTGGGAAATTTTGTGCAGGTGCCACGGTCCAAATTTTACACGCCGCAAATTACTCAATTGGGAAACACGCAGAGCAATACATCATCGGCCCCTACTGCAAACACTTTGCAGGACCCTCGGGAAGAAGAGACTTGGTGAGGCTTTTCTGGTTCTTGAGACCCTCAGGGCAACAAGATCCAACAAGGGACATGATGGTCTGTGTCCTGCGTTTCTACATAATCTGGGACTATATAGACAACACTGGCTTACACGCCGCTCTTCACTGTCATACACAGGACAGGCCAACTCCCGAAAGAATGGAAGCAGGTCAAAGTCATCACCATTCTTCATGCCCTCCACCTCCAAGCTGAGGGAACGTGCCATGTTTGCCAGGCTTTCCTCATTATCGACCCCCAAACGATCGGTTGTCAAACTAGCCTTAGCTGCTGCAAAACAGACCTTTGCCTTCACCACCCTCATAGAGGCTGGTTTCCAGCGTCAACAGAAATCGGCACAGCAATGATTGACCTCTCTGGTGCCGCCCATGACACTGTTTGGCATCGTGGCCTGCTGCTGAAGTTGGCCAAAATAATGGGATGTCGTTATTCTTATTCACCTAATGGACATGATGCTCAGTGACCGTACTTTCAGGGTGCACCTCGCTGATGTCTCTGCGTATTGTTGCTTTCTTTTTTATTTTGCTCTCTGCATTTGCTCCTTTGCTGGTGATTGATTCATTTTTTTTTAAAGCAATTCCTTTGCTTTTTGCTGTTTTTGCTGAACGTTTTTAGGGCCGTCTCCTGAACCGTAGCAGCTCGAGTGTGCCCTCGTTTGTGCTGTCCATCACAGCCACCACACAGGTGAGCTGACACGCAGTGAGCGTCGGTGCTTGGTAGTACAACTCGCCACTCACCATACCACTCACACTATCGATACCAGTCACTGACCACGCACACTCAGTCGTGATACCACTCATACAATGCCAGACGCACTCACCACTCATACTGACGATACCACTCACACTCAGGATACCACTCACACTTACGATGCAAACTCAGTCACCGCTCACGGTATCACTCACACTCACCCTCGATACCACTCACGATACTATTCACCACTCTCACAATACCACTCGCGCAATATCACTCACACTTATTATACCATTGACACTCATGATACCACTCATCACTCATGATACTACTCACGATGCCACTCGCACAACTCGCACATACTCTCCACTCACACACACGCACCAACCACACACGCAGACTCCCACTCACACACACCAACACACTCACGTCAGACATATGCTGATTGTACCAGAAGTCATGCTCTTGCTCTGGAAAGTGTGCGTATGCATATGCTAAACGTAAAAAACGTGTGATGATATGAGATCCCAATACTTGCATGTGTGCTTGTGTGTGCACGTGTGTGTGTAACGGTTAGCGCTACGCTGCGCAACGAACCCGGCGACCCGAGTTCGATTCCCGCTCACGGCCAACACCAGTGACAATTATCTGAACCAGTCCTTGCCCCCCCCTAGATTGACTCGGCCTCAAATGTGTGTGAGGGAGACAAAGGCGGCCAGGCGTGGTGCTGGCCACACACCCCCTCGTGTGCCGTTCCGGCCTTAATAGGTGTTCGCTAACAGCACTTGCCCCAACAGTCTGTTAAGGCTATACGGGGGATCTCTGTAACGCCAGATCTGAACACACATTCCCAGTGAGCTCCTTCTGCAGGTGAGGTTGTGTTTGGTGGGTCATGTAGCTCGCATGCCCAGCCACCGCATGCCCAAGCAACACCTGTTTGGCCGGATAGAGGGGGCTAAACGGATATGACACGAGGCTAGAGAAGAGATGGAGCTGATGCGGTAAAGAAGGATGTGGAGCTGAGCGGACTTGCAGAAGACCGGTATCAGCGGTGTCGACCTTTATGGAGAAGGCTCGTGAAGGACGCGACTGGGCAGTTGGAGGCAGTCGCGGTAGTTTAGCGATTAGCGCGTTGCGCTACGAACCCAGCAAACCGAGTTCTATTCCCGCTCACTGCCAACACCAGTGACGATTATCTGAACCGGTCCTGGGCCTCCCCTAGGTCGGCTCAGCCTCAAATGAGTACCTGATGTGGTGTGTAAACATTGCTACTTGGGAGACAAAGGTGGTCGGGCATGGCACTGGCCACCCACGCCCTCGTGTGCCATGCCAGTCTTCATTGGTGCTCCCTAACAGCACTTGCCCCAACGGTCTGTGCAGGCTATACAGGGGATCTTTGTCTTTGCGCGTGTGTGTGACAGGCGCTGGCTCTAATTGAACTGTACAATGCTCCAGACGGACGCTACAAACAGGATGTGTATTTGCTGCCTAAGAAGATGGGTGAGACATTCACTTCATCCCTGCTGTGCATTCTTTTTCACTCTTTGACATTCGCAGCGTTCATAATACTGTTAGGTTTGTTACGCGCTGCACAGCCGTTCGTATGGTGGCCGTTAACACGGTTCTACTTCTTCGCAAATGAACTTCAGAACTCCCATTAGACCAGCACCTATGGGACACGCTCAGACATGAGTGAGGGAAGCTGACAAAGAGCTTCAGAATCCCAAAGACAGTTCAAAAACGTTATGATATCTGGGAGGATCAGAGCAAAACGCTCAAGGCTCGCCCATCGCACTATGCCCCAAAGGATGCCGTTACTTGCATACTCTGTTCTACAAAATATTGTACGCGCAGAAACGCACAAGTGTTGTTTGTGAGCACATATGAGGGCCGGTATAGCGCACCTATGATGGGGTGGGTGGCCAGCACCATGCCCAGCCACCTTTGTTTCCCGACTGGCGATGTTTACACATTGTTACATATCGCACCAGGTGCTCATATATGCCTGAGTCAACCGAGGGGAGGCCCAAGACTGATTCACATATTTGCTACCGATGTTGGCCATGAGCGGGAATTTAACTCTGATGCCAGGGCACCGCATTGTGAACAAAAGACTGTGTCGTCTAGACATTAATGTTATTTAATGTTTTTTTAGCCGGGAAAGCCTCACTGAGTCTCAACACTCTCTTTTTCAGGAGGGTGCTGCTAAATTTTCGTAGTAGGAGGCAATGATTGCTATGTTCATCCCAATTAAGTAATTTGCAGGTAATTTTTTTTTCAAATTTGGACCCTGAGGTTGGCACACAATGACCTACTCTTCTTCGATGATGTCAACAGATCTTGAACGTCCGCTGTGAATGAAGCAGAGGGTGCGGAGTATTGTATGGTTAACACTGAAGTTATTTACCAGGGCGGCCTGCCGAATTTGCACCGTGAACCTCTGCAACAATCCCCAAACACGCTTCCACCGTTCCACATTAGTCCCCGATATATTTCCAGACGTTGCAATATGTGGCCTGATCATGTGAAGAGAAAATCGGTCTCTATTGGAAGCACGTTATTGTTGGTGCTTTAACAGACTGTGTGTATAACCTGTGTCCGTGTCACAGACGAGTACGTGGCGAGTCTGCACCTGCCAACATTTGATGCTCATCTCACAGAGCTCACAGACGACCAAGCCAAGTATCTGGGGATGAGCAAGAATGGGCCTTTCAAGCCAAACTATTACAGGTGGGCAGCACATGCACGTGTCATAGATCGGCCCATATGGTCTTAACAGACTGTAGGGGTTAGAGCTGTTAGCGAGCACCTATGAAGGCCACTACGGTGCACGGGGGAGTGGGTGTCCCAAGTGGCAATGTTTACACACTGCACCAGGTACTAATTTGAGGCTGAGTAGACCTAGGGGAGGCCCAGGACCGGTTCAGATAATCGTCACTGGTGTTGGCCTTGGGCGGGAATCGAACTCTGTTCGCTGGGTTTGTAGCGCAATGCGCTAATCGCTACGCTACCACTCCCCACTACTAAGGATCCACGTGCATCACACACACACGCAGTCGCTGGAGTGCAATAAATGTTTTATCCTTGAACCCGATCAGGTGAATCATAATCGAAAGGTTGCTAGTTCATATCCTGGGGGGGGTTGACTCAGACCATCATCCCTCTGGGATTGTAAATTGAGTACCACTTTGCCAAGAAGATCAACGGTGATTGTGTCCTGTGGATGGACTTTCCCCCATCATAGGAATGTGTAAATTCCACGGCCACTTGGCTCAGGGCCGTAAACATGAGCATCACTCACTTTGGCTGCTGACCTTTGATGCCAGCCTTGTCCATGTGACTGACGCAATGTTAGGCCTAATGTCTGTATATACGTTTAACTTCTTTTGTACTATACATAGCCAACCGTACTAATCAGAGGTGCGGGCACATTGGATGCAGATGTTGGTCAGCATCGTTTATTTCACAAGGAGACATATTAAACCCTATTTAAACACTTAGAACAGCATTGCTACCACTGCTCACGTTGAACCAATGCTCCTAAATAATGCACTCCCAGAATGCTATGCGTCTGATCGGTCTGTCTACCTGGCGGGACAGACGGGTGGAGCAGGAGGATGTCGCCTGTGAAGTAATTTTGTTACATTCTCCACAGAGACGCTGGTGATCTCTTTGGGTCACTTGGAAGGACGTTATTAACCAGTTTAAGTCATAACTGGCTGTGACGTTTCCATCTTACCTGCCGATATTAGTAGTTATTTTCGACTCTCTGGTGTTACATTAACAGGTTAAATGTCTTTACATTAACAGGTTAAATGTCTCACTAACACAGCCACCTTTGCTCGTTTTCCTCTATGTGTGGCGGTGGCTCTACGATCTTACATTGACATGCTAATCTCTCACAAGACAATGGCCACCTCCACAGCTTCGTCTTACATGACATGCTAATCTCTCACAAGACAATGGCCACCTCCACAGCTTTGTCTTACAGTGACATGCTAATCTCTCACAATACAATGGCCACCTCCGCATCTTCGTCTTACAGTGACATGCTAATCTCTCACAATACAATGGCCACCTCCACAGCTTCGTCTTACAGTGACATGCTAATCTCTCACAATACAATGGCCACCTCCGCAGCTTCGTCGTCGTGGAGGTAGCTCTCCGATTTACCCGATCTCACATTGACATGCAAATTTCATCACTAGCCCCGCCCCCTTCGCTTATGACCCTTGGGCTACACCCATGTCAAACCTTTATAACATCCTGCCTCAGCAGCTCTCCCGCTACTTTTTCACCTGATGACGATTGCTTGTGTTGCGATCGAAACATCGTGATATTTTTATGATTTTTTTCTATCTACGTGGCTTTACCGAAAGACCCAATGAATATGAATTCCTGCAGTCACGAAAGCTTTAAGTCAATATATAAAATATTGGTTACCAACATCACATTTTCAACCTAGGAGTTGTTACAAAGGACATTTTATAAATACAGCCATTTTCTTCCTATGTGCCGGGGAATGGAACGTGGCCGAGAGAACGTCCACTGAGGTTCGTGTGCATGTGCTGGGTGGATTGTTGGGTTGCCACATCGCGAGAGCTGGCAGCCCTCCCCAAGGTGAGGCTTTCATCCAGCAGTGGATAGATCGTGGCTGACGATGATGGGAAGAGTGACGTGTGGTGTCGTCTCTAGATATTGACGCAGACCAAGAGGTGGAGCTAACGCCAGGCCGGGCAGCGGAGCGACCTCCTCGGCACGGTGTGCTGCGTCGGCGACCGTAATCATGAGCCCCCTGGTGGTGGTTACAATCATTCAGCTTAGTGTAACCACCTTCCTCACGCAGCCTCGTCCCCACCGGGGCACCACTGACGCCTACTGTGCTAGTACAATAGAGAGGTTTGTGTGTTTTTTTTTATTTGCCAGGACAGAAGACGTGTGTGTGTGTGTGTGGAACACTATTGAATATGTGTTGAATGAAAACCCCTTCATCTTTACTGCCAGGACAAAGTGGGTGGCCGGACATCACCAGACACATTTGAACCAAGTTAAATGAATGTGTTTATTATCTCAACACTCATTCATGGAGTTGTTGAAACAACCCAATATAGGACCACAGAGCTTAGGCAATTGTCAATTCTGGCTGCCTTCCTTTCTCGTCTGGGGTTTCCCCGCGCCTTCGCGTTACCGATTCTGCGACGTCCTGACGCGATGTGCACCCGTAACGACGCTTTATACAAATACAATAATTATCATTCCTATTCTCACTCAAACAGCGACATTTCATCACATTTTCAGGGACTATTACGAATATGCAGCAATGCTTAGTAGTGGAAAAAATATTTTATCATCGAACGTTTTCACAAAGTGAAAATGCCTGACCGGGTGTGTTCACGATTTCGCGGTTAGATGGAGCACAGCGACGTGCGCATGTTGTCGTAGAGAGTAGTGTCGCCTTAGCGTGCGTCTCCGTTTCAGTGCTAGCGCTGTGTTTCGCATTGAGAAGCGAATTGACTCTTCTGTCAATGCAAGCTAAGGGCAAATCAAGTCGCCCTTCTCCCCTGCCAAAAGGGTCAGTGTCTGCCGACGTTACACAAGGTGCGATTTGTCACATTTCCAGTGTGTACGTATGTAAAACTTCTTTCGCACCGTACGTAGACAGCTGTGGTAACCGGAGGTGCGGGCAAAGGACAACAAACTAAGTATGTATGTGTGCTGCACTTCTTTCGCACCGAACGTAGCCAACCGTGCTAATCAGAGGTGCGGAGAAGGACAACAAACTATGTATGTATGTTGAACCTTGGCACCTTACGTAGCCAACCGTGCTAATCGGAGGTACGACCGGAGGCCTTTGTGCAATAATAGATTGACACATAACTGATAGTAACAATAAGAATTATTACACACATAGCAAGTGAATTATCTTGCCTTACTGTGGGATACGCACTTTGAAATCATTATACTGATGCATATTAGCTTGGGAAGCTTCGCAGAGTCTCAAGACACAATTTCTGCAGGATCCTGCTACATTAGGATGTTTGGTTAATTCCAGCAGTGCGAGGTTTGGCTTCTTGTGAGAGGTAAACAGAGAACCTGGAGAAAAGCCAGCACAGAGGAGTGGATCACACTCAAAGCTCCACCCAGATGGATTCAATAATCCATTGCTGTACTGCCATCTTCTCGCCAGCCCCGACACTACAGCACCTGCTATTCCCAAGCACCCTCGCGCTCGACCACGATCCAGGCTCTCGGCCCGACTGCTGGCGGCAATGTCCAGTCACTGAGCGCAGCGGTCCCCGAAGTGACGAGCAGCACCGAGGGAAACACGCACCCTCCCATCACATCACCCCCCATCTCCCTACCCCATCACATCACCCCCTATATTCCCATCACCACCCCACTATCACCTCCGCCCCCCCCCCCCTCCGTCCCATCAAATCGCACCTTGCACGTTGGTTAGCCGCACGCTGGAATTGCAATCCAGAGGTCGCCATTTCCATGCAGTCTCGCGGTTGGTGCGACAGGTGATACAATGGGACAAGTTTCTCTTATCCCTCCCTGGCCGTTTCAATCTGGCCAGCAGTATAAATAGGCGCACCACAGTCGATTTTGGCAGGTCGCGTGTGTTGGGGTAAATTGTGGTTACGCCCACCTCTTCCAAACACGCCTGATCGGCGTGGACAAGCAGATCAATACCATTCGAGAATTGCCTCGAGCGGAGGCCATTCTGCCAAGCAGTGGCGTGAGCGCGCAATTGCGCGCATCTCTCCTCGTCAGCCAATAGCCAGCTGTAGCCTTGTCCGTGCAGCAGGGTCCTGCGTGAGTCCACTGTTCGCCATCTGTTGTGCGCGCACACGAGGGAATCGCCGCCACCTCCCCAACATTACCACAGCCCCGTGGCTGCAGCTCCGCACGATCCGTAGTGGATTTAAATCGCCCGAGTCCACTCTGTTTAACGCGCGGAAACTGCCGGATGCAGTGGAATAATTGCAGCGTATCAATTGTGACACTTTGTTTACCCAGAAAAGCCTCACTGAGGGCCTCGAGACTTCCTCCGGAGGGTCCTATCGTGTTTTCGCAGTGTCGGGCAAAGTCGCGCCGTATTTCCCAGTTGAGTAGGTTTCAGAGTAATTTTTCATAATTGGGATATGCTTCTGGGCGCCCCTGACACGGACGCGCTCCAACACTGAAGCTTGAAAACCCAGGTCTAGTCCTAGCTTCCCGGGATGAAAGTGGAGCCCCTTTCAGACATCCACGTGTGCAGGGGCAGCAATCCGCAGCGCTTTGGTAACGCGTTATCCGCCGGTTTGCTTCCAGTGCCAAATTACATTCACATTCTGTCACTCGGGGGCGCGCCTCATAACTCCCGCTTAGAGGTTCTGTGTCATGCGTGTGCACCTTGGCATAACGCGTTCTACACTAACGATTACCAGTGGAGAGTTCATGCAGCTCAATTGAGGCATTGGTACTCGTCCACCGTTTACAGCCCTACAGAGCCGGTGGTGGAAGTTCCACGTTTACCACGATGGAGGCGAGTCTCTCCGTAGGATAACCACTGGTAGACTTCGCAACACAGTTGTTGATGTTTTACAGACCCGGAACGGATGATGGGCCGAGTCAACCCGCCGCCCCCAAACCGCAATGTGAACTCGCAACATTCAGATTGTGAGCCACGCTCTGAGCCACCGGGCTCGTTTCAATGGCCAGCAAATTGCATATTTCTACACGTCCAAAATCGTGGCCCAACGCACCGAACAATATACCCAGCGCTTCTGCTAGACCCCCACATCTGGTATATAATTGACACCTAAGCTAAGCTCTGTGCCTCCTGCAGTAATTCACTGCACAAAAACCCTCCACCGTGAAAATTACATTCGCATCTCCCTGTAGGATGACATCGCCCTGCGCACACACTCGGGGAAAGCGGTGTGGCCCCTTGCGAATGTGGCGCGGCTTGGCGTGTGACGGTGAATCCGTGGGGTCGCAGTGGGTGCAGTGCTGGGCGGGCGGGTCGGGCGCGCACCTTCGGCAACTCGGCTTGCTTTGCGTTGCGACAGAATCGCGATTGCGCGGGCGTTTTTGCAACCAGAGACGCGAGTTCCAAAGCTTGGGTCGCGATTTAAACGACGTAGGCAGACATCTGCGTGCCACGGGAATGGCGTGTGGGCCCGAGTCCTGGCCGCAGGTCGCCTTGGCCGCCGTGACGGCGCGCGCAGCTCTTGTCACAAGGCGCGCCAGGGATGTGGGTGGGTTGCGTTTCGACGCTCGGGGATTTCGCATTGCAAACGCTTGATAATGGACTCGTCAATAGCGCCGTGGTCCTGAATATGAAAAGTGTATACTGTACTGGATTAGGCGACGTTTCGGGCAGTGGCCCTTCACAGCACACACGGTTAATGTGTTGCACATCCAGCGCGCTCGAGGCAAAGGGACGCTGGCTTTATTGGTTCGCCCCTAAAAAGAAAAGGACAATGACATGAACCGCGACGTGTGTACACCAGAGCCGTGTTGGAGCGATTCCGGTCCCATTTGCGTGCAACCACTAAATACCAACGCCTCTGTTTACGGGCAAGAATCAAACGCGCCACGATGCGCAAAGGTGCGATTTGGGGTGGGAGGGGGAGGGTATCAATTTGCCCAAAATGTTTAATTATCACGATGATTGCGTAAAAATCGGAAATACTTCCCGTCGACAGTGTCTCGCGTCATGAGGATCTTGACGAGTACAGTTCCGTTGTTACTGTGTCTGCAAATAAACACGGCTATTGCACTCGCGCGTAAACACCGTCGTGTTATCGCCGTCGCTGCTGCTACTTTTTCTTCTTCCTCCTCCTGCCCTTGCGAGCCCCCTTGGCACCGGGGCCTTGGGGCCACGCGAAGCCGCGCATGTTGAGGCCGTCTTGCACCCCATGCGCGATGTAGTGCAGGTTGAGTAGCGAGGCGGGGCTCAGCAGGGATGATGAAGATGATGATGATGGGTCGCCCTGCCGGGGACGCGATGCGCTCCTGCGGCTGCCGCTGCTCCTCTTCCTGCTGCTGCTCGCCCGGCTCTTGCTCCGACCCTTGTTGCCTCGTCCCTTGGGAGGCTGCGAAGGAGACGATGGGGGAAGCCAACGTGAGGCCGCTGTGCACTTTGAAATCGGCGAGATTGGAAAAACTCGTTTGCTTCAGAAGTGCTTTTTTTTGGTGCGTGCTTAAGTTTGTTGTCATTCCGCCGCACCTCCGATTAGCGCGGTCGGCGACGTACGGTGCGAAAGAAGTTCAACGTACAGCAGTATGTACATTGAGGCTGAGAGCTGCGAGTGGAATTTGGAAGGCCGTCAGTTGTTTTAACAGATGTTGAGCCAAAACAAAAAGGCCAACAATGTCAAGCGGCCAGCAACAAACAGCAGTGTTATCAAAAGTTTGTAATAGATATGTAATTCACACTTGACAAAAACTGTAACCAGGTTATTATTCTTAAGAGCTTGGGGGTGGAGGCGGGGAAGAGACGATGATGGGGTGAGGGAATTCCAAAGTGGAGCAGTGCAAGGGAAGAAATGCCGAAAGATAAACGTAGTGGCATGGAGTGTGGTGAACCGAGTGCGTGGGTGAGTAGTACATCAGTGTGTTGGTGAGCAAGTGTGCGTTATATATACGGGGATAATTGTTATTGGGGAGCGGTGGTGTAGCGTTTATGGTCAAAACCGGTAACGATTAACTGAACCGGTCCTGGGCCTCAAATGGGTACCTGGTGCGGTGCGTAAAAACATCGCCACTAGGGAGACAAAGGCGGCCGGACGAGGTGCTGGCCACTCACCCCCTCGGTGTGCCGTTCCGGCCTTCATAGGTGCTCGCAAACAGCACTTGCCCCAACAGTCTCTTCAGGTTATACGGGGGATCTTTGTCTTATTGTGACCTGCGGTGTGGAGGTGAGCGTGGTGGTTGAACACTGTATGAGACCAAACGACCTGGCAAGTGTCTTAGTCCTCAACATTGGGGGGAGAAATCAAGGGGCAAAGATCACGAGAGGAAGTCGCCATGGACATCTGTGAAAAGAGCTTCGTAAATCATCGGATTTCTCCGGGATAAATCAATATTCTGAGAAGTGATGCTGAGGCGACTGCTCGCCGTGCTGTACAAAAAAGAGAGGCACTCACCATCTGACTCGAGTCACATGCACCGTGGCTGGCTCCTCTGTGAGTCTGTGAAGACACCAGATCTCAGCAAGGCAGTCACTCTCTCAGGGGTTCACTCTCACAGGGGTTCACTCGGGGATACACATGGGATCACTCTCAGGGGGTCCCCTCACAAGGCTTCACTCTCATAGGGGTCCCCTCACAAGGATTCACTATCAGGGGTTCACTCTCACGGGTTCACTCACAGGGATATACACACACGGGTTCGCTCTGAAAGGGGTTCACTCTCAGGTTCAATCTCACACGGGGTTCACTCTCACAGGGGTTTAACTCACACGGGGTTCACTCTCACAGGGGTTTAACTCACACGGGGTTCACTCTCACAGGGGTTCAATTCACACGGGTTCACTCACAGGGGTTCAACTCACACGGGGTTCACTCTCACAGGGGTTTAACTCACACGGGGTTCACTCACAGGGGTTTAACTCACACGGGGTTCACTCACAGGGGTTTAACTCACACGGGGTTCACTCTCACGGGTTTAACTCACACGGGGTTCACTCTCACAGGGGTTTAACTCACGGGGTTCACTCTCACAGGGGTTTAACTCACACGGGGTTCACTCTCACAGGGGTTTAACTCACACGGGGTTCACTCTCACAGGGGTTTAACTCACACGGGGTTCACTCTCAGGTTCAATCTCACACGGGGTTCACTCTCACAGGGGTTTAACTCACACGGGTTCACTCTCACAGGGGTTTAACTCACACGGGGTTCACTCTCACAGGGGTTCAACTCACGGGGGTTCTCACAGGGGTTTAACTCACACGAGGTTCACTCTCACAGGGGTTCACTCTCACAGGGGTTTAACTCACGGGGGTTCTCTCACGGGAACTCGCACGGGTGGCCGCTCTGAGGTTCTCGTCTCTGGCCGCGCTTCCCGTCGCCGTGGAAACCGGGGCGTGACTTGCGCCGAGAGACGACAACAACAGCCAGACAACTACAGCCTAACTTAGCCTGACAACTACAGCCTAACTTAGCCTAACAGCCTAACTTAGCCTGACAACTACAGCCTAACTTAGCCTGACAACTACAGCCTAACTTAGCCTGACAACTATAGCCTAACTTAGCCTGACAACTACAGCCTAACAGCCAAACTTAGCCTAACAACTACAGCCTAACTTAGCCTGACAACTACAGCCTAACTTAGCCTGACAACTACAGCCTAACTTAGCCTGACAACTACAGTCTAACTTAGCCTGCCAACTACAGCCTAACTTAGCCTGACAACTACAGCCTAACTTAGCCTGACAACTACAGCCTAACTTAGCCTGACATCTACAGCCTAACTTAGCCTGACAACTACAGCCTAACTTAGCCTAACAGCCAAACTTAGCCTGACTACAGCCAAACTTAGCCTGACAACTACAGCCTAACTTAGCCTGACAACTACAGCCTAACTTAGCCTGACAACTACAGCCTAACTTAGCCTGACAACTACAGCCTAACGTAGACTCCTGACGACAGCCTAACTTAACACAGCCTGATAACTACAGCCTATCTTGCACTGCCTAACAACTACAGCCGATCTTACACAGCCCAACAATTTTATTTTCTAATCTCTTTATTACTTGTGAAGCGCTCCATGACAACGTCATTGTGAAAGACGCGATTCTATGGACTGCAATACGCTTGACTTAGGGGCCGTCCGTAAATGACGTCACGCACCTAGGGGGGGGGGTCAGACATTTGTGACGATGTGTGACGAGGGGGGGGAGGGGTTTGAGAAATGTGACGTCACATCAAAATGCGCAACTTTAAATAAATATAGACAACACGTTCTACTTAATTAAAGACGTAATGTTTTCTCCTACAACATCAGAGTGCAGCGGCACATTAAATACGCACTACAATGGCAATAGTTTAATGCGATTCGAAGCATGTTTTATTTGGGGGGGGGGGCAGAGCTTTGTGACGTCATTTGAGGGGGGTCTGACTTTTTGTGACGCCGTGTGACGAGGGGGTGGCGGTCAAAAATCGTCCTAAATCGCGTGACGTCATTTATGGACGGCCCCTTAAAGCTTTCGTGACTGCAGGAATACATATCCTATGGGTCTTTCGGTAAAGCCACGTAGATTAAAAATATATATCACGACGTTTCGATCGCAACACAAGCAATCTCTCTCACCTGAAGACGATTGCTTGTGTTGCGATCGAAACGTCGTGATATTTTTAATTATTTTTCTATCTACGTGGCTTTACCGGAAGACCCATAGAATATGCAGTACGCTTGTTCGTGTCATTGTTTTTGTCTGTAACGCCATCGTGTCGCGGTTTGGCGCACTCCGCTACGAGCCCGGCGACCCGGGGTCGATTCCTACTCACGGCAAACACCGGTGACGATTATCTGAACCGGTCATGGGCCTCCGCTAGGTCGACTCAGCCTCAAATTAGTACCTGGTGCGGTGTGTAAGGGAGACAAAGGCGGCCGGGCGTGGTGCTGGCCACCCACACCCCCTCATGCGCCGTTCCGGCCTTAATAGATGCTACTCGCTAACAGCACTTGCCCCAACAGTCTGTGAAGGCTGTACGGGGGACCTTTGTAACGCCAGATGTGAAGACATTTCCCAGTGAGCTGCTTCGGCAGGTGAGGCTGCGTTGGGTGGGCAATGGAGCCCGCATGACCAAGCAGCACCTGTTTGACCGGACAGAGGGGGCTCAACGGGCACGACACGGGGCTAGAGAAGAGATGGAAGCTGATGCGGTAATCTCCATATATATAAAAGGCAAAGTTGTGAATGTGTCTGTTCAAAATGTTTAGCGTACTTTCCCGACGTGCAACAAACTGGAAATTTGCCATGTGGGTACTTTCTAGACTGTACACCATGCAAAAATTAGAAAAAAAACATTTTTTGGGGGGGGGGGGGGGGAGCTCAATAATGCATTTATTTTTTTGCACGGCAAGTGAGCTGTGACGTCAAATCTGTCATGTGACCCGCGCATGTGGAAGCGCAACGCATTGTAGTGTAGCGGTTAGCGCGCTGCACTACGAACCCGGCGACCCGAGTTCGATTCCCGCTCACGGCCACCACCGGTGCCGATTATTTTAATCGGTCCTGGGCCTCCCCTAGGTCGACTCAGCCTCAAACGACTAACTGCTGTGGTGCGTGAACATCGCCATTGGGGAGACAAAGGCGGCCGGGCGTGGTGGATCCAAGTCCCGGGCGAAGTTGGGTAGTACAGCTAGTAAGTAATATAACTTTTTTTTTTTAAATACGCTTTAATGAAATGTACCGTACGAGTAATGGCAGAACTCCACGACTCCAGGAAGTGGCCCCGAAGCTTGCCATAACGTAAAGGACTGGTGATTTACAGCCAACGTCAGTTGAGCGTGGAAAATTAGACCCAAGCCGAAACATAACATATAAAAAAGAATGTTTTAAAATGCATGTTTTTTATTTTTTTATGATAGAATATGTAGTCATCAGTATGACATAAGTATGTCAAATTATTGGTTCTTTCGGTAAAGTCACATAGAAGGGAAACAAAATGATAAAAATATAAAACAATAAAATTATCACGACGTTTCGACTGCAACACAAGCAATCATCAGGTGTGAAAACCACAGCAAGAAAATTTGAAAAAAGTGGCGTTTTTTAACGTTAGCACCACGGAGAGCGATTTATCAGTTATTCAGATGGACGAGTCCATCTTTTCCGAACATAGATGTTTTATATTTTATTGTTTCCCTTCTACGTGACTTTACCGAAAGAACCAAGAATATGAATCCCTGCAGTCACGAAAGCTTTAAATCAAAATTTTATAAGATTGTCAAGTTTGCAGTCGATACCACATTGGGAAGTGAATTAAAATCGAGTTACAAGATTTGAGGATACAACGACAACAACAGAGAGCGTGAGTTAAATAAAAGCGTGTAAATAAATAAAAAGGATGTGGAGCTAAGCGGACTTGCCGAAGACCGGTACCAGCCGTGTCAACCTTTATGGAGGAGGCTCGTGAAGGACGCTGCTGCTACTGGACAGTTGGAGGCAGTCGCCCTCCAACAATAGCGGAGGGCAGAGGAGCGACGTTCACAACAACGAGCGGAGCGCCGGGCGGTTAATATACAGCGAGTTGGCACAATAGGGGGGGGCACAGGTGGTGCAGTCTGCCAGTCATCTCAGTCGGTCAACCCCCCATGGCAGCTGCTGGGTTATGTCCCGTGACCTCCTCACGTGGCTTCAAAGGGCATCGGGCCTGGCACCAGGTTCCGTTGTGACGTCATCACCACTTAGTGACGAACGGCGGTTGTTGGGCTGTTTGTGAATAGAGGGGATGATGACGTCACGAGACGCGAAGGGACCAGGCGGGGTGGTGACGCACGAGACCTGCGGTGGTGAGGTGGAGGGATGGTGACGTCACGAAACGCGGAACGGGTCCCGGGTGATGGTGACGTAACGAGACCTGCGGTGGTGAGATGGAAGGAGTGATGACGTCACGAGACGCGGAAGAAGCATGTGGGGTGGTGACGTCAGGATACCTGCGGTGGTGAGGTGGAAAGGGGTGATGACGTCACACCATACTGGAGAGTTGAGAGGGATGATGGCGTCACGTGATACTAGTGTGAGCTATCTTGATTTGAAGCTTTCGTGACTGCAGGAATCCATACTCTTTGGTTCTTTCGGTAAAGTCACGTACAAGGTAAACAATAAAATAATAAAAACACAGAAACAATACAATTATCTTCTACGTGACTTTACCGAAAGAACCAAGAATATGAATCCCTGCAGTCACGAAAGCTTTAAATCAAAATTTAGGGTGAGCCAGTGAAGAGAGGGAGTGACGTCAGGAGACGCGGGGGGAGGGGGGGGTTCTGCGGAGAGGAGTTGATGACGTCACGCCGCACGGATGAGGTGGTGAATTATTGTAATTTATTTTCAGCGTACTGTATACATATGTAAAGGGTCCCGCCAGACGAGAGTCCGAGAGGCCGCACTTTTCTGTATTATCGCGCGAGCTCACGCCGCACGCCTCCACACCCGGCTCCGATGCCCTCCAAGAAGCGCCCCGATCGCCCCGCCTCGACCGGTGACGTCACCTCTATCTCCCTGGGCGTTGCCTCTCTCTCGCCCCGCCTTCTCTTGCCTTTTCCTCGTGACGTCATCGTAACACTGTCGTCACCTTCGGATCACGTGGGTATTTCTTACCCTCGGATCACCGAAGGGGTCATCCGTTGACCCCCCTCTCCCACCTCCCTGTACGCACGCGGACTTTTTACACCCCCCACAACTTATTCTTAGCTCTTTCGGTAAAGTCACGTTGAAGGGAAACAATAAAATATATATAAAACAATAGAAATTCTCACGACGTTTCGACCATAACACAAACGGTCGACACACCTGATGACGACCGTTTGTGTTATGGTCGAAACGTCGTGAGAATTTTTATTGTTTTATATATTTTATTATTTTGTTTCCCTTCAACGTGACTTTACCGAAAGAGCTAAGAATATGAATTACTGCAGTCACGAAAGCTTTAAATCAAAATTTAAACCCCCCACATCTTTCAAGTTTAATTTATTAGGTATAGCCCTGTGAGCCATGCGGCTTTTAAGTCGGGTGCAACCGCTGCAAAGTATGATCTGTATTTAGATTTAGCGTGCTGATCTTAAAGGTGCATTGAAAAATTTGATACTCCGACTGATGCTCCTGTTGTTGTGGAGTGACTCATGCAGTCAGCTATGGCTGCAGGGTTTGGTGGTACATGTTGTTTATGTCGTTTATTGTGAAAACTCGGTCACAGTTAACTATGATCACTGTTACATTGCTTTTATGGCTTTATTTTGGTGATGTCGAAAATGTTTTTTGGTTTGTGCCATGTTTGTTGTAGTACGGAGTTAGACTGATGGCCTTAATCTAAGTTGTCTTGTGGTTGTTGTTGTTTGACTTGCATCCCACTGGGATTTTTGCACACAGCGTTGGTGTACGGTGCTTTTTCAGGAATATTTTGCTGTTTTTTTCCTGGATTTTCTGTTTGTACAGTCACATAGTCACTTTAAGATGTTTTCTTGTTTGTGTTTTTTTGTTTGTTGCGGTTGCACCCGATTCAAGAGCCGAATGGCTCACAGAGCTATAAATGGCTCACAGAGCTATAAATAAATTAAAACTGAAATGAAAAACAAACAAAATATGAACACAACATCCCAAAGCGACGACGCGCAATAAAAACATCCTGGAATAAGCCAACAAATCTTCAAAAAACATTCAAACGCTGTGTGCAAAAAATCCCAATGTGGTGCAAGTCAACAACAACAACATCCATAAGCCAATTTAGATTAACCATATGTCTTCGAATCACCAAAACAAAGCCCTCAAAACAATGTACTATAGTAATCATATGAACTGTGATTTAAATTCAACAATAAACGATATACATAACACGTACGACCAAACTTGCAGCCATAGCTGGCAGCACGACACTCCAAGTGTATGATCTGCGTACGCTTGACGCACCCCCCCCCCCCCGAATCCTATAGAACGGCCGATATTTAATCCACGCGGAAACGATCAAGGATACCTACTATAATCACTCAGGAATGTCCTTAACGCTCGTGACGTCACGTTGCATCGACCAGCCCCCCTAATTAATATTCATTAGCAGGTGCCGTCCTCAAAATGGACATCCCCCTCTCATTAATAATCATGAACGGCTGACGTGACTCCATATTGCGTAAGGGGGGGTGGCACCTGCCCCCCCCCCCAATGATCCGATCGAAATCCCTAATTTAGATCGGATCATTGGGGTTTATTAGTAACTAGCGGGATGTACCCGGCGTTGCCCGGGGGTAAAATATATTTTAAAAAATTCTCAAAAATTAAAAACATAACATATACAAATGAAAATAAAACTTTCATCATTACCTCATTAATTAAAAATAAACTAAAACCCAACGCGCGCCAAGATTCGATTATTTTAATCGCGCAAAGGAATCGAAGTTTGTAGATTGCTCGCCAGTCCTGTATGTGAGTTGACGCCACACACTTCATGGCAATTCCCCCCCCCCCCCCCCCCCCAAAATACAAAAGTATTTTATACGTTTTACATTGTGTACAGTATGGGAGCTAGCCACATGGTTAATTAAAAGTTTGTTACCTATTCTCTCCCCCCCCAGCCGCGCATTTGTGCGGGATACACGGCCTACGCGAAGGGTTGGGGAGAGATGCGTGACGTCAGCAGGCACACTTCGTAACGCTGCCGCATGCGGGTGACATGACACAGATGTGACGTCACCGCTTACTTTAGCGTGCAAAATATATACATTATTGCGCACCCCCCCCCCCCCACCACAAAAAAATTCCAAAAGTGTATTTTTAAAAATATTTTTTGCATGGTGTACAGTCTGGAAAGTACCCACATGCCAAATTTCAAGTTTGTTGCATGTCGGGGAGTACGCTAAACATTTTGAACAGACACATAATCACAAATTTCCCTTTTATATAGAGATAAATCGGCATTTTGCGACACCCACTGCCACTGTATAGCATATTACGTGCCAGGGACGCTATGAGTGATTTGACAATAGTCTGAGTCCATAATTGGCAACAAGTAACGGAAAAGCAGTTACTCACAGAATTGTGTGTAGTTAAGTATACAGTACACGACTTCCCTGAAGGCATTCACCTTCAGCGAGCGCGATGCCGATCACACAACGCGGTTCGAATTCGACCCTCGATCGATGGCTGTGCCATCGCCACACACGCGAATAGGAGCTGTTAGTCCTTACAAACAACTCCTATTTGAGGGGTTGTGCCCCCTACCTGAATATCCTGGCTCCACCATTGGATTACCCCCCCCCCCCCGCGTCATTAAACACATTCTCCTGCAGAGGGAGCTGGTAGGAACGTTGGGTTGCTCGGTCAATGGCCAGGGTCAACGGCGGCACCACGTGGTGTATTCCGCAAATTTGCCCGACTGTGAGGGCGGGCACAAGCCGGCGTGAGTAGGTTAAACGTTGAGTTTTATAAGGGCACCACGGGGTGACCAGCCCCTCCCCACCCAGCCCCACCCCTCCCACCCAGCCCAACCCTCCCCTCCCAGCCCCTCGCCACCCAGCCCCTCCCCACCCAGCCCCTCCTACCCTCTCCTCTCCACCCAGCCCCACCCCTCCCACGTGGACAGACATCCACAGACATACACAATTAATCCCCTGCCTCCTGTGAATTAATCCCGGTTGGGCTTCCAGTCCACTACTTTTACTACCAGTATTATTTACCCAAGAATGTCAGTGTGTAACGCGCGTGACGTCACCCCACATCGAACAGCCCCCCTCATTAATGATAATGAACATGTGACGTCATCCACATGGACCCGCCCCTCATTAATAAGCATTAGCGGGTGACGTCACTCCACATCGAACAGCGCCCCTAATTAATAATCATGAACAGGTGACGTCCTCCAAATGGACACCCCCTCTCATTAATATTAATTAGCGGGTGACGTCACTCCACATGGGGGGGGGGCGAGGCTCCTCCTCCCCTCTTCTCGGCGTCAACTCACAACCCTCACTACAAAGACCGACCCCTCACGTCACGTGATCTCCGTAACGCTGTTGAGACATCAAAGTAAAAAGGATGTCGTGATAAACAAGGGATTATAACCTTGAAATGAAATAGGTCTGTGTCACCGCACCCTTACAAATTGCACACGCATTGATGCAATGAATATCTCACGTCGCGGTCTGCTTTTCGCTTGCAAGTTTCACATTTTACTGCAATACAGCCGTCCTTGGGACGGACAAAAGACTAGTAATGTACGAGTTATTTTAATACGTGCAACATCGTCATAGTTTTAGTTCTTGAAAAGTATTCAATGTTAATAATTAAGATGATGAATTAAGTTATTTTATATCTTGTCGATAATTGAGGATATTTAAAATACGTTTATTAAACGTGTTGTCTAATTAAAATCTTACGTAAAAACAAACACATCGTGCCATGTGGAAATTCACTTTTGCTGTAATCGTGGACGTGACGTCAGCCATACGGGCGTGCGATGACGAATGCACAGGTGAGGCGGGGGGGGGGGGCGAGGCGATGCGGGGGGGGCGAGGTGAGGCGGGTGGGGGCTGAGGTAAGGGGGGGGTCAGGCGGGGGTGAGGGGGCTGCGGGGGCTCTTTACCCCCCCCCAGCCCCTCATTCCCCCAATTCCCCTCCCCCCTGGCGCGCGCTCGTCATAGGGAGCCCGTGCGCATGCGCGCACCCCGCCATGTTTTGAGGGGGCCGTGATCGGGGAAGCGGCGACGAAGCAGCGGAGGCGGCGGCGGCGGCAGCGGTGGCCCTCGGGAGACTCGCGGGGGGGGGAGCAGGACAGGCTGAGGGGGGTGGGGTGCCGGGGGCTGTTGTCAGGAGAAACGGGGGGGGGGGGGGGGTGTGTAAAAGGGAGGGGGTGTAAAAGGGGGGGGGGCGATCGGGGGAAGCAGCAGGAGGAGACGCAAACGTGGGGGGTGGTGGGGGGTGGTTGGGGGTCGTCGTCGCGAGAGAAGGGACGAGGAGGAGGAGGCTGAGCAGGGCCGTGGCGATCGGGGGCAGCAGGAGGCGGCGGAATCTGAAGCAGAAGTGAAGCAAGAAGAAGAAGCGGCAGGGCAACACGGCGGGTAGCGCGAGCATTCAGAGGGGGGGGCATCAGGGCGTCGGAAGAAGCAGGGAAGCACGGGGTGAAGGCGGCGGCGGCGGCCACGTCTCGCCATGACGATCCTGCCCAAGAAGAAGCCCGAGAAGGAGGAGGCTGAGCGCGATGGCGCCGAGCTCCCGCACGGCCTCCGCCTCCCCGCAGGGCCCGAGGCGCGGGGCGCGCGGCCCCGGGGCCCCGCGGGCTCGTGGGCCGGCCCGGCCGCGCGGGACGAGCGCGGGGGGGACCGAGACCGCGGGGACCGCGTGGACCGAGATCGCGGCGGCGTCGTGGTAGTGGGGGTCTCCGGAGTGTCCGGGGTGTCCGGGGTGTCGGGGGTTCCCGGGGTGGCCGGTGTCCCCGGGGTAGGGCCCCGAGAGGCCCGCGCCGCCTACGAGGACGCCGAGAGCCTGGAGTGCGGCCCCAGCCACAGCAAGAGGAGGCACCGCGCATCCCCTCACAGGTCCTCCCGCAAGAGCCACAGGGCCAGCAGCCACCACCACGGGGGAGGAGGAGGAGGTGGTGGAGTTGGAGGAGGTGTAGGAGGCGTTGGCGGAGGTCCAGTGGGCCCGGGGGCTGTGGGCCAGAGAGCCTCGGCCTCCCCGCGTAGCGAGGAGCGAGGCCCCGGGGTGGTCGGAGGAGGTGGAGGAGATAGAGGAGGTGGAGGAGGATGTAACAGTGAAGATGAACATGAAGCCGGGGCCGGGCCCACCCAACAACAACAGCAGCAGCAACAACAGGACGCGCCGAGTGGGGAGCAGGTGTGTGGTGTGCGTTGTGTGCCAACAGTAGGGGGCACAGCTGGTTCATCTGCCGGTCATCTCAGTCGGGTCAACCCATGGCACCTGGGTCTGTCGCGTGACCTGTCGGCGAGCCCTTGACGCTTCACGCGGCCTCGGCGTGCACCTAGCCTGGCACAACCGCCGTGGTGGCATCACCGCCATGCAGTGGCGAATGGCGGCTGCTGTTGTGTGATGTGGGGAGCGGTGGCGCAGTGATTGGTGCTGGAAGTGCGCTACCAAACCGGCGGACCGAGTTCGATGCCCTCTCACGGACAATAAATGCTGACGGTGAAGATCTAAAGCGGTCCCGGGCCTCCCCTAGTTCGACTCGGCCTTAAATGAGTACCTGGTGCGGTGTGTAAACATCTCCACTGGGTAGGGGCCATCCGTTTAGTACGTCCACATGGAGGAGGGGGGGTAACCCAAACGCGTACGCTTGTGTATGGGGGGTCTACTGACAATGTACACATAGGAAACGACGGGGTGGGGGTGGTGAAGCCTCGATAATAATTTGTCTACATTGGCCTTCAAATGAGTTAGATGGTCCGGCGGTGGACTGTCTGTTTGCTTAAACACGTGAATATTCTTAATCCTTGATCGTTTCTGCGTGGATTAAATATCGGCCGTTCTATAGGATTCGGGGGAGGTGGGTGTCAGAAGTCAGCGTGAGTACAGGGAGGGAGGGGTGGAGGGGTCAAGTTTTGACAGATTTTTGCGACCTACTCAATGGATGGCCTCTAGACAAAAGCGCCCGAGCGTGGTGCTTGCCACCACCTGGTGTGCTGTCCCGGCCTTCATAGGTGCTGGCTAACAGCACTTGCCTTAACACTTTGTTAAGGCCACACGGTGGATCTTTTTCTTTGGTATGTGATGGAGTTGTGCTGTGTGGGTGTGGTATCTGGTAGTGGCATGGGTGGTTGTGGTTTACGTGGTGGTGGTATTGTCCTTGGTGTCATGTTTATGGTGTGGCAGCGTGGTGCTGGTCATGGAAGTTGAGTGGTTGTTTGGTTTAGTAGTGTGGCGAGTTTGTCCGGCTCGTTGATGTGGTTTCGTTGGTGGTGTCGCGGTGGGGGAGACACGGTTGTTTACATGGACACGTGTGTTCATTCGGCACATTGACGAAGTCCTTTCGAGGTCGCGGTGCTCACGAAGGCGATGTTTCCTCTCGGAGACACTGGCCATCGCTTCGTGTGCCACGGTGTTGATTTTCTGTTATTGTTCGGCGAGAAAAGCAACCCTCACCGAGACTTCGACTTTGTTTTTATCCTAGGAGGGTCTTGCTAAGTTTGCGCAGCAGGGGGCGATGATCGCGTTGCGTTCCCAGTTGCATAATTTGGGGTGGAGTGCCCTCTCGAATTGGGACAAATTTAGATCGTGACGCTGCGGCACACGGATGGCCACGTCTCCTTCGAACGATGCCACGAGACCTTTAACGTCCACCTTGAAGCAATGTTCCATCGCGGCTTTTTTGACTGTGCCCTTTTTTCGCTGTCGCTGGCCCCGCTGGACGTGTTGTGCCTTTTCGGCCCTGTGCTCGTCGACTGCGCGCAAAGCCTCCTTTTATTTATAGAGCCGCCTCATTCCTGGAAGGATGGGGCCGCCCGGGGGCTGAAGGGTTGTAGGTACAGGGTGCGTGCGTGTTTGTGTGCACGTGCACGGATGGCACATCGCCACTAGAGAGACAAAGGCGGTCGGGCGTGGTGCTGGCCACCGACCCCATAGTGTGCCGTGTCGGCCTTCTCATAAGTGCTCGTTAACAGCACTTGCCCAAACACTATGTCAAGGCTATACGGTGGATCTTTGTCTTTGTGTGTGCACAGATGGCTTTCACGTCGCCTTGCTCGTCAAATCAAGGTGTGAGTCGTGCTTGCCCTGGCATTTGGCTGGTCGTGCGGTGTCATCGGCGCAGGCTATGCCGTACGCTTGCACACGCGTGTCTCTTGTCACTGAAGTGTCAAGTGATATTTTGTTTAACCAGGTGAGCACTCAGAGACCACGATAGTCTCTCATTTTCAAGAGTGACCTGGGGAACAAAGCGGACAATATACGGTAACATAAAAAAGGTACAACGATGAAGCAAATAGAAATGGGAGAAACACCGACTCTATAGAAATGGAACCCAATTATCAAGTTGGCTTGGTTGGGGGTAGCCACACATACGAGGTTGAGGGCCGCTGTTGACGAGTAACAGGTGTTTGGCTGCGTTTGGGTTTGCTAACCTGAAATAGTGATCTGAGTAGCGCTTGCTTAAATGCCTTTGCCAACTCAAAGCGCCCTTTTGATCACATCCCATCGCAAACGATTCGAAGGTGACCCCCATTGACAGCTGTCCCTATGCCGGCACAAGGTGACTACTCGGCACCGGCAAGCAAGTGGGCAATTGTCGTCCAGTAGGGGGCAGCAATTGCATTGTATTTTGCCTAATTGAGTAGTTTGAGGTGGAATTTTTTTTTTAAATGGATCATGACAGCGACACACGATGGCCTGCTCATTCCGAACGACGTCACGGGGTATTAACGTTCACTGTGAGGTGAAGGAGACGGCACGTAGCATTACACATTACACACCGCATTATTAACCAGGGTGGTCTGCTGGATCCGAAGCGTGAACCACTGCCATAAGCGGTGAGCGTGCAACTGCTGGGCCGCGTCGCCAAACCCAGTGTGCAGCTGCTTCAACGTTGAAGGGGCTTCAACGTTGAAGGGGCTCCACTCGCGATCTGTCTTGCGCGACCGTAACATCGCAGCTTCCCAGCCAGCTTCCCTTACTTTGCACCGGGTCACAGTTGGGGGTGGGCGGGGAGTCTTGACGAGTCCCCACTCCCGTGTGCGCGCGCGTGCAGGGCGAGGCGTGGTTTGAGAACGTGCTGAAGGAGAATCAGGGTTTCATCATCAAGCGCATGTCAGAAGACGGAGCCTGCCTCTTCCGTGCTGTTGGTAAGTGGCAGAGCATTCGCCAGACATGAGCGGCTTCATTTGCCAGGCACCCCATAATGTCGGGAGAGGGTTCTTCCTTGCCTCTTAAGATCTGGCAGTTAACCAGCATGGATTCAAGCAAGCTTGCCCGCTGATTAAACCGGTCCAGAGTTTGCTTGTCTTGTTGAGCTCTAAGCTTGGAGAAGGCCTTGTTGTGGCTGATGGTTTGTGTAAGAAACACTTTTGTTCGTTTTTTTTCACGCGGAGAAACGAATATGCGAAGGGGACATTGCTTTTGTGTAGTCTTCTGCTGTATGGAATAGCAACTCGACATTGGTAGGTCGAGATGAGAGATTCAGTTAGGTACATCATCAGATGCGGAATTGACTTTTGTCTCGCCGAAAGGTCACTATAAAGGGCGACTATGTTCACGATGCGTTCCATTGTGTGAAGTATGTCCGCACGGCTGCAGAGTGGATTGTTGTGTCATCATCGCCACTCGTGCATCAGATGTGATCCACATCGCCCCCCTTGGGGAGTCCTGGTGTGGTTTAAGGTCACCCACTGCCGCCGGATTCGCCCTCAGGCAGGTTCTTTGGCGCTTGGATCTTCAGTCTGGCTCCTGTTTTTTTTTAACATCAACTCTGTCCAGAAGGGTCCTCTGCTGCTGCCCAGTGGTTCACTTGATTTTAGCCTGGGTCACGGTGAACTAAGAGTCAAAAGTATAGGTTGGGGCTGTAAAATAAATAAAAGATTATAGTCATACCCCCATTTACTTCTCCCCCTTTTACGTAATTTTGCAAATACGTCGTCAATGTATTAATGCCACTTCCTGGTTTGCGTCGCCTCAACCCACACATCGCTGACAGCATTAATCTTGTCTTATATCCGTCGCCTAAGTGTTTGCCTCCACCTAACTTCTAAATTGCTTCTATTTACATTGTTTCAATATTCGTCACACCTTCAAGAACGCATCCCGACATAAAGCGGAGTGTTACTGTACCAGTAACCACGTGAAAAAAAAAACGATTGCCAGGCAGCCGCACATATCGAAATGTCAAGCAACGAAAATACAATTGTAACATTTTTAAAATAAAATGCTATTTATAGTGCACACTATTTCACGGACATAAATGACTGTGGCTGCCGCACAGAGCCAAGCTCGGCGTAAATCAAAAGCTTGGCGAGAGAGGTGAGGCTCTAAGTGTCTCTTAAAATTCGGCGGAGATTGAGTGCCGCTGTGAATGTGCAGCTGCAGCGAGATGGCGTTCCAGACGGAGGGGGCTTCCATGGGGAAACGACGCCCAGCAATGATGGTCCGGGTCCTTGGCGTAGAGAGGGAGGAGGTTGCGAGTAACGCAGTTGCTGCGGAGAGTTCTACCGTGGGGTGTAGTGCAGGGTGACGGTAGCGGAGAGAGATACGGTAGACAACCATAAGTAGAGCGGCAGTGTCACAGGCGGGCGATGTTGTAGCTTACCTTGCTGTTGACGATGATGGGAAGTCAGTGGAGTAGGGAGCGGAGCCCAAGTGAAGGAATCTAGCCGAGGATGACAGGTCTTGGAGGACAACGGGGGCGACATTGTTATGCTACTTTTGGCGTTGAGGTTACTCGACGAGGATCGAACAAGGACGGAGTGGCAACAGTCGATGAAACCTGACTAAGGTGCGGACGAGGATATTGTTTTTTTTGGGAGGGACGAGTGGACTCAATCGATGGAAGGGCCCTGAGGTGGCCAGATCTTAAGAATGCGGTTGGTGTGGCTGTCGGAAGGATAAGGTGGGGTTCAAGAGTGATGCCGAGGAACTTGATGTGGTCGGGAGTTTATGGACTGTAGAGCCAGAGATAAATATGCTTGAAGGGAGCTGGACGTGGTGAGACGTTGGACGATGCCGATGGGGCCGCCTTCGTATTTGGAAGCATCAATTGACAAACGAAGTGAGCGGTGGCAGTGCAACGGTTAACGCACTGGACTTGCAAGCCAGAGGTCGCCGGTTTGATTTGACAGTTGAATTAGTGGAACACGTTTCTGAGTAGGTGTGTGTTGGGCACAATACTTGAAGCACAAGAGTTGGTCCACATCGCTTCACTGCTGAAATTTGCGGCACGCAGTGATTGGGCATGATTCCACGTTTTTTTTTTGGGATATCAGCCATGGTCATGTCTGTTGCCACTGTGTGCATCGTGTGTGTATCGTACGTGATGCATTGTGCTAATTGTGTCTGTGGATATTCTGTTTGCGTGTGTCGCATGTATGTCGTGTGTGCGCGTGGCGTCTATATTCGTGTGTCGCGCATGTTGCGTATACGTGTCTTTTTGTGCGTGTCGTGTGCGCATGACATGTGCGTGTGATGCGTGTCGCGCGTGTGCATGTGGTATGGGTGTGCGTGCCGCATGTGCACATATCGTGTGTGCCTGTTGTGTCGAGCAGCAGACCAAGTGTATGGGGACCAGGACATGCACGATGTCGTGCGCAAGCACTGTATGGATTACCTGGTGAGTGCCTCGCACCTGCAACTCTTCCATTCCTGGATTTTCGCACCAAAACAAAGGACACCGTAAAAAAAAATTGTTTTATCTTTTGTAATACTATGAACTCCCATAAACCGTGACATTTGTTCATTTCAGATGAAAAACGCAGACTATTTCTCCAACTATGTCACGGAAGACTTTACGACGTACGTGAACAGAAAGCGCATGAACCACTGCCATGGCAACCACATCGAGATGCAAGCCATGGCGGAGATGTACAACCGCACATTCGAGGTGTACCAGTACAGCACAGGTGCTGCTCCCAAACCTGTCCGCTTCCTTGTTGGACTTGTTTTTACATTGTTGCCTGCAGGGTCGTCAAAAGTGTTTCTGCATGACCGGTATTCAAATGAAAACCGATTAAAAAACGAAAACGGTTAATACCGCGCACATAGAAACATCTAGAGCGATGAACATAACGCATTTTAGATTTGGAATTCAGAAACGGAGGAATCTGCCACAGCGGTGGCATGGTTACCAAATGGGACAATCTGGAGGTCGTGGGTTCGTTTCTACCTCTCGGCGCAGCAGTCAAACAATGGGGCCAAGATCCCTGCATTGCCCCTCTGTCGCCTGTGCCCACCCAGCAGCAGTGTACACGGGCAAGTCGGTTGGCAGGTCGAGCCCATCCGACGTTCATTACTAAACTTCCACAGGAAATGATTACCAGTGCCTGGCTCTCATTTGATGACCCAGTTCCCTCTTGCAAATGAGCCTCGTCCTGCTCTCTGGAGTTGCTACCTGGTTAAACAAATACAACTTCCATAATAGAGGTTTTTGGGTTAGATCGCGTAAATATATAAATGTGTCTTTAAAAATTGCCACCACCCGACACAGCCAACTAGTAAGGGTCGTCACTAGTACAGCACACCGGTGTGTTGGAGAGCCAAGTCACATTTACAAACTGAGTACGACGTTTCGCCAGTAATTACAATTAGCTTCATCATGCGACAGCCAGATTTGTGGAGAAGTCTTCCTGTTTCGTTCCTTAACGTTACTCGAAACCATGGGGTTCTTTAAGAGGTGAAACGTTAACCGATGTCACTGTTAAGGGACTACTGTACTACGTGTGTGTGCGTGTGTATATATACACACACACACGTTTGTATGTGCAAGCGTTTGTGTGTATTTTGTATATACACGTGTCCTCACGTGTTTGCCTTGTACGCCCACTTAACACCCTGGTGGGACACCCTTGTGCACACGTTTTTACACCTCGAGGGATGTTCCTGGTGAAACATTTTAATATATATCGCAAAGCTGAGCCTGCTGGAGCGCACTTGATGCGTTGTACACGTTTTCTCACTGCCAAACGCCTATCGTGTTTCCTGCCACAGAACCAATCAACACGTTCCACAGCATTTACAGGACAGACAACGAGCCGATCCGTGTGAGCTATCACCAAAACGCACACTACAACTCGGTCGTGAACCCCAACAAGGCCACCATCGGTGTGGGGCTGGGCCTGCCCTCCTTCAAACCTGGGGTAGGCCGCCATCTCTTCAACTTGAATTCACTGTGAACGGTTCTTAAAAGTGCTTTTTCCGAGCCAACGCTTGTGACGGGAAATTTATATGGAAAAAAAAAACTTTTGTTTACGCACAAGGTTCGATTTAAGTCGTCTGAATATTTTCATGTTATTGCTCTTTGTAATTTTGATGACCCAGGTCTCTCTCGCAAGTGATTCCTCCTGGTCTCGAGTTTTCACCGCGTGGTTAAAACAAGTAAACTTGACACTTGAAATGGGGTCTTCTGTTTGTTGGGCTGTGAGTTGACAATTTCTTTGCTCAGGCTTTCGCCACGCACTGCTGCAATTCAGGATGCCAGTAATACAGTTGGTGCATGGCGAAAGCTTGAGGAGAAATGCTCCACACGCAGACCAAGCTGAGAAACTTAATAAAAACACTGTTGCCGAGTTCAGGCCCAAAAGCACCGCACATCAAGCTGCTAGCAACGTAGTGCAATCTCATTCTGGCCACGCTACTCCTCGTAGGTCTGCAATTTCTTATGTACTTGGAACTTCTTTCGCACCGTACGTAGCCAGTCGTGCTAATCAGAGGTGTGGAAGAAGGAAAACATACTAAACGGGCCGAAAAAATGTGGTTTATAAGAGCATGGGTCTCAAAAGTCTGACTGTACACGAGTTTCTTTGTGTTGGTTCAGAGTTTGTGCGGTAATGCGTTGTGTGTCGGTGTTATTTTTGATGGCTGTGTCGTGTGGTTGTGCCATCTTGTGGTGTAATGGGTGGTGCGGGTGGCATGTGGTGGTGTTTGTCCTGCCGTCGTGGTTGGTTGTGTGGTGTGATCGTGTGGTCGGGTGTTTGGGTTTGTGGCGGTGCACACCATAGAATGCAGATAAGACGCTCATGCAGAGCGCCATCAAAACGTCGGAGGAGTCTTGGATCGAGCAGCAGATGTTGGAGGACAAGAAGCGGGCAACCGACTGGGAGGCGACCAACGAGGCCATTGAGGAGCAGGTGGCCAGGGAGTCTTACCTGCAGTGGCTGCGCGAACACGAGAAGCAAGCCACACAGGTGCTTCCACTCACACTGCCACACAGGTGTCCACTCGTACCATCACCACCACGCAGGCGTGTATGCTGTGTTAGTGTGTGTGCTGTGTTAAGTGTGGGGAGCGGTAGCGCAGCGATTCGCGCGCTGCACTACGAACCCGGCAACCCGAGTTCAGTTCCGCTCATGCCCAATATCAGCGACGATGATCTGAACCGGTTCTGGGCCTTCCTTAGGTCGACTTGGCCTCAAATGAGTACCTGGTGTGATGCGTAAACATCGCCACTTGGGAGACAAAGGCGACCCGGCATGGTGTTAGCCACCCACTCCCTCATGTCCCGTGCTGGCCTTCAGAGGTGCTCGCTAACAGCACTTGCCTCAATAGTCTAAGGCTATACGATGGAACTTGGCCTTTGTGTTGATGTGCGTTTGCGATGCCTGTACAATGCGTGGTGCGACGTCTCGTGCGACGTCGTGTGCTGCGTACACAGCCCAGGAAAGCCACCGCCACCTGCAGCTCGGCCACAGCAGCCGCTGCTGGGGTGGGGGGCGGGGGCCCTGCGGAGGAGAGTGGGGGCCGCTCGCCCCGGCCCCGCGTCGCGCTCTGCAGCTCCCCTGACCCCCCGGAGGCCACGGGCAGCGAGCCGGGGCCCAGGGGAGGGCCCTCCTCCGTGGGCCCTAAACCTCCCTCTCCCGGCCCATCCATCTACTCCAAGCCTCCCTCCCCGACTGCCGGTGAGCTCCTTACCCCCCCCCCGTGTTTTTTTTATACACTTGCTGAGCACAGGCTCAAAAGCCAAAAACTATCAAGTGGCCAGCAACAAACAGCACTATTATACAAGTTGTAATAGATAGAGTTAACGCATCTCTTAAATTGAGCAAAGTTATTATTTGAAGAGCTTGGGAAAGTGACGATGGGAGAGAATTCTGAAGTGCAGCAGTGCCAGGGAAGACCCATAAAGAGAAGGGTTGTGACCTGCATTATGGTGAGTGCATTGGTGGATGCTTGAATGAGTGAAAGGATTTGTGAGTGGGTGGGTAGGTGGGTGGGCGAGTTGTGTTGTGACCTGCAATGTGGTGAACTGTGGATGAGACAACACAGTCTGGAAGCAGGCGGCGCTTAGTATTCATGGTTAATACACACCGCCACGGTATTAACGAGGACAGCCTGCCGGATTCGAGCTGTGAACGCGCCCCCGTGTGTCGCTTCTCCACGCGCCATCTCCGTTCCTAGACAGTAACGTGGCCGCTCGCTTTGCGCAGAAGCAACCATGTCGCGTGTGGCGCACGGGAGTTGCCATAACGACGCTCGTGTCCGTCGCGTGTGCAGGCACAAGCTCCCACGTGTACTCCCCACAGCCCTCGAGCAGCCAGGCCTTCACGGGCCTCCACGGGGCCGCGAGCCAGCCCCTCGACTCACGCACCGTCATGCAGCAGATGTCGCCGACGGCGTTCGGTGAGCCGACATCTCCCTTGCTCTCACCTGCCCCCCCCGACCCCCTCGCCTGCTGCACGTGTCAGGCTTGTATCACGGTGGCGAGATGTTCAGTACCTCGCCCGGTATACAGGTTGTGGGTTAAATCCCAACCCTGACGCCTGTATATTTGGAGTTTGCGTGTTCTCCCCGTGGTCGCGTGGATATTTCTCCGGGTCCTCCGGTTTTTCCCTCCCTCCACATTTAGAAAAATGCATTCAAGTATTTGGCTCTATAAATTTCTCCATGATAAGCCACTTCGTTGAGCTACCATCTGTGGCCAGGTCGGTTCTAAATAAGAGCTATATAGCTCAATGGACCTTCCCTGATAAAAGAAAAAAGTTTATAGTTTTAGTTGACATGTCATTTGTACAAAACATGGTAATCATTTGTTGGCGCTGTAGTAATGTAAGCGGCTTAAATGCGTACGATGTGTGGGGGCTGCATGTGGGTGGTGTGTGGCAACTGTACATTGGTGAAGTGTAGCTGTGTGTTGGAGATGCGCAAGTGAAGTGTGTACTGGGAGTACTGTGGATGTGAGGGGGTGATTGTGTGCGATGGTATCAGTGCTGTGTTGAATGTGTGCAAGTGATGTCTGAAGTGAGTGTAATGTACGTGGGAGCTGTGTAATGTACGTGGGAGCTGTGTAATGTACGTGGGAGCTGTGTAACATGTCAGTGCTGTGTACCCACCTGCGCGTTTCTGTACATCTCTGTTGTGTGTACGTGGATGTGTGTTGGGGATGCGTGTGCATGCATATTGACACTGCGCAGCTGGGGAGCGGTTAGCGCACTGCACTACGAGCCCGGCAACCCGAGTTCCATTCTCGCTCATGGCCAACACCAGTGCAGATTTATCTGAACCGGTCTTCGGCCTTCCATTGAACGACACGGCCTCAAATAAGTATCTGGTGAAGTGTGTAAACATCGCCACTCGGGAGACACAGGCTGACAACCCACCCCTCGTGTACCGTTCCGGCCTCCATAGCTACTCGCTAACAGTACTTGCCCCCACAGTCTGTTCAAGGCTATACAGGGGATCTTTGTTTTTGTTGACACTGCGCAGGTCTCACGGACTGGGAAGATGATGACATTCTGGCCTCGGTAATGGCTGCATCTCAGCAGGAATACCTGGACAGCCTGAGGAAGCATGCTGGGGGCCCCCCCCAGTCCCCCGGCAGTGTCCGTGCCCCCCCTTCGCCCGACAGCAGTTGATGGCAGCCCCCCTCCCCCAAAACGAACGCACTCCCTTCGGCCCCCCCGCGTGGCTTCACCAGTCCCCGCCCCCCAGGGCCTCATAGCAACGATCATAGCACACGGGAGCAACGCAAGAGAAAGCGGCACTTCCTGAGAACTTAACACAGCGACACTCGGGACACGGCGACAAATGAGACCGCGACACCTAGACAACGGCGACACCTAAGCACAGCAACAGTAGATGGTAGCACCCAGAGACACCCAGAGTTTCAGACACAGCAACACATAGACACGTACACAGTAACACAAACAGACACCTAGGCACACAGTTACACCTCGACAGTGATGCCGAAACCCACAGTGCCACTTGGGCACACAGTGATATTTACAAAGTGACACCTACTTAGCACAGTGACACGACACAGTTGACGCACTTCTCAGCGACACACACGTCCCCAGATACAGCCCAATAGCGTGTGGCTCCGTCTTGGAGCACCCTCTGGACACTTGATCGCTTCTGTTTGGGTCATCATCATTATTATTATACCTGTCACAGCATCGGGGCAAGTCGGCACTCGCTCCCCAGCAGGGACTTGTGGAATTGAGACTGATCGACAGTGCCAGACTTGGCGCCACAGAGCCCGTACGAGGAAAACTGGCAAACGGGTGGCTCGGCGGTCGAGCGCGCCAGCGGCTCGCAATCGAAGGTTCCGAGTTCAAATCTCGATTGGGGGGGGGGTGCCTACTAAGTCCATCATCCCCCCCCCCCCGGGGGCGATTAAAATGAGTACCGCATCGTGGGGAAGTCAACAGTGGTTGTGCTATGGGTGGACTCGGCCCCGCCATAGGAATGTGGAGTTTCCACTACTGGCTCGGGGGCTGTAAATGGGAGATGAGCACCATTTTAGCCTCGATGCTCACACGTGAGCAGAAATTAACTTTTCGACGATTAAAGGAAACGGGACGACTCGAGGCCATCCCTCCGGTACTAAGAGTAAACGGGAGCCAGCAACCCGTGCCGCTGCGTGGGCCGCGGCCTCTCGGCAACGTCGCCAGGACGGCCTTCGCCGCCGCCGCGTGGCTTCTCATTTTTTACCGTAGTCCGCCGTGTCACGTTAGTTAGATGTGTAACCAAAACTATTATTTTTATTATTAATGTACCTAAAATGACATACTTCACTTTCGGTATAGCCGATGTCTTCCTGTATTTTTTCATTGCTACCTGTATGTGAATGCTGAGGTGTTGCGTGACATTTCTGTAGGTGTCTTGTAGAACTAGAACAGTGGCCTGCGTCCTGTAGGATGGGCGAGTGGGCCTTGCTGACTCTACAGGTGCGCGGTTCCACAGCACGTCCGGCCCAGGCATTTCCCCTTCTTGCCAGTGCCGAGTGGCTGCTGGTGTTGACGGTGTTATAATCTGGAAGGCGAGGAACAGCTGTTATTGTACAACTTTGACTACTGTTCAAATACATGGTTAATTTCACGATGCTGTGAACGGTACCGATTTGTTGCGCAGAAACACTAAAAGGGCTGGCGGTACCGTGGTAAGACGCTGCGTGGATGTAAAAAGTCTTGGTCCGTCACGCGTGATTTATTCCACTATTGACTGCCCGACGCCGCTGCCTCCTCGCTCCCAAAATCGGCCGCTCTGCAGTGGGTGGTTGCTTCCCAGCTCCAAGTTTATGGGTCCACGTGTGGGTTTCCGTGCTGGTGAAATAGTTGAGCGAGTAAGTGGGTGGGTGCGAGTTGGACTGAGTGAGTAAATGAGTGAGCGCATTGCTACATAAAACTAATTTCCAGTTAAAGTAACCTGCGATTGTAAAGCCACGTTGCTTTGCCGCTGAGCAAATAACTTAATGGAGTTGGGCCCAACATCCCAACGTAGGGCCGCCAAGCTTGGGAAATTTGCTGGCATGATTTCTGAGCTGCCTTTCCACTTGTCTGTGGTTTTCTGCAACTCGATGTGAAAACTGTCGCATTGCAAATATCTGCAATGGCAGCAATGAGATGCAATTTGCACGAACGACAACGCCATGTACACCCACACATTGGTTATTGTTTGAGCGATTTTTAGTTGAACTAGATATACAACGTGCAGATCATGTAACTCGTATGAACAGTGAATCCCTTAAGCAACAGTTTTCCAGTCCAGACAACCCATTTACAACCACCACTCCGCATCCCGGCACGGCACCAGCACCAAGCAGCAGCCAGTTTACATCTATTAGGGGATCGTCGCCGTGAGGAACGCTAAGAATCAGACTGAAGCGGCCCGAGATACGTGGGTTATCGCGTCAATCGTCACGGAGACGAGAGAATCCACACGAGCGGACGGACGTAGTCCCCCGTCGGGCGCTCCTCACAGCATCTACTACCAGGGCCTAGGCTCGCCATCGCCTCTGCCAAGCCCCCCTGGGGCATCCACGGGGGTGGCAGGAGGTCGCCGGTGAGCCAGGCAATTACGAGGATCATGTGACGCAGAGGTCGAGCGCCCAGGGGGGTGGTTTGGAGGTGTAGGAGGTGGGTGGAGCAGCGGAAAGAGCCTGCTCCCCCTCCACGGCGCCCAGGGCTTTGCTCTCCTCTTCATCGGCTGCGTCGGTAGCGTCTGTGTACGGCGTCTCCAGAACCCGCAGCACGCTCCGCACCTGGAGCGCGCAGACACCACACATGGGGGACAGTGTGTTGGGATAGCAGCGATTCCTCGTTTAACATGGTTGATGCATAACGGAAAAGTTACTACGTTCAGTGAGGAATTGCTGTTTTGAATCGCGTTTGCACGATACAATTTAGCTCGCGACATCCCATGGCAGGACAAGCAAATGAGATGAGTGAACGCCGTGTAAAGGATCAATCCGTGTACTGGATCAATCCGTGTACTGCATCACCGCTTTACAGCGCAGGTCGAGAAAGTAGTTTGTCGCTGACGGCTCCGAAGCTGCGTTGTAACAATGTGCGTTCCGCGTTGTGCGAAAACTCGTTGCTTGAACACGCGTTAGGCGAGGACTTGCCGTACTTCGAATTCTTCTTGTGCCGGTGCCAATCGCAGGGCCACGGGCGTGCACGGTGACCACCATTGCGAAACCGGTGTGAGTTTGTGAATGTAAAGGTGGGAAGCGATGGCAATGCGGAGGCGCGACAAACTTGAGGATCGCCAGGAAAGACGCCGGGGGGGCCGCCTCTCGCGACTGCTGGCAGAAGGGGGGGGCCTCCGTTAATAGAGCCGACACTCTGGAGTAGTATTTGCTCGACTCTACCACGTTGATCAGACGTGTTGGAAGAGGTGGACAGGACCCACATTCTACCCCACCAGACGCGAGCTGCCGATTGGCCAACTGTGGCCACCACAACGCTGGGGCACACGGGTGGGGTTTGGAATTTGAGAAACTTGTTCCATCTGCCACGCCAAGGAGGTGGAATTGCAACCAGTCGCCTATGGATGGCAAGTCCAGCGTGTGAACTGTGACATTGCAGGAGCAGCAGCAGCCCCCTGAGGCTACATGCAGTTGAATATCCCCACTTCATGCTGGTCCGCCTCCCCCCCCCCTGTATCCAGATGTCGTAAGTAATAAAACAATCGTGTAGAATTTGTACTGCCCCACATGGCTTCCGTTCGCTCTCACAGGGAATGAATCCAGCGCTATAGGAAGGTAGCCACGCAGAGCACCAACAATCCCCCCTGGCTCTGTAGTCTTATATTGGGTTGTTTGGCCAATTATCTTAAGTGTTTTATAGGTGAGGATGGACTGCAATGCTTGGAGAAAACCCTTGCGTGAAGAGTTGGGGGGGGGGGGTATACGCTCATTCCCCATACAGGTGGAAATTATCCCACTTGCTGTACTGCCATTGTACCCCCCACAGCAAACTCGACGCCCACGGCTTAAGGAGGTATTTCCACAAATCTGTGTGTGATCCACCAACCCTCGTGGCCCATACACCGCAGCAACTGCAGGCCGTGAGCAGCTCGGCCATCGGTACCCGGTCGGGGCCAATGGCCCCACGCACCTCTGAGAAGTCGCCCTCCTCGGCGGCCGAGATGGCCCGCTGGGCGATGTAGTTGCGCAGGACGACCCTGGGGTTGGTGGAGTCCATAGTGGCGGCAGTCTCCCTCCGCCAGGACGCCGCCTCCAGCCCCGACACCTCCCGCTCCTGCAGCAGGCGGCAGCTGCTCCACCGCACGGACACGGGTCACAGGTCACCCACTGGGGGTCGCTTACGGGGGTCGCTTACGGGGGTCGCTTACGGGGGTCGTCCACGGGAGGTATCCCCTGGGGTTGCCCATGGTAGAGGAGGGGGGGGGTCACAGCCACTCCCGCAGGAGCTGCCACTCTACCACTTCCACACAGCTGCTCCAGCCCATGAGTAACCAGACATCATGACCATGATCCACTTGCGTATCTAGCGGCGAGTGCTGTGGATATGATAACCCAAGATTGCGGGGTGGGGGGGTGGTGTGTAGTAGACGAGATCACAGAGGAGGGCCGACTGCCGATTCTGGCGACCGAAGAGAAGAGAAGACCTAAGCACAGCTGGTGGTGGCACAGCGATATCGGGGCAGTGACTGCAGCGGGATCTGGCCCGAGGAGGCAAGACGATGTCGTCCCCATCTCGACCGCGCACGCCGCTGGGACACCCGAGGCTCAGCAGGAAAGGGACCCGGGGGGGGGGGGGGGGGGGGCGCCACCTGTAGGCGTTGAGCCACTGCGTCCAGGCACGAGCGTCCTCCGCCTCCTTTTCCGCCGGCGTCACGAGGCGCCAGCGCTCCGAGGCCTCGACGCAGTGGAGCTCGCGCTCCAGGCCCGAGCGGCCGCCAAACATGCGCAGCACCTGCGGGTTGGCCTGCGCGAGCGCCAGCAGCAGGGACAGCTGTCTGCTCGCACGCACAAAGACAAAGATCGCCCCGCCCATCCCAGTGCATCCTTAACGGACTGTAGCGGTGAGCGCCGTTCGCGGGTAGCACCCTGGAGGCCGGCACGGCGCACGAGGGGGTGGTTTGGGCAGCACTTCATGGCCACTTGTCTCCCCGGTAGCGATGTTCACGCGCCGCCTCAAGTACTCATTTGAGTGCGATTCAACCACGGGGAATCCCAGGACCGGTTCAGATAATCGTCACTGGTGTTGGCTGTGAGCGGGAATTGAACTGGGGCGGCAGGGTTCGTAGCGCCGTGTGCTAACCACTGTCACCACTCGACACAACACGGTTGCCCGACACAGACAATAACAGCCACCGTTCGTCATGAAGTGACGGTGATGTCCCCACAGTACTTGTGCCAGGCTGAGTGCACTTTGAGGCCATGTGAAGTGTCAAAGGTTTGCTGGCAGGTCATGGGACAGACCCAAATGTTATGGGTTGACTGCAATGACTGACAGATGCACCACCTGTGATCCCCACTGCCAATTTGCTGCATTTTAGCCACCCATCACTCCACTCGTTATGAGCTTTGCTCCTTTGCCGACCCTGACGCCTATACATTTGAAGTTTACATGTTCTCCCTATGGTAACGTGCATGTTTCTCTGGATCCGTCGGTTTTTCCCTCCACATTTATAAACATGCGGTTGGCTGATATACATTTTCACGTGATAATGCACTTCATTGAGCCATCATTTGTGATCGCCAGCTAGCTTCTGAAAAAAAGAGCTAGAGAGCTCTGGGTAAAATAAAAAAAGTAACAAAAAATAGTACGTTTGAGATGAGATGCAAGTCGCTTATCGCACGTAAAGCACTGCAAGACGCCTAGGTGATTGTGTCGCAATTATAAGAGTTCTCTGACGCCGTGTCAGTCCTCCAGTCACATGGCCACCCGCCTTGCCCTTTGAGCCACGAGTCAGTGGAGACCCTTCGCTCGCACCTGGGGTCGATCCTCGGCTTGTAGGCTCTCTTCATCTCCTCCACGGTGGCACACTGCTGGCACAGCAATGTCGCCAGCTCCTCCACGGAGCCGGGTTCCAGCGTCAGGCGACTCAGCAGGCGGAACGAGTTGGTGAAGTCGGCGCCTGTTGGGCCGCAACAGGCAAAGGTCACACGAGCAGGATCTCGACTTTAGAGTTGTAAACTCGCGTAACTCGGCATGCCGCCGCCGCCGCCACACGGAATTCGCTCTCGACTCAACCCCTCGTCTCGCTCCACGTCTCCCCCCCCCCCCCCCCCCCCCCATTACATCACCCGCCATCACCCCACCACCACCCCTGCCCATCAAATCGCACGCCGGCCGCGCCAGCCATACCAGTGCTCTGCATGGTCTCGAGCAGCGAGGTCACGAGGCCCGCGTCGTCGGGCTGCTCGAGGAGGCCCAGGCCGAGCTTGCGCCGCATCTTGCGCAGGTAGGCCGCCTCGTAGAGGGCGCCGTACTCGTCCAGCACCGGCCGGCTCTGCTCGGTGGGCAGCGTGGGTGCCAGCGCCTCCGCCAACTTCTCCAGGTTCCAGCGGCACATCTCCGGCTGCTGATCATAGGCGTAGCGGCCGCCTTCGTCCGAGCCGTTACACACGTAGTGAGGGTCGAACCTGCGTACGAGGGCGAGAGGGAGCGGCGAATTACTCGACTCGGCAGCAGCTGCGGTGACATCGCCCAGTGGTAGGGCGTTCAATGCCGCAGAGGTCACCGGAGGTTCGCGTTTCGAGCCCGGCGGACTGCCCTGGTGATCGCTGCGGTGGGGATTGACCGCGGAAAAAATGCGACCTGCGCACCGTCTGCTTCACGGCGTGAGTTAAGCGGTCCCGTGACGTTCGAAACGACGAGGCCGTTGTCGGCCGGCGTCACGTTACACGTTTGCCAAATCGTACAATTTTACCTGCCAATTATTCAATTGGGATCACACGCAAAGTAGCAATCGCCGCCCCCTCCTCGCAGACTAACGCCCAATAGCAAGCCAGTGCTAAGTAACATTTTGCCCGCAGGGACGGCTGCCACTCGGGGTGCCCTTTCAAATGCGTAGAGATGAGTTTGTGAGTCACCGATCGCGTGTGAAGCGAAACGCCCAGCGTGAAGGAGGGTGGCTCCATCAACACAAATCACCATGATTGTGCCCGATGTAAATAATAATGACCATTGCTATTTTCATGACTCTGCTTGTTGACCCAATAATGTCTCATCGAGTCTCAATATACTTTTTTCATGAGGATCCTGCCAAGTTTTTGCAGTCGGGGTACACTGCTGGTACATATTTTGCAGGTGATTTATCAGCATTAGGATGTTTGCGTTTTGTTTTCGCGATGGGGGAAACCAGAGAACTCAGAGGAAACCCTTGCAAAACAGGGGGAAACATACAAACTCTACGCAGAAGGGTAGCCAAGTCGGAAATCCAACACAGGCTCAGGTGAGAGCCTGGACATGTGAGAACCTGGACATGTGAGGGCCTGACAGTTGAGAGCGTGGACTGGTGAAGGCCTAGACAAGTGAGGGCCTGCACAGGTAAGGGCCTTGACGGGTGAGATCCTGGTCAGTTGAGAGCCTGGATGCGCGAGGCCCTGGACAGGTGAGAGCCTGGACAGGTAAGGGCCTTGACGGGTGAGAGTATGGACGGGTGAGATCCTGGTCAGTTGAGGGCTTGGACAGGTAAGGCCCTGAACAGGTGAGATGCCTGAGCTGCTGCTTGAAGGTGAATGATGGTGTTTGGATGCCGCTACATAGGTGCAGCAGTGGTGAGAAGAGTTCCAGACAAGCGTTGCAGCCACGGAGAAACACCGCTCAGCCAGGACGGTGCTGGTTCTGGGGACGATGGGAAGATTTCAATAGCTCGGTGGCACGGGACAGCAATTACCGGTCCATAAAGCCGAAGGGGCCATAGTCGATGGTGAGGCCCAAGATGCTCATGTTGTCCGTGTTGAGCACTCCGTGGCAGAACCCCACGCACTGCCACTCAGCCACCAGGTGCGCCGTGCGCCGCACCACCTTCGCCAACACAAAGACAAAGATCCCCCCGTATAGCCTTAACAATGTTGGGGCAAGTGCTGTTCATGAGCACAGATGAAGGCCGGCACGGCACACGAGGTGGTGGGTGGCCAGCACCACGCCCAACCACCTTTGTCTCCCCAGCGACGATGTTTTTACACACCGCACCAAGTACTCATTTGAGTCTGAGTGAACCTAGGGGAGGCCCAGGACCGGTTCAGATAATCGTCAGTGGTGTTGGCCATGAGCGGGAATCGAACTCGGGTCACTGGGTTCGTAGCGCAGTGCGCTAACCGCTACACTATACATATATACACATGCCCTGTGAGAATCGTCTAATTCAACTAAATAAAGTTAGTACAAGAATAAATACAACAGGAAGTAGTACAAGAATAAATTCCCGACACGTAGCCCAACCCGGAAGCCCACGCCTGGATCAGAGAATCCTCAACCAACCATTAAGATCCATCTCTCATCAACTCTCAGAATCGGCCATTTCTGTATACAGAGTAACCTGCGCAAAGCATATACGGGGTGAGCTTACGCCCTGGTGAGCTGTCCACCACTCGGACTCCTCTACCGCCACACTGCTTGTTTGACATTTTTTATCATGACCCAGGATTGCCTGGGTCTCAAGACTCATTTTCAGGAAGGTCCTGCCAAGTTTCCACATTTAGACAAATACGTTTAGATTGTTTGGCTGCTATAAATGCTCACTGGGATTTGTATTGTTTTTGTTAATTTCTTACCCTTCCTACACTTTGCACTCCTAATGTGTCTTGTATTGTTTGTTGCGGTAACGTTCTGACCTGCCCCTAATGGTCATCTGTAAAAAAAGAGCTTTATAGCTCATCGGATTCCTCCAATATAAATATTCTAATTCTGTCATCCCAAATGAATAATTTCTCAGGTTATTTTTCAGCATTCAGATGTTTTGGCCAATACTGGTTGCATTGGAATCGTTTTATTAGCTATGGGATGAAACCCACGCAGAACAGGGGGAGGTCGTGCACAGAAAAAAGCGCTCCAGTCGGGAATTAAACCCAGGCCAGTCTTTCTGCGAGGTGAGAATATTACTACTGCACCACCCTGCCGCCCAAGTGATACAACAATAAATGCCGTATATAATGGATACATTTGGATGTGATACAACAATAAATGCCGTATATAATGGATACATTTGGATGTGGGAATTGTTCAATTTACCGGTAAGCAAGGTTAAATAATTATTATTGGTAAGTGAAATGCTTGCACACGGGGAAATTTAATGTATATGCATATGTCAGGTGGTGGAGAGTCTTACATTATAATACTGTATGTATATATCCTCTCAACTCTAAAACTCATCACACAAAAGGAACTCCCTACCCCCTAGCAAAGCCAAATCCCTGAGCTTAGCAACCAAAAGCATCACAAGGCCTACAGAAAAGCTCTCTTACATTCACCGGCATCACTGCCGGATGATGCCCAGGAAAACCGTATAAAGAGCACAAGAATGGCAGACATTCTGCTGCTCGTGAAACTGCAGGTCACGCAAGACTGCCCACTGTCTCCCCCTGGAGAAAAGGGTGCCTCTGTTGAACCAGCGCTGACCGATTCACTCCAGTCACTTGCTCACCGGCGCTCAGTCACATTGTTATCGCTCTTCTTTCGCGACTACCATGGTTACCGCTCCCATGAACTTCATGACTCAAGATTCCTCCACCAGATTCAGTTCTTCGTCTCATCCACTGTTCAACCACCACCATGCTGCAGGTCACTAAAAGTCATTCACCCACCCACTCAATCACCCACCCACCCACTCACCCACTCAATCACTCACTCACCCACCCACTCAATCACCCACCCACCCACTCACCCACTCAATCACTCACCCACTCACCCACCCACTCAATCACCCACCCACTCAATCACCCACCCACTCACCCACTCAATCACTCACCCACTCAATCACTCACCCACCCAATCACTCACCCACCCACTCATCCACCAAATCACTCAGTCACCACGCCTCAGGTCACAACGCTTCTCTCTCTGCTCCGTATGCCTGCACTGCTCCACTATGGAATTCCTTCCCATCGTCTCTATTCCCCAAGCTCTTAAAAAATAATAATCTGACTCGATTCAACAAATGTACGTCCTTTTATCCAATACAACTGACAGTGCACTTGTTCGTTGCTGGCCGCTCGATGTTCCGGGCCGTTGGTTCTGCGTTCAACAAATGTGTTAAGGAAGTCCGCGCGGAAGCAGAGAAGCCGACGCCAACCAGTTTGGCTGCTGCTGGGAGGCAAGGTAGAGCACGCACACGTGTGTGTGTGTGCGTGTGTGCGCGAATGTGACCGGTACGATCAGAGGCCCCGCACTCACCTCTCTAAAGAACGCCGTGTACTTATGGCTCGCGACGTCACCGTGGCCCTCGAGCAGCTCCGGGTAAAACGTGTCGATGACGTAGTCGAGCATGGTGACCTTGATGTCCTCGCGGCCGGCGCTGGGGCCCGTGCGCCCAGTGTCTTTATCCGTCGATTTGAAGATCTCAAACGAACCAAACCTAAAACGCACGACAGTGTTGTTGCATGGTGTCGAGTTTTACGTCGAATAGAACCACGGTGGTGAGATGTAATCCCTCGCCTGGTATACAGGAGGTTGTGGGTTCGATCCAGACCCGGACGGACACCTGCATATTTTGAGTTTGCATGTTCTCGTTGTGGTCGCGTGGATTTTTCTCCGGGTCCTCTTCCAGTTTTTTACTCCACATTTAGAAACATGCATTAAGAGTATTTGGCTGCTATAAATTTCCACACGATAAGCCACTTCGTTGAGCTATCATTTGTGGCCAGGTCACTTCTGAAAAAGAGCTATACAGCTCAGTGGGGGCCTTACCTGGGAAAATAAAAAAATTGTCTCAAATCTTTTTTTTAATAGAACCGTATCTAACAGAAAGGGGTCCTCTCCCATAAAATATGGGAAGTTCACCAGCATTGCCGAGAGTTTGCTTGTACTGAACCAATGGATCTCAAGCCTGACTGTGCTGATGAGCAACTGCATGTCAAAACTGGTCCAGGGTTTGCTTCCTATGGAACCAACGCTGCTGAAAAAAACCACGCGCTTCCAGAAGGCGATGCGGGCACACACTGTTATTTTGTTACGTGGACAAACGGACATGGGAAGGTATCGGGGGGCGTCTGCCAATAGATTTCGTACAAAGGATTCTGGCCTGTGGTGCACAGGCAAATATCGGTACTACCTCGGTTAACGCAGCAGATGCGTTCCATGACGTCACCGCGTTGCCGCAAACTTCCGTTACCAGAGTTGGATATAACGGAGGAGGCCTAGGGATGCTTTCCAGGACTTCAGAGTAAGGGGGAAACGAGAGGAAAGCATTGCTGCACAGCAGCCTTCACTTTCCTCTTTGGTTCTTTCGGTAAAGTCACGTAGGTAGAAAAATAATAATAGATCACGACTCTTCGATCGCAACACAAGCAATCGTCATCAGGTGGTGCAAACCACAGCAGTAAAAAACTGCTGTGGTTGTCCCACTTGATGACGATTGCTTGTGTTGTGATCGAAACGTCGTGATCAATTATTTTTTTTATACCTACGTGACTTTACCGAAAGAACCAAAGAGTATGGATTCCTGCAGTCACGAAAGCTTCAAATCAAGCCTTCACTTTGTCTGCTAGGTTTAAAGTGGTCTTTAAGGTGGACTGCGCTAACCATAACAAACACGCCACTTCACTTTTCATCTCTCCTGCCTCTACCCTCCTTAAGATGTGCATTTTCGCTGAACTTTTTGCCCAGTAAGGCCACTCACACGCATGAAGTAATGGGGGGGGGGGGGGGGGGGGGGATATAAAATAACTTTATCACTGTAAAAAAAAAAATAACACGATAAACTTTTACCAACACGAGGAGCCTGAGCAACGGCGGGAGGGAGCGGAAAGAGTGACCCAAGTTAGGGAGTCTCATGAAGCTCCTCGCTGATCGGCGTTGATAACGTAAACAAACTCCACTTGGTTGCGTTTACAACATGCGTGCATCGCTTTGCATGATTTCTGAATATTTATTCAGCAAAATTTTTTTTTTGTGTTCGTGCCAAAAATAAGGCGGGCCAAGTGGCCCTCCATTGGCGACATCGTTATAAAGGAGCTTCGTTCCCAGAGGCCTCGTTAGCCGAGGCATTGCTGCGGCGGCCGGGGCGTTCTGCCGGATCGTGAGCACCCTGTCGGGCCGTGTCCCTGCGGTGTCTTGCCTGAGGAAGGAGGGCGCGATTCGCAGCACCACGCTGCACTGCTCGGGCCGGGCGTTGCCATCGTAGTGGACGTCCCTGAGCACCGTGGAGTGCGACGTGACGCACGAGCCGGCGCGCGTGGTCGGCACGCCCAAGTGGTGCATGGCCTCGCTGCACAGGAACTCGCGCAGGCTCGAGCGCAGGACCTTGCGGCCGTCCGAGTGCCTGCAGAGTGGGGGACATCGTCGCCACATCCTCAACGTCACCATGGTTACGTGTGTCTGCAGTGCTGACATCGTCGCCACCTCCTCAACGTCACCATGGTTACGTGTGTCTGCAGTGCTGACATCGTCGCCACCTCCTCAACGTCACCATGGTTACGTTTGTCTGCAGAGTGGGGACATCACCACCTCCTTAACGTCACCATGTTTACGTGTGTCTGCAGAGTGGGGACATCACCACCTCAACGTCACCATGGTTATGTGTGTCTGCAGTGCTGACATCATCACCACCTCAACTCAATTGACTGCAGAATCTAAAATATGATTTCGACTTAATTAAATTTGCAATTATTACTAAAACTGCTCCTAATTCCCAAAAAAACAAGGTCCTGCTCTTTTCTTAAAACTAAAATCAAGTTTCATTCCCTTCACCTATTATGGATATCAGATACAACATCATTGAACGGAGTGCTTCAAATACTTGGGTTTACTGATTAATTTAAAATGTACATTCCAACTTGATATTCTCAAAGAAAATCAAATCAAACATAGGGGGTTTTTTTTCTACAGAAACAAACACTGTTTTCCCATGACCCCTGTAAATTGCTGAAGCTATCTCGCACTTTTTGATGACTGTGACTCTGCTACACATCAGCTACTAATGAAACATTAAGCAGATAAACCCGCTTTATCACTTTGCCCTTCGATTTACCCTGATTGTACCACACAGTATTGTACCATTGTGACCTCCACTTAAATCCAATCTCACATCACTTGAAGAAAGAAGAACTCTACATTGGGCACTGTTCATCCACAAAATCCTTATTGGCAAATCTTGCGCTATATGGTACATACCGAATTCATTAACCCCATTGTCAAATCCAAGAAACCTAAGACGTCCGTCTAATTTTATTTTAATTAACCCTAGAACAAGAACTTGGATTAGGTAATAAAGCCTTTGCAGTTGCAACACCAACGCTTTAGATCAGGGGTGGGGAACGTCCGGCCCAAGGCCGTATGAGCCCCGCAAAATAATTTGGTGTGGCCCTGCGGGACTCGAAATTCAATAAATCTAGGAGCAAACCTGGAAAAGCATTTGCGAGTAGCAGCAACATCATCAATACCAACTAACATCATCACACGCCTCGCCAAAAAGAAACAGTTCCAGCCATCGCATTAGGGGTGAGTTAATTAAATGTTTGACCAAATATAACAGGCTAATTTTTAAGTTGATAATGTTGTATGGCCCGTGAATAATGTTAGAAATATCCAAATGGCCCTTGTTAGAAAAAAGGTTCCTCACCGCTGCTTTAGAACCTTGCTTCCTCCCCTAGCCTCGTAAATATTCCTTTAAAAATATTCTGACACAGAAGATTAGTGTCAAATACAGCCACGTTTGCAACATGTGATTTGTAACTTTGCACCTGACCAGTGTATCATCGATAGTCACATTTTAATGTGTGTTGTTGTCTTGGTGTGGTCTGGGACTGTTGATTTTTCTTCCTTGCCCCAAGCTTGCATTTGTTGTTGACAAATCGGCAGGAATTAATGTATTTGTGCATACTGTACTCAGATTTATTTAACATTTTTAGGGATTTGCTTACATTGCTTATCTTGCACTCATATCTATCTTGCACAAGTTTATCGGTGTAACTCGCTGAGACGCCTCTACTGGACATCCGTGAAAAATATCTTCATAGCTCATATTCTTGGTTCTTTCGGTAAAGTCACGTAGAAGGGAAACAATAAAATAATAAAAATATAAAACAATAAAATTCTCACGACGTTTCGACTGCAACACAAGCAATCATCATCAGGTGTGTTGCAGTCGAAACGTCGTGAGAATTTTATTGTTTTATATTTTTATTATTTTATTGTTTCCCCTCTACGTGACTTTACCGAAAGAACCAAGAATATGAATCCCTGCAGTCACGAAAGCTTTAAATCAAAACTTCATAGCTCATCGCATTCTTCTGGGATAAATAAAGATTCTGATTCCGAATTTAACAGTAAATTAACCCAGTACAATGTGAATAAGGCCCAGTGAAAAGGTAACCTGTGCTTTAAATTGTAAACATATACTGAGTGTAATGTAGCTTTAGGAGAAGAGAGAGACTGGATTAGCCCGGCAGAATTCATGGTTCCTTGCAGAAACTCCTCGGTGTTGCTTTGTGTTCTCTCACTAGAAGTGGTGGTTACCCGATTCCGAGAGTCAGAAACTGACTGGCATGGGCGGGCGTACAAACCGCACGGCGGCATAAGTCACCGCGTGGTTCATTTGCCCGCGATACCTCTGTTAAACAGAAATCAGAATGTGTATTTATGCTGGAGGAATTCTATGAGCTATGAAGCTCTTTTTTCCAAAGATGTTCAGTAGGGGCGGGTAAGATCGTCACAACAGCAAACGGTACAACAACATGGATAGTCGTGCCAGAAAGATAAACTAATCGCTCAAACACAAACAAATACAACACTAAACCATCCCTATCCTACCAGGCACAGCCCACTGAGGTATTCATTTGTTTTTCAGAAGCGACCTGGCCACAAATGATAGCTCAAAAAAAGTGGCTTGTCACGTGGAAATTTAAAGCAGCAAAAGTCAGCGAGGCACTCGTAAAACGGTCGAGGTGCAGCCCACAAAAGTGCTTGCTTCGCCAGAGGAAGCTCGAGAGGAAACTTGGTCGATTCTTTCACGCTGACCACACGTTTGGGAGGAGGTTGGCGTATCCCCACACTTTACCCCAACACACGCGGACCTGACGATCGACTGTGGCCGTACCCATTTCTTTTTGCCGAGCGGGTGAGGATTTAAGCAACTCGATCGAATCCAACTGGCCACCTCTGTATTGCATGTCCAGTGTGAGAACCATTGCACCACTGTGGCAGACTGGTTAAATGTAAAACGTGTTTAGGCATTGAATACTGTACTGTATTAAAAAAAATGACTTGATGATGGGACCCAGATCAACCCTTGCTTAACAGAGGCGATTATGTATCGCGTATTTCTCAATGGGTTCATTTAATCTGCTGGTTAAAGGAAGGACACGGGACCGACGGATTACGTGACCAACATCACAACGCACACGCAGGGGGCAATGCCCTCTATCACTGCCCAGCAAATCCCATCAACGGATAACAATCACCTAAGCCCATCACCGAATACCATCACCAGCTCCCATCACCGAATATCATCACCGAAGCTCATCAAGTGATACCATCACCTCAGCCCATCACCGAATACCATCACCAGCTCCCATCACGGAATATCATCACCGAAGCCCATCACCGAATACCATCACTGAAGCCCATCACCAGCTCCCATCACCGAAGCCCATCACTAAATCCCATCAACTGATACCATCACTGAAGCCCATCACTAAATCCCATCACCAAACCCCATAACCAAATCCCATCACCGAATACTATCACCGAAGCCCATCACCAGCTCCCATCAACAGCTCCCATCACCTGCTCCCATCACCTGCTCCCATCACCAGCTCCCATCACCAGCTCCCATCACCAGCTCCCATCACCTGCTCCCATCACCTGCTCCCATCACCAGCTCCCATCACCAGCTCCCATCACCAGCTCCCATCACCTGCTCCCATCACCTGCTCCCATCACCTGCTCCCATCACCTGCTCCCATCACCAGCTCCCATCACCTGCTCCCATCACCTGCTCCCATCACCAGCTCCCATCACCTGCTCCCATCAGGCAAGAGCAGCACACAACAGTTGCATGAAGAAGCAACAGCCTGGCTTCGTGGCTCGCAATCGGGAAGGGTGTGAGTTCAAATCCTCCTGTGTGTGAGGGTTGTCTCGGCATTGAATGGCGCTCATCTCCCCCTTCATCAACGCTGCTGAGTGAAGACGGTCTCCTTGACACGGAGGTAAGGAACGGTGAGCCGAGGGGTGAACTCGAGTCGTCTTATGCAACTAACCCCACGACTTGCTGGCCATCCCAGATAGACCAGGGGTCGTCTTTGGCTGCTCCCTTGCTGCTCTTCGGCTGCCTCCCCTTGCGGGTAAGCCGTTTTTGAGGGGCTAGGGGGGGAATAAAACCCTGAATTTACTCTCGAATGAAGTACAGATGAAGTGCAGGCGGTCCCCTGGGGTTTATGACACAATGCGTTCCTGGAGAAGAGAAAAAAAACCCCCATCGTAAATCGGAAATTATTTTCCCATAGATGCAATGTTAGCGTCTTCGTGACAACAACATGTAACAGTGAAACTGCAATGTTAAAGAATAACTAAGGGAGGTGGGGACCTAAATAGACGCAGTTGATTCCATCACCTATTTAGTTAATTTAAATCATGATGCGTGTCGTCATCTGCCGTATACTTGCTGCTGTGTTTGTGTGTCCAAGAAGCTCTCTCTGCGTGTGATGCGGCTCCCGGAACCGTTTTGGTCAAAGGTAAAAACAAAACAATGGCTCTTCTTCTTTTAAAGGTTGACCGACCCCTGCCCCTATCCCTAGTGCCCCAACCCGGGGTTCCTGGAGCTTCTGAGACCCCTACCCCAAGTGTCCCCCCTGGAGTCCCTGACGCATCTGGGAACCCAAGTGTCCCATTGAAGTCCCTGACGCATCTGGGACCCCCACCCCAAGTGTCCCCCCTGGAGCCTCTGGGACCCCCACCCCAAGTGTCCCCCCTGGAGTCCCTGACGCATCTGGGAACCCAAGTGTCCCCCTGAAGTCCCTGACGCATCTGGGACCCCCACCCCAAGTGTCCCCCCTGGAGCCTCTGGGACCCCCACCCCAAGTGTCCCCCCTGGAGTCCCTGACGCATCTGGGACCCCCACCCCAAGTGTCCCCCCTGGAGCCTCTGGGACCCCCACCCCAAGTGTCCCCCCTGGAGTCCCTGACGCATCTGGGACCCCCACCCCAAGTGCCCCCCCTGGAGCCTCTGGGACCCCCACCCCAAGTGTCCCCCCTAGAGCCTCTGGGACCCCCACCCCAAGTGTCCCCCATGGAGCCTCTGAGACCCCCACCCCAAGTGTCCCCCCTGGAGTCCCTGACGCATCTGGGACCCCAAGTGTCCCTGGAGTTCCTGGAGCCTCTGGGACCCCCACCCCAAGTGCCTCCCCCCCCCCCCCCCCCCACCCCTGGAGTCCCTGACGCATCTGGGACCCCCACCCCAAGTGTCCCCCCTGGAGCCTCTGGGACCCCCACCTCAAGTGTCCCCCCTGGAGTCCCTGACGCATCTGGGACCCCCACCCCAAGTGTCCCCCCTGGAGCCTCTGGGACCCCTACTCCAAGTGTCCCCCCTGGAGCCTCTGGGACCCCCACCCCAAGTGTCCCCCCTGGAGTCCCTCGCGACTCCTCAGGTGCCCCCCCTCACCCCCTCCACGGCACCTCGAATACGGCGTTGGTCCGGCGCCCTTGAGCTGCACCTCCCAACGCTGCCCGGGCCCCGGCTGCACCTCGCCGAGGTACATGGCCGCACCGTCCCCCAGCTGCCCGGCGAAGCTGCCGAACTGGTGGCCGCAGTAGCAGTGAGCGGCCGGCTGGGCCCCGGGAGGGACGCGGTTGCCGGACAGGAACTCGGCCGCCTCGGGCCGCGCCGCCTCGGCCTCGGGGTCGCGCAGGCCCAGGAGACGCAGCGCGGGCACGGAGATCGCGACCACGCGAGGCCTCTCCACGGGGCTGGGCCTCACCCGCGAGAACACGGCACCGGGCACCTGCCGAGGCGCCGGGTCGTCGCTGGGGTCCAGCGGGAGTCGGCGCAGCGCCGAGTTGTCGAAGCGCAGCGTCTCCAGGGTGGCCCCGGGGCCCGCGGCGGACACGGCGGGGCCGGAGGCGCACGCCCGGGTCGCCATGGCCCAGGCTGCCTGCTGCTGGAGCTCTCCTCGTCTCAACTGTGCGAGTCGCCTGCGCGGGTCTGCGAAGAGGCGGCGAAACGCGCTCATCCACGCAGCAGAGACGACGAAGAGGAGGAGACGAGAGAAGCGCGATGGGGAGAGGGAGGTGTGAGGAGGAGGTGGAGGGGCTGGAGGGGGGAGCTGATGAACTCCCCAGCTGAACGCAGCGGCGGCGGCGTCACACGGGGCCGTGACCCCGGGCTGCGTGGTCCTCGGGAACCATGGCGCTCGAGTCACTCATTAATGTCGTTACTTTATTATTTTTGCACTTATTTACCCAGGAAAGACTCACGGAGTCTCTCAACTCTTTATTTTTCAGGAGAGTTGTTTGCAGAGGTTTATTTTTACAGTAGGGGGCGATGTTGCTGCTGCTGATGATGATGTGTGCGCTTCCAGTTGAGTAATTTGAAAGTAAATGACTGTATCTGCTTTTGGGATGTTTGGCCAAAACCAGTTACATTTTCGCGTGTGTTTAGCTCTGTTCTACATGAGATTCCTGCGGGTTCTACTGTTTCTTCCCAGAGAGAGAACATATAAACTGCACATGGAGGCGCCAGTCAGAAATATCGACCCCAAGAGCGCCTTTGCAATGAGGTACACTTTCACTGCCACAATGACCCTTGTAACCCGTAGTTCTCGAGGTCAGACCGTGCGATGCACTTGTGGCGACCACCTGCCACGAGATCAGACGAGGTATTTCACTTGGTCACCTCAGGTCAGTACCATCTGGGGTAGCCTAACTCTCGTAAGTGGTTCTGATTCTCTATATGGCCAAAAAGTGAATGAAGTGATTACAAAAATTGGGATATCACAATCAGCAGACATTGTCTCCACATAAAAAAAGACCGTAAAAACACGGTACGCATCTCCTCAGTTACAGCCTTTGGGGAGTGAATTTTTCATGAGGATTAGTTGAATACAACCAAACTCTGGGTCAGTTTCAACATTCTCTTCAGGAGTCAGACCAAGTGAATTATTTGATAACCCACTCCTATCTCTTGGTTATCACACAATTCAATGTTGTTGACCACAGAGAAATCGAAGCAGCTAAAGTTATGCTTGGTACTGACGAGTGACAAACGCAGTCTGGTCGCATGAGGGCAGACACGGGACTGGTTGCCACATGAAATTCCATTAGCAATTAAAAACCAGCCTTGATCAATCCACTGCTGGATGAAGGCTTACCCAAGCTGCCACCGCAATCATTTCTCAATAAAAATGACCGACACAACAATACTGACTTTAAAATGCTTTATTCAAACACAAACTTCATGATACAGCATTGAAATAAATTTGCACCTGTGCATAAGACATTGTCAACATTAACAGAACAATATTAGGTACAAGTTGGGTACAGATTAATGTCCTAATTTCAGACTGAAAGTGATATCCTGCTCAAATGAGCACTGAGGCATTGGAGCTCATCTCACGTTTACAGCCCTGAGCCAGTGATGGAAATTCTGCATTCATATGGCAGGGGCAAGTCTTTCCAGAGGGCACTGACTTCCCCATAAAGTGGTCCTCATTTTATCGACTCTGCAGGGATGAAGTTCGAAGTCAACCCCCCAACGAGACTTTGAACTCACGAGCTGCTTGCTGTACCACCAAGCCACCTGGCTTTCCTATTAGCGTCTATAAATACATTAATCGCAGCATAGGTAAACGCACGAATTGCCATCTATATCAGTTACTGAGATGTAAAGTCCTCTGCAATTATGCGATCCTTTACAAGCTTCAATCACCATTACCACTTGCCTTTCGCAAAATGCGGGCAAGCAAGCCTAACTCTACGTGTAGGCCGTCCATGATGATCTCCTGAATGGGTAAAGGTGCATCCCTGCAATTGCTGGCAGAAGCACCTCCACTAGAGCGAACTCTTCAGTGGTATGTTTGGCTCTTCCATGCTGACCATACGTGTTGGAAGCGATGGGATAACTCACTTTACCCCACCATACACGACCTCCCAAATGACTAGTGTACCCATTTATACTGCTGGGAGGAGAGAGGCGGTGGGGGAGAACGAGGGTATTTGATCAACTTGATGCATAAGGTGGAAAATTCCACGCTCTGTCTTGAGAACATAGAGTTGTGAAAGGATGCAATATCATACAGTGAGGGCAAAGCTGGGGTCAAGTTTAATCACGACAAAACCAGTGTCCATTTGTCTTTTATCGGAGTATATACAAAAGTAGCAAGTTGTACTTTACTTTTCAAACTTAGGTAAAAAAAACTCAAATATGTGCTAGTAATGTCACAATGTCAAGGAAAGAATAATGGTGGTGCATTTGAATAAATAAGAGCCCGGAGTGTCTACGTGGAGCAGTAACATGGCCCAGAGGCTGCTTCTTGCAGAGGTTCGTAGTTTGAATCTAACAGGCTTCCCTGGTTGATGCTGCGGTGTGTATTAACCACAACATACTACACGTGGTCTGCTTCACTCAGTGGGCTTTAAAGATCCGATGACGTCATTCAAACAGTAGGTCATTGTGTGCCAAAAAAAACATTACACTGCAAATTACTCAACTGGAAAATACATAGCAACCGTCACTCCCTCTTGATAAAACGTAGCAGGACCCTGCTACCTGAAAGAAGAGTCTTGAGGCTTTCCTGGGTAACCGAGCACGTGTAGAAGTAATCGTTATTGTCAGTCCCTCAACCACTCGCATGCATTCCTTCCGTCTAACTCCACACCTCAAGCAAACGCTCCTCGTGTCTTCCTGTCTCGCACCTACAAAGGCTTCAGGAGCTCTTCCCAGCGGATAGGCTGAGAGAAGACCTCCCTGTGCAGCCACGTCTCGTAGCTGCAGCAGAAGTGCGAGGGCAGCTCCGTGGAGCGGCCCAGGAGGCTCTGAAGGCAGTTGTCGACCGGCGCGTAGTCGCAGCAGGCCGCCTCCCCGCTGTAGCGGCGAGCGTTGAAGCGCTCCACGCTGGCCCGCAGAGCGCACTCCTCTGCCTGGAAGTCCCAGGGCCGCGCGTCGATGTCTGCAGCGGCAAGACGACAGCAGATTTCTCAAACACGCGGCGCCCATTGGCAATTATCAATAATGCATTGCGCGTGTGTGTGAACACAGTACCGGACGCTGGTGGCTATGCTGCACACGACCTGTAATGCTGCACTGTGCAGGCAGCGAGGGTTGGTGGATCACACACAGATTCGTGAAATGCCCTATTTTTCAATGGCCATCAATGTCACTGACATCTCCTGGCTTGCCAGGGCATGGCAGTAAAGCAAGTGGGTTATATTCCATGTGTACGGGCGATTGAGTGTTACTCCCACCTCACACGTGGGTTTTCTCCAGGCACTACGCTTTCCACCCACATGTATAAAACTCTTCAATGGAGTTGCCTAAACAAGCTAATATAGGATCGCAGAGCTCGGGCAATCGCTGGTGTTGGTTCTCACCGTCTTCCCTGGCACTTGTCTGTTTCCTGTGCCTCTGCGAGTGAATAAAAACTGCGCACATTCCGAGAATATTATTATACCTAGGCAGTGGCCCGCTCGCCGCAGGGACCTGGGCACACAGGGAAGGCTGCGCAGGGGGCTGGCCACATACCGTTTCCAAAGGCCCAGTCGTCGTTGAGACGGTGCCGTACTTTCTGGTAGATAGCCGACATGGTCTTCATGTTGCTCTTTCGCCACTGCCGCCCGAGGTATTTGGTCTGAACCTTAAGCAGCTTGAGCACGTAGAGCTGCATCGTGGCCTGCTTCACCTTGAGCGCGCGCTTGAGAATGGGCGCCGACTTAAACACCACGAGCATCTGTCGGCAGACGGCGCCACATTACGCACAGCCCTGGCTGCGGACAATGTCCTTTCGATGGGGGTCAGTCAGGTGATAATGATAATATTAAACTTGTTTACCCGGGGGGAGCATCGCATCGCAGGAGGGAGCAATGTTGCAATGTGTAATCACAGTTGAGTGGTTTACAGGTACGTGTTCAGCATTGGGATGTTTTGGCCAATACCATTTTTCTTTTGCTATGGGAGGAAACCAGAAAACCCAGAGGAAACTAAAAATCCACAGAGACACCCGAGTCGGGAATCAAACACAGTCCTTTCTCACGGAGGCACAAGTGTCAGCACTTTGACACCGTGCCGCTCACCCCTGATGAGCGTCAACTGAAGATTTGCGTAGGTAAATATTTCCTAAGTGGATAATACTGTACGATTATTTCACGTGTAATCTGTTGAGACTGCATGTGACGAGGTCACTAGTTGTTGCTGAAGTCGCCCTCCTTCCACCCGGTCTCCATCGACCACACAGACAGAGAAACACTGCTACTATTTCTACAGAATCAATAATCAGGCAACATGCTTCCACACCTGTCCCTCTGCGTAAAAATAAAATTATTTTTACACATCTCATCAGCCGCACGGCCTTCTGGAAGTGCATAATTTCCTTCTATGTTTCATCACCAGTCAGGTTTGCTTAAACCAATGCTGGTGAACTGCCATATCTATGCAAGATTTTTACAACATGTGTCATGTGTAAAGGTCCTCTCCGAACCAAGGAGTCGAACCGATTGGTTTTCAGGCATGGTGCGGGTAAACACAATCAGTTGAACTGGTTACAGTTTAATTGGCTTACAATGCTCTTGAAAGATTCAGTCCCGGTTAACGATTTGCTAAAACCAGTTAAAATTGGTAACCAAACCCTGTTTTAGTGTCCATTGCATACAACAAATGCTAGTTAGGCATGGCTCACCATGGTGCGCGAATGTTTCCACTTGGTGAGCTTGTTGAGGATTCGGAGGAGGTTTATGCATGAGAAGAGATTCCTCCAGCAGAACTGGGTTTCATCCCCGGCTTCCTGTACCCACACGGACAGCAGAGTAAACACGTCACTCAGTTTGCATTGTAATGTTTATTTTGTGTGGCGTCATTCGTGCAAATTGCATCTCAAACCGCTGGAGAAGAATCTGTAATGCGTGCAGAACGCAGTTAGAACCGGTGCCAACAATTGCCTCAGCTCTGTGGTACTATACTGTAATGTTTGTACACATTGTATACAAAATAATCATGATCATCATACAAAATATAAGTAGACAATACACCTCTTTTGCATGTCTCTCCATATAAAATAAAAGTACTTTCTTACACATCCCATCAGCCAAACAGCTTTGTGGGAGTGCATTTTTTCAGGAGCATTGGTTCAACATGAACACAACTTTAGACCGCTTTCGACAGTCCTTGTCCCATCGGCAGCCAGGTTTGCTGAAACCAATTACTCGTGAAGCGTATTGTTTGTTTAAAAGTGTTACCGATATTCTTTACAAAGACGCAAATGATATCGTGTTATTATATAGTTCTGCGTCAAACTAGGACTCATATCTAACAGAGAGGGGGTTCCTTGTCTATAAACATCTGGCAGTTCACCAGCATTGGTTCAAGCAACCTCCAACTGCTGATGAGACATTGAATAACTAAGCTGGACCAGTGTGTGCTTGTATTAAACCATTGCTACTCATAAAAAGGCCGTGTAGCCGATGAAATGTGTGAAAAAAATACTTTTTTATGTTAAGAGATAGATATGGGAAGGAGGCTTATTGGATCCGTAATGATTTTGTTACAGATTGCAGTCCTATACATATTTACAGTAGTTCAATATTAAAATTTGAAACAATCCCGCATCAAAATAGACTTTATTGACATCAAACTCATGCTTCCTCAGATTGTCACTAGTTTTTTGCACCTTCCATTAAGTGGCCACACAGCAAAACACTTGAGCTGTTTTGTTTGCCATACGAGCAATAACTAAGTTTAACAATGCTGAATGTTTGAGGTAATTTGTCTAATCAACGAAGTGGCCAGATATTCAGTGATTTTAAGCTGGTGGTCTGGATAAGGCTTTTATACACAATGCTTTTATACACAATGCTGGACACCTTTGTATGCTGCTAAATCTAATCACACACAAGCATGAGTAATATCCATTGCAACATCCCCCGTTAAAATAATGACTCGGAATCTTAGCAGAACAAACTCCTTGACCTTTTAAAAGACATCTTACACATCTGCAGTTGTAATTAATGTTTAATATGGAAATGGGTGGTGGAGATGAGGTTGAGGTGAGGACTTGCCAGGCTCTCGGCTGTCAGGTCAGGGAGGTCATGCACCACGCAGTATGGGTAATCCAGCACCACGATACTTAAAAACAGAACAACACAAGTCACATCAGGCGACACAAACACAGGAGCAACTCCACATTGTCCAGGCATTCCTAGCTGTGGCCTGCAGCAGCACTGCTAATGACTTCACTTGCAGTTGTATTTGACATGGGTGCAATAATCACCCTCAATCCATGGTGATGTTTCTGTAACTTAATTTTACTTGGTTTTGATAAGTAATTTGTCCAAGCCAACCTAACAAGACATGCTTGATTTGAAGCTTTAGTGACTGCAGGAATCCACTCTTTGGTTCTTTCGGTAGTCATGTAGATAGAAAAATAATCATAGATCACGACGTTTCGATCACAATACAAGCAATCGTCTTCAGGTGGGACAACCACAGCAGTTTTTTACTGCTGTGGTTTGCACCACCTGATGACGATTGCTTGTGTTGCAATCGAAACGTCGTGATCTATTATTTTTCTACCTACGTGACTTTACTGAAAGAACCAAAGACTAACAAGACATTATTTTCTTTCATAATGATTCTTGTTTGTGCACAGTTTCGATTTGTTCTGTGGAATGCAGTGGTTTTTTTTGTCCGATTTCTATTTGCTTCATTGTTCTACTTAGTTTTTAAGTTATTGTTTTTGTCATTTTGGTTGACCCAGGTTACGAAAGTGGTTTTTCTGGGTGCTGGAGCACATTAATGCACCGTCAGCTGCATTATGGTTCCAAACGGAATATTTAGAGAATTATATTTGGAACTTTCCTGCATGTGCTCAATTCTGCGCAAAGAGTTGACACTGCTAGCATTGGTGTCTTGTGACAGAGGCAACGCCTCCCTAGAATCTACAACACTCTGCCAATTTGCATAAAGTATAAGCACCAATATTGAGACACTGGGAGCTGCTGTGGTTGTAATAGTTAGCAAGTTGGACTTGCAATCCAGATGTCACTGGTTCGATTCAAACTCCCGACGTGGTAGCTGAATAGGGTAAGTCGCGTGTGGTGGGGTAAAGTATGGGAACTCCCCTACCTCTTCCAACATATCTTGTCAACATGGAAGTGAGGAGCAAATGCCCTCTAGATTTTACTCTCGTGGAGACCCTTCCACAAGCTATATGAAGTGAGCAACACTTGCATGGCCGTACCTTTTCCCATTACCTTTGTTTTGACGAGACATTGCTATGCAGTGTCAAGTGACATGTGGCTGCATTGAGAGGCAATGTGTAGATTCGTGCAACACTTCTGGGGGAGAGGGGTCCTCATCTATAAACATCTGGCAGGTTCACCAGCATTGCTTCAAGCAAGCTCTTGCCGATGAGACACCGGAAGTCGAAACTGATTCAGAAATCGCTTGTGATGAACCACCGCTGCTGAAAACAAAAATCACTCCCAGAAGGCCTTGTGGCTGATGGGATGTGTTTAAAAAAAACACTTGTATTTTTTTACAAGAAGGGCCAGATATGTGAAGGAGGTGAATTGTTTGCAGATGTTTTACAGATTTAGAGATCACACCTGTTTTTAGCTGCGATGTAAGACATGATGTTTTGGTTGAAGAACTTCAGGATGAGAGGTATGCAGTTTGCAAACACCAGGTGCTGGGACATGTACTCAAACTACACACGCCACACACACACACGCCAGCCACACGACACGTAGCTGTGTATTGGCCTCTGTGGGTGTCTTCACAGGACATTTGTGAAATGGCCATAATAAAAAATATATTTTGTAGGTGTTATATAGCATTGTTATTAGAGCAAATCACATCTATAAACGTTGATGTAGAAGAATTTGTAACATGCACAGAGGTGTGGGAAACCACACGCAAGTGGGAGAGCAGCCAGAACTGGTGCCAGCTTTTGCTCAAGCCCTGTTGTCCTGTATTGAGATATTTGGGCAACACCATGAATGCGTGTTTATACATGCTAGTGCATACATAGGGCCCACATCGGTTAGACTGTCATGTATCGCTGCCTGAGAAGGAATGCAAGGCTGCTGTTCTGAGGTTTGTTTGTTTGTTTTATCACTTAATCACATTGCTGAGCACAGGCCCAAAAAAGATCAAAAGCGTCAAACGACCAGCAACAAACAGCATTTTCCATTGTAACAGATAAAGAGTTAACACGTTTCTTGAATTGAGCTAGATTATTACTAGAGCTTTGAAAAAGAGACGATGGGGAAAAAGTGGAGCAGTACAAAGGAATAAAAGAGAGAAGAGTTGTGACCTGCAATGTAGTGAGTGGGTGAGTGAGTGAGTGGGTGAGTGAGTGAGTGGGTGAGTGAGTGGGTGAGTGAATGGGTGAGTGGGTGGGTGAGTGAGTGGGTGAGTGGGTGAGTGGGTGGGTGATTGGGTGGGTGAGTGAGTGGGTGAGTGGGTGAGTGAGTGGGTGAGTGGGTGGGTGAGTGAGTGGGTGAGTGGGTGGGTGAGTGAGTGGGTGAGTGAGTGGGTGAGTGAGTGGGTGAGTGAGTGGGTGGGTGGGTGAGTGAGTGGGTGAGTGAGTGGGTGAGTGAGTGGGTGAGTGAGTGAGTGGGTGAGTGGGTGGGTGGGTGAGTGAGTGAGTGGGTGAGTGAGTGGATGAGTGAGTGGGAGAGTGAGTGGGTGAGTGAGTGGGTGAGTGGGAGAGTGAGTGGGTGAGTGGAAGAGTGGGTGAGTGAGTGGATGAGTGAGTGGGAGAGTGGGTGAGCGAGTGGGTGAGTGAGTGGGTGAGTGAGTGGAAGAGTGGGTGAGTGAGTGGGTGAGTGAGTGGGAGAGTGAGTGGGAGAGTAAGTGGGTGAGTGAGTGGGTGAGTGAGTGGGAGAGTAAGTGGGTGAGTGAGTGGGTGAGTGAGTGGAAGAGTGGGTGAGTGAGTGGGTGAGTGAGTGGAAGAGTGGGTGAGTGAGTGGAAGAGTAAGTGGGTGAGTGAGTGGGTAAGTGGGTGAGTGAGTGGAAGAGTGGGTGAGTGAGTGGGTGAGTGAGTGGGAGAGTGAGTGGGAGAGTAAGTGGGAGAGTAAGTGGGTGAGTGAGTGGGTGAGTGAGTGGGAGAGTAAGTGGGTGAGTGAGTGGGTGAGTGAGTGGAAGAGTGGGTGAGTGAGTGGGTGAGTGAGTGGAAGAGTGGGTGAGTGAGTGGAAGAGTAAGTGAGTGGGCGAGTGAGTGGGCGGGAGAGTGAGTGGCTGAGTGAATGTTTGAGTGAGTGCGTGGGTAAGTGAGTGGGTGAGTTCTGACCTGCAGTGTGGTGGTTGAGTGTGGATGAGACTAAACTGTCAGTCTGGTGGTGAGGTTCACAGGTACAGTAACCATGGTAGTAGCAAAATAGGAGTAACATACTGCTGCTTTACTCTTAATTCTATCAAGTGCAGTGAGGTAGGAACAGGATTACGCCTTTGGCCGAACTTGTGCTTTGCACAGCAGCAGTGAAAATGGTTTGGAGGAACAATAACAGGAGTTGGGATTATTCTATGCTCCAGACTCCATTCTCTGGTGTGCGTCTGCAGTGTGTGTGCGCTCACCTGGTAAATGTGGTTGAGTTTAAAGTGTTTCAGCAGAAGCAGCAGCAGCCCTGAGATGGCCTTGACTATAATCTCTTTGTGCCTATTGACGTCTATGCCCAGCTTCATGCTTTGCAGAACCGTTATCCTGCAAGCACACAAGCCACAGTGCTTTCCAACTCAGATAGCAGATAATGTTCATCAATGAGCATCTGTTGTAAACAGTTAACCCATGTGCAGATTACAGGATGACAGGCAAGAGGATTTAATAATGTTATTTATGCTATATAGCATCATTCATGTAACCTGCATCTCAAAACTATGCTTTATTAACCACAGGAAAGTGATAAGGAAACCAGAACCAGCCTAAGCTATGTAGTCCCATTAACTACTATAATGAGCCAATAATGTCTGTGTGTCCCGCGTGTGACGTAATTCCACGTCGACCAGCCCCCCTCATTAATAATCATGAACAGGTTACGTCCTCCACATGGACCCCTCCCTCATTAATAATCATGAGTGGGTGACATCACTCCGCATGGAGAAACCCCCCCCATTAATAATCATGAGCAGGTGATGTTACTCCACATCGAACAGCCCCCCTCATTAATCATGAACAGGTGACTGTGCTCCAAATGGACACCCCCCTCCATTAATAATTAGCGGGTGATGTCACTCCACATGGGGGGGCGAGGCGCCTCCTCCCCCCTCAGCGTCAACTTATAACCCTCACTACAAAGGCAGAACCCTCACGTCACGCGATCTCCGTAACGCTGTTGAGACATCGACGTAAAAAGGACGTCATGATGAACAAGAGATTATAACCTTTAAAAGAAAATAAACACACGAATGGATGCAATGAATATATCACGTCGCGGTCTGCTTTTCGCTTGCAAGTTTCAGATTTACTGCAATACACCCGTCCTTGGACGGGCAAAAGGCGAGTATTAGAATGTTTGGCCAATTGTATTCATGGGCATTTTAAAGATGTGGGAGGTATCCGGAGTGCCCGAAGAAAACCCATGCATTCGAGGGGGGAAACACTCAGTCTCCTATAGATTGGAAATGAACCCACCTTCTGTACTTCCATACCCTGGGGCAAGGCAGGAGATGGCAGCGACCTCGACGCCCACAGGTAAGGAGTTTCACGAAACCTGTGTGTCATCCACCAACCCTTACTACCTGCAGTGCTGCATTACAGCAACGTAGCATAGCCGCCAGGGTGTGACATAACCGCCAGGGCACAGTGTAGCTGCTAGTTCTGCTAAAATGTTCATGGGCTTGTTGTGTGAAGTGCATGCACGGGTCAATGAAGGTGCGTGGGGGTGTGTGTGATGGGATGGAGGTTCGGGGGAGGGCAACTCACGGCATTTCCTCTGGGAGTACGTCTGCCAAGATGTTGATGGAGTCCGTCTTGGCCTTGGATGTGGGTGCTGCTGCCAGCAGTATTTTGAGCAACGCTATCTGTAAATAAAAATACGTGAGACATTAAACCACTCAAGCGTCCTGGAAAACCTCGGCATCGTTAGGCGAGCGTTCGTTCATTGGGGTTCCAAAAGTGTAGAGGGAAGCCCTCTCCATATATATGGCTCCCAGAGGCAGATGGCACCAGTGACCATTGATGACTACTAATGAGTCCTAATGAGGGCGAAACATGAACAGAGTTGTTTCTGTTTGACAGCTGCTGGGGCAGACATTTTTTAACTCTGTTTTTGTGAACGACTCAATAACAAAGCCACTTGTTCCGCCCTTGAATTGGTAGTCTAGACAAGGCTGACAGCATTGTCCATGTGATGTGGTGGTCATGTGACATGCACACACCTCTGCGCGTCGATACATCAAAACATTTATGTTGTTTTGCTGCCTTGCCCAACCTTGGGAATTGGTGTACTAATCCAATTTGAACTTATATACATTATCTAGTTTACATATTAAATTTTTAATTATTTGCTTACCTTTCCTATACAGTAAAATCTTGGATTGCGAGCATAATTCGTTCCGGAAACGTGTTTGTAATCCAAAGCACTCGTATATCAAAGCACTCGTATATCAGTTGTGATCACGTGACGCTCGGCAGACAAAGCGTATACGTGCTACTCGTACTGCAAGACCTCGCTCGTTCATCAAATTAATATTTATTTAAAAAATTTGCTCGTCTTGCAAAACACTCGCAGACCAAGTTACTCGCAATCCAAGGTTTTCCTATACTTTGCACTTTCCTTTTTTTATTGATGTTGCAACCCACTCCTACTAGACATCTGCAAAAAGTGCTCCATAGATCATCAAATTTCTGAAGGATAAATAATTATTCTGAGGTCGACAGCCGACAGATAATGGTCTCGTGCAGCACAAACTGACAACCCAGGGACTGCCGGAGATTGTGAATAATAAAAAACAATAAACACTACACATGGCGTGAATCACTTCCCACGGTCCCCTGGAGGTCACCTCCGGAAGCACGCACCATGTTCTGCGGGAGGTTGGGGAGCATCCCCTGGTAGAGGATTTCTGCTGGGGTCTGCTCCACATCCTCTTCCCCCTGCCGCACGCACAAGACGCAAAACCCCGCAATGAGACATGCGCGCAGAGGCGATCGAAGGGCAAGTGCTCAACGCACAACAACCGACAACACTGCTCCACTGCACGGTGGGGGAGGGGGGGTATCATTCAGCCGACGAGCACCCACATTTGTCAAAATTCCAGCACTCATGGATTCACTCCTATATATTGCTCTCTCGCTGGCAGTTAGTTGCCTCCCTATCACTTTTCTATTGCTACTGTTGCGGTGCCATGGCCTAGCGTTAATGTGTTTATTATCTTGCTGCAGAGATTCACGGTTCGAATCAGGCCGTAAAATATTACACTCAGAATCCGTTAGTAAAATATTACACAGTGGATTACAATGATCCCTTACCGCATTATAAAAAGAGCAGGACCGTTGTGTCATGGCATCAAGGTAAAAATTTGGCAATTTTAAGAAACATTACCTGCAAACTGCTTCACTGGGAAACCCTAGCAGGACCCTCCTGAAATAAATAATTGAAACTCGGTGAGGCTTTCCTGGGTAAACAAGCAGAGTAAAAATAATAAAGTAAAATGTACATTCTTCCCTCATTAGATCCACCGTGACACTTGTGGTAACCATGCCCCTTGTTACATTTCACGTTCAATTTGTAAATCACACCATTCCTCAAAATCTACGTTCCTTGTACGACAATCAGCCCCCAGGTGGCCCAGCGATCGAGCGACCAGCTCGTAATCGGACCTAATGCGATTTCAAATCCTGGTTGGAGTGGTTGACTTGGCCCATCATCGCTCCGGGGGTCGATAAAATGAGCACCACTCGTTGGGAAAGTCAACAGTCACTGGCTCTGCAGGGCTGTAACAAGGAGATGAGCACCTCCTCAATGCTCATTAGGCAGGAACTCACTCCGACTCTTCAATGACAACTGCCTGCTGGGAGAGCTGGGTCCCTGGGACAGCTGGTACCTGCAGCACGGGCATCCGGAGCAGCGTCTCCTCCCGCTGGATCTGCACTTCAGCTATCGATATGTACTTGTGCTGTCAGGAAGATACATGCAAAAAGACACAGTTGTGAAGCGTCTGCTGATGCAGAGTCACAGGCTTGTAAAAACAGTGGTGAGTTACAGGACGTTTATCTTACATAACATTGGTTTATGTTTGTGCAATATTTATCCATTTATTCTGTGAAACGGTTGGTTTTGCTCCGATTGCCATTTGCTTCATTGTTGTAATACATTTTTATGTTATTACTTTTTTCATTCCAGTGTCCTGTGTCACTTTTATAAACAAGTTACTTGAGTTCTCACCAGGTTAAACAAAGTAAACTCAAACTACTGCACCTGTTTCAGGATGAGCACACTCTCGTGGATAGGCCGCGGCAGTCCCACCACTGTCTCCGTGTCCCTGAGAATGTTGACAGAGAGGGTCATCCTCGTCATTGTTTTAACACGTGTCTGTGCGATTGAAGCGAAATTGTTATTATTATTATTCCCACTCGTTTACCCAGGAAAAGCTTATGGAGTATCTTTATCAGACGGGGCCTTGCCAAGTGTTACAGTAAGGAGGCGATGTGTCTGCTATATGCGGGTATATTTGCAACATTGAGATCTATGGCCAATCAGTTACATTGTGTGTTTTATTTTTAGCTGGGGGAGGAAACTGGAGAACCGGGAGAAAACTCAATGCAGAACTGGGGGAGAACATACAGATTCCACATGGTGTGGGTTTCCCCTTTGTGTACTCCAGATTCCTCCCATAGCTCAAGAAAAAACAATGTAACTGCTATTAGCCAAAACATCCCAATTCGCCCTCTGCTCTACATGAGATTCCTCCGGATTCTACATTTTCTTTCCAAAGCTAAACACACTCAAAAATGTAACTGGATTTGGTCAAAAATCCCAAATGCCGAGAAATTACTTACAAATTGGGATTACACATATTCTTTGGTTCTTTCGGTAAAGTCACGTAGATAGAAAAATAAAAAATAAAGTGACTAAAAATACACTAATGTAGACTGTAACCTGGTTCTTAATAGGAGTGTACTGGCAATCTATGTGGACTGTAGCCTGGTTATTAAGTTTGGTGAGTGTACTGGCAGTCTATAATGTAGACTGTAGCAATGGTTAAGCTGGGTGAGTGTACTGGCAATCTATAATGGTATTACACATTGTAACATAGTGCCCTGCTGCAAAAACTGAGCATGGCCCTACTGAAAAAAAGTCTTGAGACTCAGCGAGGCTTTCCTGGGTAAACAAGCGGAATTCAATAATATATTTTGTCAAAACTAACACAAACGATCATGTCTATTGTGCTCGTGGCATAGATGGCAACTTCCAACAGAGAGCGGAAGACTCACCCTCCCAGCTGGAAGCCGATGAACTTGCTCCGGCTCGCTTCCAGAAAGTGCTCAATGTCCTTCTCCCTGCGAACACACGCGCTCACGGCGGTCACACCTCGCGCTGCAGGAGGCAGCAGGCAGCTGTGTGGGGGTTCCTGTTGTGACACCATTCGCGCGTACGTTTCTGTGATGCACGTTGAATACCGCGAGGATGACACACTACGGCGCGGACGGTGTTCAACGTGCATCATGGAGGAGTGCGTGCCCATCAAGCACCAGGCGGGGAAGCTATGCAAAGCACCACACATATTGAACCCACCTGACTTTGGGCCCCCAGGGCAGGCCCTTGGGCACGTGCAGGTGGGAGATGGACGAATGAGAAGCCAGAGCGTGGGACGGGAGCAGGTCCTCTCGCTCCATGAGGTCCCCCTCGTTTTCCGAGCCCCCCTCCCCCTCATCCCCATCCTCGTCCTCGTCGCGGTTCTCCTCACCCTTGTACGGGTCCTTCTCATTGAATGAGTCGAGGCTATCCTGCTTCAGCAGCCCCTGGTGCAACGCACACGCCACGGTCACCGTACATGCAGAACGCGAGGGTTGTTCAAATCGGATTGGCCGTGCCTGGCGGTGGCCGTGCCGTGTAGTGGAGGGTTCTCTTTCATGGGCGAACACGGTTGCAAAATTTTAACTCCCTCACATGGTACACAGGAGATCATGAGTTCATTCCTGACCCTGATGTCCATATATTTGGAGTGATCGTGTGGATTTTTCTCTGGGCCCTCCGTTTTTTCCTCCACATTTATAAACGTGCTTAGAGTATTTGGCTACTATAGATGTCCACATGGTAATCGATGTGTGATCAATAAAAAAAACGTTTCATAGTTTAGTATTTTTCATGCAGTAACCATATGAAAGAGACCCAGTCACAAGTTTGGCATACGTACAGGAAAGTGAAGCAATAAAAACATAACCTCTTTTTTTGTCACGGTTACCCTGTAAGAGACGTGATCACAGGGTCTCGTGGTGAGTTTATGACGTATCGTGGTGTCGTGGTGAGCGTATCACGGTGAGCTTATCGCTGTGGCTGCCTCATGTGGCTGCTACCCTGCGGGGGCGGCGCGCTCGCTTCTGCTGCTGCTGCTCCATGATGTCAGCGGCGGACGCGGGGGGAGAGGCGGCGCGCATGGCCCGCGTCACCGCCAGGCTATCCTCGGGCAGCACAGGCAGCGCCAGCTCGGCACGTCGCCGCACCTTGCTGCTCTGCAGCTCCTCGAAGCCTCCGAGGGACAGCTGCGCTCACGCGTGGCATGGCAAAGCAGGTAAGCGCTTAACACGTAGGGGTTGGTAGCTAATACGACGATTGTTTGGTTTAAATTACCTGCAGATTACTCCATTAGAATTACACACAGCAACATCGCCGCTACAGTGAAAACACTGCAGACTGTGTTGAACACAGCGCCTTCCTTTGTGATATCCTTGTGCTATACAAATGGCGTAGATAGCAAATCAACTAAATGATCATTGTTGCAATTGATTCTTTGGTTCGGCCACAACGATTTGGCCAACATTTCTGGCGGAAGTCCCTCCATCACCCGATATAGCAAATAACACTTTAAAATAAGTTGATAGTTGTAGCTTAAATGTAACTTGGAAACATAAACAAGTAGGTGACATATATACAATAATCAATAAAAATAACATATATAATTATTAGTGAAGCTGCAGTTAACATAATGATATTCTGCTGCAGGCCATTATATTCATGAGTAGTTACACTGAATAACACATCATGTTAATCATTGGCCAAGATAATTCTTATTGAAATCTAAGTTAACCTATAATGGTGAAAATCCAGTTTGAAACATGATCGGTTTTCTGCGAGGTCGGGACACATGTTTAGGAAGCTGGGTCAGGTGACGCAGCTGGTTTCCTGGATCTTGAAGATGCTTGACGCAGCTTAAAGCGGAAATGTCGCGTATCTCTCTAAAATTAGTTGGGAGAATTGCTCTGCAATTAACTGGCGACTGAGCTGAGACAATAGATAACCGACGCATTAAAACACGTGTACACCATGTGACAATTTAATTTGTTTGGCTGTGTTGAGTGGTGGAGGGTCTTACGACATAAACACTTTGGCCAGATCATTACGTGTTTGCGTACGAGATTGACGACAATGATACTCTGAGCTGCTAGTGGGAACCTGGCATCCAGTGTTTGTCACCTACCCACCCTCTCCCACTCACCCTCTCACATCCGCTCACCCACCCACATTCGCTTACCAACCCACACTCACCCATCAATCCACTCACCCACACACAATCACCCACCCACATACACTCACCCACACACACTCGCTCAACCACCGACACACTCACCAGCACCACCTTCCACAGCAAGAGAAGAACCTTCTTCATGGGAAAGTGCGGCGCGTGACCGCTGCAGAACCGCGTAAGCATGCCAAACAGGATAGCTGCCAAAGGGTCCTCTCTGTATATGGGGAGGCCTGCACACACACACACACACGATTTATCATAGCATATGAACCATCCCTAGATTAAAAACCCAAACAGGCCCACTCTCTCTCAGAGAGCGGCTTCAGCATGGAACAATCTCCCACACAGACATATGCCACCTGTCTCAAACCTATTTATATCTTTAATCAAAATACAAGCACACAAACTTACAAGAGCAGTCTATATAAACCAGCATTGTACACCATATAATTATTTATGTATTACAGCTGCGCATGCTGCGCATTTAGAGTTATGGGTGCATAGCCACTTGCTAGTCATCTCAGACAACTCATAGCACCTGTGTCTGTCTGGTGACCTGTCAGCAGCAAGAGCCTTCCACACTTCACGTGACCTCAAGATGCACCTAGCCTGGCACAAGTGCCGTGGTAATGTCAATGCCACTCAGTCTTGAGTGTGTATGCGTGTGGTATTTGCATTCTATGCCTCCATGGACACTTGCAAACGAGTTCTTTCATCTCAAGGAATGTTCCAGGTGAAATATTTTAACATATAACAAAAAATAAAAAAAACACAGGACACACACACACTAGGCACAAACATCACCACAAGCAACTACAGCTACACCCACTAAATTATCTAATTATCTCATCTAAACATCTTCTTGCATCCCTGACACTTTGCACCCCCCAAACTCACGTCTCACTATAATACATATTATTCATCGTTATCTCATCCAGAACTGCTTTCTTAGCTCTCAAGACTGCTGCTGTCTGTCACCCTCACAGCAAAAATAACCCCACACTTGATCGCAGCATCCTGGCCAATTCCACCCATCTGAAGCCTCCCCCCCCCACTCCTTTCCTGAGGAAACGGTGGCCTCTTGTACATTAAGGCGCACGGCAATGGTTACCCAGGTCTTGTCGAAAGGTGTCACGCATTCTCGTCCACTCGGGGCGATCTCCCTCCTCCTCTCTCCGCAGCGTCTCCACCATGATGTTCATTATGTTTAGCAGCACGCTGCAGGTGCCACGGGTTCACACACAACCAACATGTAAACAACATGTAACCAACATGTAACCAACACGTACTCCCAGGGCTAATTGCAGCCACTTCAAACACCGTGAGCGTGTAACACACACACACAACTCTGCACATCAGGCAGTCAATTAGTATCATTTATTTAACTAGGAATTTATTCATTTTTCCGAATCCTGGTATTGGCTGTGATGGACTACATGCCAAGCTAAACCCAAGGATACATGCGAGACTTCATTGACTCTTTGGCAAGGGTGACCTGGCTAACACAAATAACAATTTAAGGACACAATATTTTAACATTTTAAATTGATCAAATCAAGCCTAACTTTAACAATAAATTGACACAAGTGTGAATAAGGCTAGTAATTAATTAATGTGAATTTGCATTTATACATCTGAAATAAAAAGAGAAACAGGACTGTAATTTCTGGAAAAGAAACTGATTAGCATAGGCAAGTAGGACATCACACATACTGTGATTAAACGCGAAAACAAATTGGGTTAAGGCAGCCACAATCACTCGCACACGTCTCTCAAACCCACACGCATTCTCAGCCCCAACCACAGCCACTTACACCACAATACAACATGTGACACCTCGCACACCCGGGCACATCACTCAAGCGCCCAGATAAACCCAAACTCCTGCCAGATAACACAACACAGTGACGAGCAACAGGTGACAAGGGTCAATTTCACACGAGCGAAAATTATAAACACTGTGTTGCGTTGGTAGCTCCGTGTATTAAAAACATCGTGTAAATTGATTATTGACAATTATGACGCGGCCCAGCAGCAGCGCATTCGCCGCTCGTTGCAGAGGTTCATGGTTCATATCCGGCAGGCCACCCTGGTTTGCTTTTTTTTACCAACGAAAGTCTCAACTCTGTTTTGGGAGGGTCCTGCCATGTTTTTGCAGGAGGGGCGATATAGCTGCTAAGCCAATCGAGTAATTGGCAGCTAATGTTTCAGCATTGGGATGTTTTGGCCATTTCCAGTTGCATTATATGTTGTTTGTTTTAGCTATGGGAGGAAACCATAGAACCCATAGGAAACCCATGCAGAACAGGGGGAGAGAAAAAAAAAAAACTCCACACAGAAAGGTGCCCGAGTCAGGAATCGAACCCAGGACCTTTTTGCTGTAAGGCGCGCGTGTTACTACTGCACAACCCTGCGATGTGTTAACCGTAAAATACTACGCTCCGTCTGCTTCAAAGTTGATGGTAAAGATCCGGTGACATAATTAGAAAAACATTTCCAATGTGTGCCAGCGTTACACTACAAATTTGAAAAATTACACCAGAAATGACTCAATTTGGAAACACATTGCAACATTACCCCTTACTGGCAGACGAATTCCCACTGGCAGACCTGTGGGGTTACCTCATGCCATACAAGGAAAGCCACCACTGGGGACGCCCTTTGTGAACAGTTCTATTAAATTAAAAAATGTAAGGCAGTTTGAGTTTGTGAAGAAGTTCAGCGAACGCCCTGTACATGTGACGATTATTATCACGACGGTGATTATCTCGCTCTTGTGATAACTGCAGGATGGCATTTGGGCCGTCAGAAGGCCTCACTCACCGCAGCTCCGTGCTATCTGCCAGCGAGATGGCCGGTTTCCTCAAGGCACTGCTCAGAGCTTGACTGTTACTGCAACACAAAACAGCTCAAAGTCAAAGTGAGTTCCGGCTCAAAAGAGCATTGAGGTGGTGCTCATTTCCTGTTTACAGCCCTGAGATAGACATGTAAATTCTACATTTCTGCAACTATCCAAAGCACACCCACAACCGACTTCCTCACAGAGTTACACTCATTTCATCCACCTCGGAGGGGTGATGGGTTGAGTCAAGCCCCGACCAGGATTTAAACTCACAACCTTCAAATTGAGAGCCACTCGCTCTACCGGCAAGTCACCTGGCTGGCAACACAAAACATCCGGACACAACACATGCAAGACGGATTCCCTATCCATGTAGTAAAAAATAGGCCAGCGTTCAAGCATTATTTGACCATAACTTGACCAAACTAGTCAGTGCGAGTTGAAGGCAGGGTGCATAGGCTTTGGAGAAGGGTACAGTAGAATAGATTTTGCTGCACTGCCCTCTGCTGCCCATAACGTAGCACCACAGCAGCGTATGATACCTATTATGCATGGTGGTCACCCATTGAAGCACTATCCAGGCTCGAACCGGCTTCGCTTACAACAGCCGAGAAGATTGGGCGCATTGCAGGTGATTTGGTCATAAGCATAGTCGTGTTATTATAAAGCGTGCAGGTTTGCCTGGCAGAAGTATTATTTTTAATTTCACACGGTAGAATGTTATACAATTTATATACAGCTTAAGATTTATAACGAAACTTAAGGGGGTATTAGTCTAGTCCTCCACATCGACCGGACGTGTTAGAAGAGATTGGCGTACCCACACTTTACCCACCGCACGCGACCTGCCGATGGACAAACTGTGGCGAACCCATTCACACTGCTGTTGGGTGGAATCGAGCCGGCAACTCGGTACATGTAATGTGCAAAAATGCAATTGCAACAAAAATATAGTGCGTGCTTACTCAGTTTCCATGTTCAATAATTCCACTAGAGCGTTGAACGTTCCGACTTCATGCAACAGGAACACATTCTGTCGCACCCACTTCAATACCTCTGCCTCGCTGCTGCAATCCGCAAACGTTCCTGCAACGTCAACAGTTAATTTTGCAACGTCAACACATTTCATTCGCAATGTGCACACGACACGTGGCAATTGCATACGACCGGTGTGTCAAGCTTCAATTTCAAAAACTACGACGTGCTGTCTGCTTCACTCAAAGTGAACGTTAAAGGACCCGTGACATCCTTGGAAGAACAGGAGGCCATTGTGTGCCGGTGTAAAGCTCAAAATTTGCTAAGTTTGAAAAATTACACCTGAAATTACTCAATTGGGAATCGTGCATCGCAACATCGGCACGAACTCCAGGACCCTCCTGGACAAACGATGGCTGAGCCATAGCCACCGTGCCCATCCGCATCGAGCTACAAAGTAAAAATCCGGGGCGCTAGCACAGGTGGGGGGCACGTACCCTGGGCCAAGTAGAGGATGGCGCGTGTAACCTTCAGCCGCTTCTCTCGGCTCGTCACTTCCAACCCATCAAGCAACTTGAGAATGCAGGAGCGTCGCGCCTCATCTCCCACGTCCTGCCAGCACACGCCCTCCCCTGCACCACCAGCGCAGGCCACAACACCAGAGGCGGTGAGGAAAGGGAACCGACACCACCAGGAGAAACCACACCACTATAGATGAGGAAAGGGGGCCACACCACCAGGGGAGGTGCAGGGTCTCGGGCAAGGCAGGCAGCGATATATTCGGGTCCATGGACACATTCACGAGTGCACGCAACAAGTCATATGGAATTCCGTGCCGGGAGATCAAAACGAACCGACAACCACTATGCCAACTCCTCTATAAAACTGTAATGTTACGTCCGGCCAGGTAGCTTAGCAGTAGAGGGAGCGGCTCACAATTAGTGGCAAGTTAAGATCTTGGAGCGGTTGACTCAACCCATCATTCCTCTGGGGTGGATAAAATAATAACGAACCAATGATTGTCCTTCGGTGACTCACCCGTGCTATAGGAATGTGGAATTCCACTGTCACTGGCTTTGCAGAGCTGTAAACAGAAGAGTCTCAATGCTCATTTGAGGAAACCCCTGACTTTTGACGGTACAATGATAAAGTATGAATATGTTACACTGACAGGCTGTGTGTTTGATATAAAAATACCGATTGATTTGAATTCCTCTTCAAAGCACTTCCTGTTAATGGCAAATTCAGGCTCCTCTGTGTAGCTGTAGAGTTCTGAAAATCAAACAAAACGCAAGTCAAGAATTATAGCCCGCGATATATATTTTTTAAACAGTGGCAAAGGACAGTACCAAAGGCACAAAACGTCAAGCGGCCACCAACAAAGGAAACACGTTTCTTGAATTGAGCAAGGTTATTGTTAGTAAGAGCTTTGTAAAAGAGACGATGGGAATTACAAAGTGGAGCAGAGCAAGGGAAGAGGCAGAGACGGAGTTATGACTTGCAGTGTCGTGAGTGGCTTCGTCTATGAGTGGGGTGGGTAAGCGAGTGAGTTGTTGTGACCTGTAGTGTTCATGGTGGTTGAACATGGTGGATGAGACGAATCCGGTCAGGTGGAGGAATCAACGAGTCAAGCTGAGACGAACAGTGACCATGGCCGTAGCAATTTGTAGGAATCAAACATTATCAATCTTGTTGTGCCACCTTTGTTGGAAGGCTTATTTGCCAAAGATATTAAATAAGTGGTGGTGCCCTGGAGCTGTGATTTTTACCAGAGAGCTCAGCTGCGTATTCATCCGAATCGCTGTAGTTAAACTCCAGGTCTGGAGACTCAGGTGAACCCTGAAAGGAGCACAACACCACAGTGTCACATCAGTGCCTCTCTTCGTGGTATCCCTCAATCTGCCCGTGCCCTCTATCCTGCTATGCCCCCTCTCTCTCCGTGCCTCCTCTCTCACCATAACCTCCCTGCAACCCCCCTTTTTCTCTCTCTCGCCATGCCATGCCCGCTCTCTCTGCCGATGCCCCCACCGTCTTCCCACACCCCCCACTCTCTACCCATGCCCCCCAGCCCTTCTCTGCCCATGTCTTCACCCTCTCTCCATACCCCCCTAATCTCACCATGCCCACTCCCTCTCTCTTCCATGCCCCCCATCACTCTCTCTGCCCATGTCCCCCTATCCTTCTCTCCTAACATCCCCCTTCTCTACCCATGCCCCCCACCCCTTCTCTTGGCATGTGCTCACCCTCTCCCCATACTCCCCATGCCCACTCCCTCTCTCTCACCTTACCTCCTCCATCTCTCTACCATGTACCCCCACTCCCTCCCTCTGCCCATGCCCCCCCTGTTCCCCCATCCCTCTCTCTGCCCGTGCCCCCCTCCCCCTTCTCTGTCCATGCCCCCCTATCCCTCTCTCCCCCCACCCATCTCTCTCCCCCCCCCTTCTCTGTCCATGCCCCCTATCCTTATCTATCCCCCATCCTCTCTCTCCCCCCATCCTCTCTCTCCCCACACCCCTCCCCTTCTCTGTCCAAGCCCCCCTATCCCTCTCTCCCCACACCACCTTTCTCTGTCCATGCCCCCCTATTTCTCTCTCCCCACACCACCTTTCTCTGTCCATGCCCCCCTATCCCTCGCTCCCCACACCACCTTTCTCTGTCCAAGCCCCCCTATCCCTCTCTCCCCACACCACCTTTCTCTGTCCATGCCCCCCTATTCCTCTCTCCCCACACCACCTTTCTCTGTCCATGACCCCCTATCCCTCTCTCCCCACACCACCTTTCTCTGTCCGTGCCCCCCTATTTCTCTCTCCCCACACCAACTTTCTCTGTCCATGCCCCCCTATTCCTCTCTCCCCACACCCCCTTTCTCTGTCCATGCCCCCCTATCCCTCGCTCCCCACACCACCTTTCTCTGTCCATGCCCCCCTATCCCTCTCTCCCCACACAACCTTTCTCTGTCCATGCCCCCCTATTCCTCTCTCTCCACACCACCTTTCTCTGTCCATGCCCCCCTATCCCTCTCTCTGCCCCTATCCCCCCACACCACCTTTCTCTGTCCATGCCCCCCTATTCCTCTCTCCGCACACCACCTTTCTCTGTCCATGCCCCCTATCCCTCTCTCCCCACACAACCTTTCTCTGTCCATGCCCCCTATCCCTCTCTCTCTCTGCCCCTATCCCCACTCACCTCGGAGTCCTTCCTCTGCCCGCGCAGCACGTCTTTGAGCTTGGGCAGGCCGCGTTGGCGGCCCGCGCCTCCCGCCTCCATCATCATCATCACCACCTCCTCTCCTCCTCCTCCTGTCTCCACGAGAGGCGAGGGCCCAGCGTCTCGTGCGCCGAGGTGCGGCGGTAGCTACCGATCGGCGGCAGGGGCCGGGATGCTGAGCGAGCGGCTTTTGCCGCCGCCGCCGCCGAGGAGGAGGAGGAGGCGGAACGTCGGCGGCGAGCAGTGAGGGAAGAGAGCAGAGTCAGTCAAGGGCGTGAAGAGTGGAACGCAGGGAGCATTGGTGACAGAGCGCATTACATACAGAGGAGGAGAGAATGAGAAAAAAGAGAATGAGAGAATGAAGAGTGGGGAGAGAGAATGAGAGAGGAGTGACAGGAAACCTCACCACCCCCACCACACACAAACAACATGGCGGCCGCGCGACACGTCACGCGCGCGTCACGCCGGGGACGTCACCAACGCGGCGTTCCCCTCAGGTATCCCCTCACACGGTGATCCCCTCACAGAATGATCCCCTCAGGTATCCCCTCACACGGTGATCCCCTCACAGAATGATCCCCTCAGGTATCCCCTCACACGGTGATCCCCTCACAGAATGATCCCCTCAGGTATCCCCTCACATGGTGATCCCCTCACAGAATGATCCCCTCAGGTATCCCCTCACACGGTGATCCCCTCACAGAATGATCCCCTCAGGTATCCCCTCACATGGTGATCCCCTCGCAGAATTATCCCCTCAGGTATCCCCTCACACGGTGATCCCCTCACACGGTGATCCCCTCAGGTATCCCCTCACACGGTGATCCCTTCACAGAATGATCCCCTCAGGTATCCCCTCACACGGTGATCCCCTCACAGAATGATCCCCTCAGGTATCCCCTCACACGGTGATCCCCTCACAGAATAATCCCCTCAGGTATCCCCTCACATGGTGATCCCCTCGCAGAATTATCCCCTCAGATATCCCCTCACACGGTGATCCCCTCAGGTATCCCCTCACATGGTGATCCCCTCACAGAATGATCCCCTCAGGTATCCCCTCACGGTATCCCCTCACATGGTGATCCCCTCACAGAATGATCCCCTCAGGTATCCCCTCACATGGTGATCCCCTCACACGGTGATCCCCTCAGGTATCCCCTCACAGAATGATCCCCTCAGGTATTCCCTCACATGGTGATCCCCTCACACGGTGATCCCCTCAGGTATCCCCTCACATTGTGATCCCCTCAGGTATCCGCTCACGGTAATGCCCTCATACAGTGATTCCCTCAGAGAGTGATCCCCTCAGGTATCCCCTCACATGGTGATCCCCTCACACGGTGATCCCCTCAGGTATCCCCTCACAGAATGATCCCCTCAGGTATCCCCTCACATGGTGATCCTCTCACACGGTGATCCCCTCAGGTATCCCCTCACATGGTGATCCCCTCAGGTATCCCCTCACGGTAATGCCCTCATACAGTGATTCCCTCAGAGAGTGATCCCCTTAGATATCCACTCAGTTATATCATCAGATGTCCTCTCACACGGTGATGTTAATAAAAACAACAATTTGCGATACCTTGGCCACAATATCTAGACTTGTCTTCATATATATCAACGCATAGATTTGTTTATATGATTGTGGTTATGGTTGTACTTTATTAATCCCTAATGTCTGCCATTACATACAATGAAACAAGAAATGGTAAAAAAATGTTTAAAAAGAGCAATGTAATACAATACATTAGACATTATTGTGAGAGAAAAAAATCCATCCCATGTGTTAGTGATTTTTTTATATTTTAGGCAGAAAATTAGTTTTCAAACGTAGATATTTTTCTGGGTTGGGACCCCCAGACACCCTGGGAGATTTGGTCCCCCCAATGTTGACTCCATGGCTACGGCCTTGGGTGAACCCCTCAGATATCCCCTCGCACAGTGGGTGAGGGGATCTCTGGGTGAGGGGATCTCTGGGTGAGGGGATACCTGAGGGGATCACTAAATGAGAGGATTGCCGTGTGAAGAAACACCTGAGGGAATCACTCTGTGAGGGGATCACCGTATGCGTGGATCGCCAGTTTGAGGTGATATCTGAGGGTATCACTGCATCAGTGTGGGGAGTCCAACAGCGGCCGTCCTAATCATGGACTCGTCCCCGCCACTGGGATGTGGAAACGTCCACGGCCACCGGCTCCGAAAGGGCCGTAAACAGAGGAACCGAGAGGCGCCCCCTCAGTCTCGGCGCCCACGACCGAGCAGGAAAGTGTGGGACCTCGAGAACCAACAGGAGATGGGGCGCGGGGCGAAAAGGCGCAGCGCTGCAGTGGCAGGTGTCACACTGCTGGCGGGCAGTGGCCTCCCATAAGCTCTTCAGTGGGGTCACGGTTGGAATTTCCTAAAGTTAAAAAAAAACTATTGTTGGTTTAAAAAAAAAATCTTACCAGGTCAGGTAACCGCTGAGCGAAAAAGCTATTTGTTTGATTTATTTCAGAAGCGACCTGGCCACAAATGATGGCACAACGAAGTGGCTTTATCGGCTTGTGGACATTTATAGCAGCCAAATGCTCTAAACGCGGTGGGGGGGGGGGGACACAACAGTGGTGTTACCTAACAAAAAAACACGATATTAAAGAAAATAAAACTTAGTTTGACGAGAGAAAGCGACACTCTTTTAGTTCCAGAAGAACGCTTGCAAATTGTGGAACGCGACTGTCAGGCGAATACACGGACGTTCACAAATGGAACCTTTACACAATAAATCCCACACGCATCCACTCAACATAACAAGGCCTGCAATTATATTTCCCCAGTGCGTAAGGCATCATCAGAGCTGTTCTTTCTGCCTAAAGGACCACCTAATGGCAGCTTGCTACTTGTCCACATCACATGCCTGCACACCATATAACTCACACCTCAACCCAAGACAATGATCCCCCATATCATCTTTATAGAATGTATATTGTTGGAACAAGTACTGTTAGCGAGCACCTATGCATTTCCAGCACGGAACATGAGGGGGTGGGTGGCAATCACCATGCCAGGCCGCCTTTCACTCTGCAGTGGCGATGTTTAGACACCGTACCAGGTATTGTCCTCGTGTAAGATTGAGTCGACCTAAAAAAAAACCCAGGACCGGTTCAGGTTAATCGTCACTGGACTTGAACTCGGGTTGTTGGATTCGTAGCGTGCCAACCGCTGCATTACCACTCCCCATAACACACGCCTGCACCACCCACCTAAATGCCCTCTCACTCACACGCCTCTCTCTATCCTCCGCATGCCATCTGTCCGGTTATGAACCGGACTTGCCATCTGTAGTCGGGTGGAAGGAATCGATTTGTATGGTTATTGTGCTGAACTTTATGGCAAGCCGACGAGTTTTGACAGCCCCAAGCCGACAGAGTTATGCCCGCGTTTGGTCTGCACTGTGAAAAAGTTGGAGACTCCAGCCCTATCCCAAAAATCCCCTACAACTCAGCGACTCTCGACCACGTTGCGATGAGACGCACAGCACAGACCCATTCACTTGAACTTTATTTAATCGATACTCCCACGACAAACCGAACAAGAATGCGTCGCACCTCGCAGCAAGGAACACACGACTCGTCGTTAACCGTGGTATGAAAAACCAACGCCATCGAGTGTCGCGCAAACCAGGACTAGCCACACCGTGCTCTTTCCACACCACAGGGAACACGGAGCAATTGCACGATACAGGGTGGATGCAAACGAGGGAGTGATTAGCCCCGGGGGTGAAGGTTACGTCCCGTAAAAGAAAATCCCTGTTTACTTTTAAGTCAGCGGTTCCCAGGACCCCAGGATTGGTCTGCAGTGGCAAACAGCCCACGTCAAGCAGCCAGCATCAAACGGGACTGTCAAAGTTGCAATTGTCAAGAGTTTCTTAAATTGAGCAAGGATAGTTATAAGAGCTTTTGAAAAATCACAATAGAATGGAAAATATCCCCGAGGGCTTGACAGTGGTGAGCAGGTCCTACTGGACATCTGTGAAAAAGAGCTTCATAACTCATCGGATTTCCCCAGGACAAATAAAAGATTCTGATTCTGAGAGATCGGGAACCACCGATCTATGCAGGAGCTCGTGTCGCGATCCCGTCCACTCGAGCGTCCGTGCTGCCGCCATCAATATCTCTGTGCGCCATCCCACGTTTAAATAGAAGGCAATGGGAGATGTGTACAGAGGTACCCACATCCAGACACACGCGACGCCACAAATCCTAGGGTGACGCGCGAGTTTAATCATCGACAGCGTGACGCTGCAATACATGCGATCATTGTTGAGGAGGCGTGACACCCATGTGAGAGATATGTTTGCGGGAGTGCAAGCAGTAGTTGAGTGTGGCAGTTCAGGCCCGCCTAGGAGTCATTGACGGCCATGTTGCCCAGGTTGGCAGCTAGGCCGTCTCCCTTTCCACGCTTCTGCTTCTTGATCTGTTCCTGGTCAATGGGAGCCGACTTCACAAACTTCAACTCCTCCTTCAACCCTGCGGAGAAAACACGCAAACAACCACGTGTGGGCCCGTGTGGTTCGTTCAGTACCGAAAATCCCCACAATTCTGGACGAGTCACTACACTAGGAGTAAACTGGACCGGGATGAGCGTTCACGTGATTCTGACTCCTGGTCTGCTCATGCCCCAAACACCTGAAAAATTCCATCACTTGACAATTTCACACAGTCACTCACTTCAATTAAAAAATATATTTTACCAGGAAATGCTCACTGAGCTATATAGCTATTTTTCAGAAGTGATCTGGCCACAAATGATAGCTTAAATAAGTGGCTTCTCATGTGGAAATGTATATCAGACAAATACTCTAAACGCATGTTTCTAAATGTGGAAGGAAAAACTGGAATACCCTGATAAAAATCCACGCGACCACGAAGAGACTTGCAAACCCTAAATATACAGGCGTTAGGGTCGGGATTAAATCCACGACCTCCTGTATACCAAGCGAGGTAGTTAACATCTCCTAGCCATCGTGACGCCCACACTCTCCCAGCGGCATAACAATGCAACGTTGATGGTTCTGTGCGACGACTTCACTTTCCGTTGCATCTAATATTTGTTCTTGTCTGTTTACACACTGGTGCAACAATCACAACACTTCCATGTGAATGTCTCTTTAACTTAATGTCACTACAGAATGGTTGGTTTTTCTCCAATTTTGATTTGGTTGCTTATGTTCTAATTTCTATTTGCTTCGTAGCTGCACTTTTTTATGTTATTGCTTTCATCATTTTGGTGACCCAGGCCAGCGATGCTTTCAAACGAGACTCATCCTTGGCCTTTCGAGTTCCCATTTGATCACACAAAAATAAACCTGAATGTGCGAGCGAGCGAGCTGTGCGGTGGTCAGCGCGGTGCTTCGTTCGTACCGGGAGGCATGAATGGCCGCAGAGCCTCGGGGACCACCACGCCAGTCTCGGTCTGGTAGGTCTCCAGGATGGCGCAGATGGTGCGCGTCGTGGCACACATGGTGGCATTCAACATGTGCACAAACTCCGCCTGCACGCATTCACCGCACACATGCCCACAGCACCCACGTCACCCTTGGCAAGCGTCGGCCCAGCGGTATTTTAAAAAAGCACGGAATGTCGGAACCTACCCCCTTGCCCTCCACCCTCGGGAAGTTTGGCTGTAGCGTCCTCCGCATGTAGGTGCTCGCTAACCAGCACTTGCCCCCAACGGTTTGCACACGCTACACTGGAGATCTTTGTGTTTGTGAGCCATAGCGAGGGTAGGCAAGAGACCGTAGAGGAGACACCTGCCTTGTCCATCATTTTCTTGGTTTGGCCGTAGCGTACACGCAGGCGCCGCGCCTGATAGTCGGTGCAGTTGGAGCAGGACACGAGCTCCCGGAATGCGGCAGAGCCGGGGAACCATGCCTCCAAGTCCAGCTTCTTGGCGGCTGCGTGGTTGAGTGCCCCTAGAGGTCGGTGTGGCATGAAGTTGCGCGCGCGTGTTAAGGGTTTTTCGACACGAGCAACACGACGCACGCAGCCTCCACTCATCACCACACACAGCAATACACAATACCACACCACACATCACCACACACACACACACACCGTCAATAAGAGCCACCATTCACCATAAAGTGGCGGTGACTTCATCATGGCGCTTGTGCCAGGCTAGGTGTACCTTGAGGCCACGTGAAGTGTCAAAGGCTTGCTGCTGGCGGGTCACGGTTACAGACCCAGGTGCTATGGATTGACTGAGATGTCTGGCAGATGCACCACCCGTGCTCCCCACTGTGCCAACTTGCCAAGCCACAACATTTACAATCTGAGTATGACGTTTTGCCATTAATTACAACTAGCTTCATCAGGCGACAGCCAGATTTGTGGACAAGCCCACCTGTTTCGTTCCTTATATAGAGGCGTAGATGTGGTGACCAGACTTCTGTGCTCGTGCGCCAAGTGGGGGGGGGATTAATGAGCCAACGTACAATTTGCATGCGCATTATGCGAGCCCTTTGATCTTGTCCTTCCTGTCCATTGTGTATTAAAATTGGCGTACCAACGGTAATCCCTATTGAAGTATGGTGCCCTGTATAGGCATGCATTTAAACAATGTATTATTTGACGATTCGCTTCCACGCAGCACGAAGTCGGTAGCTATCCACGCAGCACTAAGTCGGAGGCCACTACTGGCAGCAGAGTAATACGCACTCGGAGGCCAGGTGCGAGTCACCTTGTGCCCACAAGGACTGCTGCCACTGGGTGTATACCCTTACAAATGCGTTCAGAAGGGTTGTGAGTCAAGGAGGGCCGGGCTCCACCAAAACACAAACCGCTCTCTAACCGGTGGTGGCAGTGCAGGTGGGCGCCATAATGGTGAGATGTTAACTATCTTGCCTGGTAACCAGGAAGTCGTGGGTTTGATCCCGACCCCGATACCTGTATATTTAAAGTTTGCATGTTCTCCCCGTGGTCTCGTGTATTTTTCTCCAGGTCCTCCGGTTTTTCCCTCCCCTCCACATTTAGAAAGAAGTGCGTTTAGAGTATTTGGCTGCTAAAAAGATTTCCACATTACAAGCCACTTCATCGAGCTATCATTTGTGGCCAGGTCGCTTCTGAAAAAAGAGCTACATAGCTCAGTGGGCCTTTACCTGGTACATTTAAAATAGTTTAGTGTATAGTTTAGGTGTGGCCGTGGTTCGTGCGAGCGGGGCGGGCGACGCGCACCAGACACGATGTTCACGATGCGGTACGGGATGCCCAGCTCTTGATAGAAGCCCTCCGCCGTCTTCACCATTTCGTCAAACATCTCCCAGGACTTGTTGTCGTGGGGCGACGTGTAAACAAACTGCTCGATCTGCACGAAAACAGCCACAGAGGCGAGTTAAACCCCCTCGAGGTACTGAGTTGAACCCCCACTCCACCGTGTAATGCACAGCAGCTTCCCCTTCCCTCTCATGTTTATTGAATTTTTGATCCATGCTTGGTCAGGATTGGGCAAGGACATAGCCCATAGACTCACATTGCTCATACACTCACACAAAGCCCATAGACTCACATGTTGCCCATAGGCTCACAGATTGCTCATATACTTACGCATTGCCCATATACTTACACATTGCCCATAGACTCACACATTGCCCATGGACTCACACATTGCCCATAGACTCACACATTTCCCAAAGGCTCACATTGCCCATTGACTTGTTGCTGTTGTTGTGTAATGAGCTTGTGAGTAGGCCTGCTGACTCATAGCGTACAGAATGAGCTTTCCCTGGATTCCTCAACGTGAGTCATCGCACACCCTGTGCCATTTTATTGAGGGACTGTATTGTCTTGGTGTGGTCTGGGACTGTTTTTGTTGTTGTTTTGCTGCCTTGCTCAAGCTTGCATTTCGTGTTGCAATTTGTAATTATATACTTTATTTGTAGTGACTTGCTTACCTTTTCTCTATTTTGCACTCCTATTGTTTTGTATTGTTTGTTGTTGTAACTTGCTGACGCGCCCCCTACTGGACATCAGTGAAAAAGAGCTTCACAGCTCAGCGGATTCCTCCAGTCTAAATGAAGTCTGAATCCGATTCTCTCCCAGGATTCCTCAACGCGAGTCATCGGGCACCCTGCACGCTCTCCCAGGATTCCCCAACGCGAGTCATCGGGCACCCTGCACGCTCTCCCAGGATTCCTCAACGTGAGTCATCGGGCACCCTGCACGCTCTCCCAGGATTCCTCAACGCGAGTGTACGGCGCTGGGGCCGACGGCCGTGTGGGTCGCAACGTTACTGGGCGATGTAGCGGCAGGAGAGGCAGTCGACGGCCGCAGGAGTGACGTGGTGGCGAATGTCTGAGAGGCTGGGAGCTGGTGGCTACTACGCTGCATGCGGCCTCTAACGCTGCACTGTGGAGTTATGGGGTTCGTGGTTCATGCACAGATTCATGAAACTCCCTCTATACCCATGGGCATCAACGTGGCCGCCATCTCATGGATTTCTAGCATCTCATGACAGTACAGCAAGTGGGTTAACTTGCATCTGAATGGGGATTGTGTTACCCCCCCCACCTCGCGTGTGTGTGTGTGATTTCTCCGGGCACTCCTCTTCCCTTCCACATGTATATAACACTCATTAATGGAAGCGAATGAAACCTGTGCAGCACGTTACAATTCTACATACACAATTGATATTTGGGTTAAGAAACACAATGATCTGGCCAAATTTGCGTCGTAAGACGCTCCCGCCACCTGACAAAGCAAAAAAAAACGAAATCGTCACATGGCGTACAAGCGTTTAACGCGCGTAGTTTCATATTGTCTAGGCTCACTCTCCCGGTAAGTTAGACAGCGATTCTCACAGCCACATTTAGCTATTAGATACGCGACGTTTTCGATCGAGACTGCATCAAGCATCATCAGTACAAGGCCCAGAAAGCCCAAACAAAGTAAACGGAAGCTGGAGTGCGCGGCGTTTGTAGGCAGGCGCCATGCCCTGTGCCCGCATGCCTCATCGAATTGGTTCGTTCGCGGCCTGCACTCCTTGCTCTGCTGCGTTTGTTGTTTTTCTCTAATCATCTTCAAATTATAATAGTCAAACTCATCACCACGGCGGCAACGATGGCGACGACCCTCACCTTCTCAAACTGGTGCACGCGGAAGATGCCGCGCGTATCGCGCCCGTGCGAGCCGACCTCCTGGCGGAAGCAGGAGGAGAGGCCCGCGTAGCGCATCGGGAGCTGCTCTGGCTTGAGCCACTCGTCGCGGTGGAAGGCCGCGATGGGCTGCTCTGACGTGGCGATGAGGTACTTCTCGTCGACGGAGCTGTCGTCGGCGTGCTCGCTGCCCTTGCCCACCACCTGGCGCGACGTTCAAGCCCGTCAGCCGCCGGCTGACCGCGCGGAGAGGCACCGCGCGACATGGCGTACGTACGTGTGTGTTGCGTGTATCAGCGTGTTTGTACACGTGGGGAGCGGTGTGGCGTAGTGGTGGTGAGGGTGCCGAGTTACAAAACCAGCAACTGGAGTTCGATTCCCGCTGACAGCCAACATCGTTGACGAATATATGAACTGGTCCTGGACACAAATGAGTACCTGGTGCGACGTGTAAACATTAATACTGGGGAGTCAAAGGTGGCCGGGCGTGGTGCTGGCCACCGACTCCCCCTCTTGTCCCATGCAGGCCTTCATAGGTGCTCGCTAATAGCACTTGCCCCAACTGTCTGTTAAGGCTATACGGGGATCTTTATATGAGTATTTTTGTATGCAGCTTGACTGTGGGTGAGCAAAGTCTTATTTCTTACTATTACTATTGTGTTTACTTATCACAAAATCTAAAGATCCTTTTTCGGGAGGGTCCTGCCAACTATTCGCAGTAGGGAGAGCGATGTTGTTGCTGCATGCGATCCCGATTTGACACTGGTAACCCTGAATTTGTTCTTTAAAAAAAAACGCGTAAAATGAAATTTCTAAAATCGGCTTTTCGAATTAATTTCATACAGAAAATGTAGGGATGTGTTTCAAGATATTCCAACTCTACTCCTAACCTAAAAATGTACACCTATATCACTTTTCACAATACCTAAATATAAATTAAAAAAATATTAAAACGATTGAATAATAACGAATCTATATATATAAAAGGGAAATTTGTGAATGTGTGTGTCTGTTCGAAATGTTTAGCATACTTCCCGACATGGAACAAACTTGAAATTTGGCATGTGGGTAGCTTCCAGACTGTACACAATACAAAAAGTACAAAAATAGACTTTTGTATTTCTGTGATGTCACCCGCATGCGACAGCGTCACGCAGTGTGCCTGCTGACGTCACGCATCTCCCCCCACCCTCCACGTAGGCCGTGTATTCATCCAAGATAAGAATCCAAGTCTCGGGCGAAGCCGGGTAGTAAAGCTAGTTTTAAAATAAAATTTACCTTTTCATGGAACTCACCAAAAGATGTGCATGTTGAAATAACTGTAAAGATGATGTGGAGGCATTACTGTTGCACTGCAAGCATACCGCGATGCTGTCATGGATGGATGACGCAGCCTCCCGGGTGCTTTTTGTTTCGTGATCTCACGGCGCGTGCTGGAGTGCGGTGTGGGACGTGCACCCACGCACGCACGCACGCACCTTGTAGAGCTCTTCGTCAAACTGGCTGAGCTGGGCCACCTCCTGCATGACCTCCTTGCGCATGAAGAAGGGCGGGTAGAGCGGCGTGTAGCCCTGGCTGTAGAGACGCTGCAGGGCCAGCTGGATCAACGCCTGCTCCAGGAACACCAGCGGGCCCTGACGCAAAGATCGCAAGCGGGATTTTTGTGTTTTGATACCAACACAGTCACCGAGCACAGGCCCGAAGGGGAGATATGCGACCGGCCGACCGCGATGCCGACCGAACTGGTCGCCTCCGGGTCTCGCCACGTCTGCGTCAACGTCAGTCGCTGCAGACACACAACTCCGTCACACGCGCGCACACACACACAGCTGCCGAGCACAAACTCGAAAGGACCAAAACGTCAAACAGTGCTACTGATGGATCCAAGAGTGTAACGGGCTTCTTGAATTGAGCACGCGATTATGGGAGAAGAGATGATGGGAAGAGGGAATTCCCAAAGTGGAGCAGTGCGAGGGAGGGAGCATGAAGTGAAGAAATGCGTCGTGCATCTTCAGCAAAATCCCAGAAGTCGGTACAAAAATGGCTCAACATTGTATCTTCAATTAAACGAAACGTGACGGAGAGCGCAGCGCCACACACGCACCTCTTATTGTGATTGCTCTCGTTAACCCAGGAACAGCCTCGCCGAGTCCCAAAAGTATTTTTCAGGAGGGTTCTACCAAGATTTCCAGCAGCTAGTTCTACAATACTCTTCTTCTTCAAATGACAAAATGGTCCACGCAGAAAGGGCCCGCAGAAGCGGATAATCCGGAGCTAGCTCCGAGAGCTCACCTTGAGGAAGTAGGCCCTGCTGCCCGACACGATGGCCGCCTTCTCGCCCTCGTAGCCGTCCACCATCACCACTAGGTCGACGTGTGAGTAGCGCTTGCGGACGGTGACGTCGCCCCACGTGCGCTCCACCTTGTTGTCCGCGTCCTGGACACACACGAGCGGTCGCCCACGAAACCCACCGGACCCCGTCGCACTCTCATCATCATCTCCACCTCGTCATCTCCACAGCGTCACACCGGCACGGCACTGGGACACGACACGAAGACGCGTGCGCGACACGCACACGCTGCGTGATGCTGTGTGTGCATGTTATGCTACGTCTGTGCGAGTCTGTGCGTGTTTGATTGTGTCTGTGTGTGCGTGAGGCTGTCTCTTTGGGTCTGTGCATGACCCTGTGCGAGTTTGCGTGTCTGCATAATTCTATCTGTGTGTGTCTGCGTGTCGCAGTTGTGTTTCTGAGTCTGCGTGTCTGTGCAATTCTGTGCCCGTGTCTGCACAACACCGTGTCCTCGTGATGACGGAGAATGCCTCACCTCGTCGTTGCTCACGGGCACCGAGGGGTGCAGGATGTTGCCAACCTCACGGAGGCTGTCGAGGCGCACGGCCTCCAGGCGCAGGCGCTCGGTATCGCAGAGCGCGATCGCGTTGTCGATCTGCAGGCGCAGCACCTTGATCTGCGCCACCGACAGCGCCTGCAACAACAACGCAAAGTCTCCCCCTGTAGCCTTGAACAGTCTCTAAGGGCAGATGCTTTCAGCGAGCACCTATTAAGGCCGGAAACGGCGCACGACGGGAGCGGTGTGGCAAACAATTTTCTCAGCAGTTTTTGTCTCCAGGCCGCAGTGCTGATGTTTACGCACTGCAACAGGAACTTCTTTAAAGCCGAGTAGACCTAGCGGAGGCTCAGGGTAGGTGCAGACTTTCGTCGCCGACGTTAATTGCATACGAGAATCGAACTCAACTCGCCGGGTTCGTAGCACAATGTGCTAACCACTGCGCCACCGTTCCCCACATACACACGGTGCTTGATTGCAGTGCTGCACCTTTACCAGCATTGTGGCTCGATCTGCTCCGTGATTTGTCCTACCGGGAGCTGCACTGGACACCATCCCTCCCAGCTACCACAGGAGCTGGTAGGGAGATGCATGTAAAGTTGAATCACAGTCAACAGCATGTGGTCCTGCTGCTCAATTGCAAATTCCAAATGCCTATAATGAGGGACAACCACTGTTCATCTTCCCCCAAAGCGTGGCACTCAATTTATGGACTCCACAGAATGACGGGCAGAGTGGATTCCCTGACCGGCATTTTAACTCGCAACCGTCTGACTGCGAGCCGTTCGCGGGTACTGCCGCCGTGCCACCTGCTTGTCGGGTTCCGCCCAACAAGCTTGTCGTCGCGTATCTCCAAACCTGATAACGGCCCCGGCGAGCACTTTTCAACAAAACGCTGCGCACCCAGGCCAACCGCCAGGCTGCCGTTCACAGCAGCGGCAACGGCGCTCGCGTGGTGCCACGACTGCCCGCGGCCGAGTGCTTACGGCCAACGTGTCCGCCGTGAGCTCATCGAGGCCCGGCGTCCCCTCGGGGAGAGTCTCGTCTTGCCCAGGATCTTCCTTCTTCTACAAACACGCACAAGCACACATACACGCGGCGTCAACCACTGCTGCTGCAGAACACGTGCACGCACTTTCGCCGCACCTCCGACGAACACGGTTGGCTACGCGCGATGAGAAATAGGTTCAACATACGCACGGGGCAGTACGAGTGGGGACGTCGGGTTTCACGTGGTTACAAAGCAGGATTCGGAGCAGGTGACGTCATTCCAAATGAGTTGGCCATTGTGTGCTAGCGTCACGGTCCAAAATACATCACAAATTGTTAGGAAATACGCAAAGCAATCCTCGTCTGCGACTGATAAACCTTGGCAGGACCCTCCTGAAAACTTGTTTCGAGACTCGGTGAGGCTTCCCCGGGACACAAGCATGTGATAATAATTGATAATACCCCTTTTCCACTGACACATTCGAGGCGAGCCAACACGGTGCCAGCACGGTACCTGAGCCGAACTACCCGAGGAAACGTATGAATCTAGCTTGGGGCCATTCGGGGCCAAGGGGTGGGGCTAACGACGCATGCGGTGTGCGTGTGGCGTGCCACTGCCAGGTCTGGTTACGTGCCAAGGCGCAGAATCCAAGAGTCAATCAACCACGGGGCATTCGCTTGGTGCCATTGTGGTGGTCAATGCGACCATGCCTGTTGGCTGCCGACGTGGCCATTCCGGTGGCACTACCACTGTGGCCACCCCGGCGAGGATTCTGACGCAAGAGTCGAGCATCTGAGCCTCGGGCAAGCGAGGAGACGCGTTCTGGCCTCGCGATGGCTGGCGCTCGCACCTTCATCTTGTCGCCGATGGTTTTGCTGCACAGGTTCTTGAGCTTGTTTAGGTTGTCAGCGCGGTACCTGCCTGTACGATACATCGCACATCGTCACACATCGCGTGGTCATTACATCACCGCATTCCATCATCACAAAGCCAATACCGCACGCATTACATATATAGCATACCACATCCTACACTGCACCCACGTACCAAGCCACATACCCAATACCACACCAAATCACAAAGACAAGCCAAAGGTCCCCTATATAGCCTAAACAGACTGCTGGGCCAAGTGCTGTTAGCGAGCAGCTATGAAACCCGGAGCGGCACACGACGGGGTGGGTGGTCAGCACCAGTGGCCGCCTTTGTCTCCCTAGTGGCGATGTTTAAAAACGGCACCAGGTACTCATTTGAGTTTGAGTCGATATAGGGGAGGGCCCAGGAACGCTGTCGATAATCGTCACTGCTGTTGGCCGTGAGCAAGAATCTAACTCGCTGGGTTTGTAGCACAGCGTGTTAACCACTCTACTACCGCTCCTCCTCACACGACACAGACCACCACATCGCGTATCCAATACCATGGACACACACACTCGCCCCCCGGCACGTGGGGAGCGGTAGTGTAGCGGTTAGCACGGCGGCCCGAGTTCCATTCCCGCTCATGGCCAACATCAGTGACGATTATTTGAACCGGTCCTGGGCCTCCCCTTGGTCGACTCAGCCTGAAGTGAGTACCTGGTTGCGATGTGTATAGAGAGACAAAGGCGGCCGGGCGTGGTGTTGGCCACCGACCCCCTCGTGTGCCGTGCCCGCTGACGGCGCTCGCCCCAGCAGCCTGTTACAGGCAACACGGGGGACCTTTCGTCTTTGTGTTGCGACGCCCCCGCGGCGCCTGTGCCAGGCTAGGTGCAGGGTGTGGATGAAGCGGATGCGTCCGCTGCACTCACAGGCGCGCCACTGCGTGTCGGCCTGCACCAGGGTGTCCACCAGGCACACGTCTTTAAATCTCCGCGCCTGATTCTCGCGGACCCGCGTCGGGTCGCCCCCCTTGTCCGCGCGGAACAGGTCCAGGTCGAGCACCATGGCGACGGTGCCTCCTCTTCTTCTTCTTCAAAACCTCGTCGTCCCTCTTCACGGTTCTTCCTCGCTGCTCGACACGGCACACACACGGCACGCACCTCGTCTCCCCTCCACTGCGCGTCTCAGCTCGCCACAGCCCTCCTCCTCCTCCTCGTCGTCGACACACACCTCGTCTAACCCTCAACGCTCGTCGCAATGCACAACGTTGCCCGTCTCTCCCCCTTCTTGGAACTCGTCGATCCTCCTCACATCGTCAACATATTGCTCGCTCCAGTTCCCTCTTTACCCACCTCGCTTCCCCATTCCCCAGTTACTACTCTCACTTCCCTAGCTGCTCTCCTCCTCTATTGCTCGTCTCTTACCTCGTCTCTCTCTCTCCTTGTCTCTCGTCTCCTCTGCCCGTCTCTTACCTCGTCTTTCTCCTTGTCTTTTACCTCGTCTCTCTCTCCCCCTCCGTCTCGAACCTCGTCTCTCCACCTCCTTCTCTCTCCTCGTCTCTCTCTTCTCGTCTCTCTCCCCGTCTCTTAACTCGTCTCTCTCTCTTACCTCCTTCTCTCTCTCTCCACGTCTCTCTCCCTGTCTCTTACCTCGTCTCTCTCTTCTCCTCGTCTCTCTCTCCCCGTCTCTCTCTCCTCGTCTCTCTCTCCCCGTTTCTTACCTTGTCTCTCTCTCCACCTCCTTCTCTCTCTCCTCGTCTCTCTCCCTGTCTCTTACCTCGTCTCTCTCCTCTCCTCGTCTCTCTCTCCCCGTCTCTCTCTCCTCGACTCTCTCCTCCTCCTCGTCTCTCCCCGTCTCTTACCTCGTCTCTCCACCTCCTTCTCTCTCTCTCCTCGTCTCTCTCTCCGTCTCTTACCTCGTCTCTCTCCTCGTCTCTCTCTCTCTCCCCGTCTCTTACCTCGTCTCTCTCTCTCCTCGTCTCTCTCTCTCCTCGTCTCTCTCTCCCCGTCTCTTACCTCGTCTCTCTCTCCACCTCCTTCTCTCTCTCCTCGTCTCTCTCTGTCTCTTACCTCGTCTCTCTCTCTCCTCGTCTCTCTCTCCTCGTCTCTCTCTCCCCGTCTCTTACCTCGTCTCTCTCTCCTCGTCTCTCTCTCCCCGTCTCCCTCTCCTCGTCTCCCTCTCTCTCCTCGTCTCTCTATCTCCTCGTCTCTCTCCCCGTCTCTTACCTCGTCTCTCTCTCCACCTCCTTCTCTCTCTCCTCGTCTCTCTCTCCCCGTCTCTCTCCTCTCCCTCTCGCCCTCTCCACCTCGTTCAATGAGGCTGACGCAACTCGCGCATTGCGCATGCGCAACTCCGTCCGCCGGCGCCCACGTGGCCGTGCGGCGTGACGCTCGGTCACGTGGGTATCATTCGCAGTCTCTCCGGGGTGGCGGGGTGCTGCCCGTGGCATTTGGTAAACCCACAGCGTCCATCCTGTACACTACACTATACATTACTACATACCTGTCAACCTCCAGCGTCCATCCTGTACACTACACTATACACTACTACATACCTGTTAACCTCCAGCGTCCATCCTGTACACTACACTATACACTACTACATACCTGTCAACCTCCAGCGTCCATCCTGTACACTACACTATACACTACTACATGCCTGCCAACCCCTTAGCGGTGCCCCCTATCTGTACACTACACTATACACTACTACATACCTGTCAACCCTTCAGCAGTGCCCCCTACCTGTACACTACACTATACACTACTACATACCTGCCAACCCCTTAGCGGTGCCCCCTACCTGTACACTACACTATACACTACTACATACCTGTCACCCCCTTAGCAGTGGCCCCTACCTGTACACTACACTATACACTACTACATACCTGCCAACCCCTTAGCAGTGCCCCCTACCTTATTAGACCAATTCAGACCTTATTGGTCACCCCGTGCCCCTTATAAATCTCAACGTCCATCCTGTACACTACACTATACACTACTACATACCTGTCAACCCCTTAGCAGTGCCCCCTACCTGTACACTACACTATAAACTACTACATACCTGCCAACACCTTAGCAGTGCCCCCTACCTGTACACTACACTATACACTACTACATACCTGTCAACACCTTAGCAGTGCCCCCGACCTGATGACAGACCAATTCAGACCTAATTGGTCACTGCATGCCCCTTATAAATCTCAGCGTTCATCCTGTATACTACACTATACACTACTACATACCTACTCTTTGGTTCTATTCGGTAAAGTCACGTAGGTAAAACAAATTAAAATACATTTAAATAAAATAAACAATTAAAACACGACGTTTCGGAGGCAAAGCAAGCTTCCGTCTTCAGGTGGGACCAGTCGCAGCAAAATCGCTGCACCAAGTGGTGAGGTTCTGGGAACCTCGAGCTTAAATACAGGTTGAGGGGGGGGGGGTGTGGGAGGGGCCATGTAGGGGACTTTAGTGGAGTGCGGAGCTGAGTTAATCCGTCTTTTGTTGTGTAGATGGGTCATTGTGTGTGTGCAGTATAAACGGGAAAAAATGAAGAAAATCGTCTCGGATGTGCTGTACGGGGGCAGTAGAAATAAGGAAATAGAAAGGTTCGGAAAGAATATGTTTGGTATACCACTGCTTGAAGTTGCTGTTAGAAATCAGTTAACGTTTGGTATGATTTAAAACGTCTTTCCAGTGGTTGCTTATTTTGAAACCATCCTCTCGGTTGAAGTTATGCCTGTGTTTGTATATCTGAATGGCTTCGTGGACAAATCTTTGGTGATAACCTGTAGGTTTACAAAGAACCTTGGTATCGGAAAAGACAATCTCATGGTCACCCATAGCATTGTAACAATGATCAGCCACAGCAGAAGAATTCGTTCTGCCGTGTTTCAAATCTGATTTGTGCTCGCGAATTCGGTCAGAGATATGTCGTTTCGTCTCCCCAATATAGCAGCCACCACAGGTACAGTTCAATTTGTAAACTCCGGGGTACTGTAAGTCAGGGATGACATCCTTTACGGATGGGATCAGATCACGTATTTTGTGTACTGTATTGAACCGGACTTGGATCTTGTGTTTATTTAGAATTTTGGAAATCTTTTTAGTAACGCCTGCTATGTATGGTAGTGTGATGGTTTTGATCGGAGTATCAAGTGGTTGTTTCTGTATGGTAGGAGAAACAGCTTGGCGGATGGTACGGTCAGAGTATCCGTTCCTCCTGAGGGCCAGCCGTACCAAATTTAATTCATTGGTCAAGTGGTGTTGGTCCGAAATGCAATGAGCCCTATGGTATAACGTTTTGATGAGAGAGTTCTTTTGAGCTGGGTGGTGGTGGGAATCCGGTTTCAAGTAGGATGCTGTGTGGGTGGGCTTTTTGTAAACAGAATGTCCAAACGAGCCATCAATGCCAGACACCCTTCTATCAAATTCACCATGGAAGTAGAGAAAAATGGCAAGCTGCCATTCTTGGATGTTCTGTTTGAGAGGAGGTCTGATGGCTCGTTGGGACATTCTGTTTACAGAAAGCCCACCCACACAGATTCCTACTTGAAACCGGATTCCCACCACCACCCAGCTCAAAAGAACTCTCTCATCAAAACGTTATACCATTGGGCTCATTGCATTTCGGACCAACACCACTTGACCAGTGAATTAAATTTGGTACGGCTGACCCTCAGGAGGAACGCATACTCTGACCGTACCATCCGCCAAGCTGTTTCTCCTACCATACAGAAACAACCACTTGATACGCTGATCAAAAACATCACACTACCATACATAGCAGACGTTACTAAAAAGACTTCCAAAATTCTAAATAAACACAAGATCCAAGTCCGGTTCAATACAGTACACAAAATACGTGATCTGATCCCATCCGTAAAGGATGTCATCCCTGACTTACAGTACCCCGGAGTTTACAAATTGAACTGTACCTGTGGTGACTGCTATATCGGGGAGACGAAACGAGATATGTCTGACCGAATTCGCGAGCACAAATCAGATTTGAAACACGGCAGAACGAATTCTTCTGCTGTGGCTGATCATTGTTACAACGCTATGGGTGATCATGAGATTGTCTTTTCCGATACCAAGGTTCTTTGTAAACCTACAGGTTATCACCAAAGATTTGTCCACGAAGCCATTCAGATATACAAACACAGGCATAACTTCAACCGAGAGGATGTTTTCAAATTAAGCAACCACTGGAAAGACGTTTTAAATCATACCAAACGTTAACTAATTTCTAACAGCAACTTCAAGCAGTGGTATACCAAACATATTCTTTCCGAACCTTTCTATTTCCTTTTTTCTACTGCCCCCGTACAGCACATCCTCGACGATCTTCATTTTTTCCCGTTTATACTGCACACACAGTGACCCATCTACACAACAAAAGACGGATTAACTCAGCTCCGCACTCCACTGAAGTCCCCTACATGGCCCCTCCCACACCCCCCCACCTCAACCTGAATTTAAGCTCGAGGTTCCCAGAACCTCACCACTTGGTGCAAAGATTTTGCTGTGACTGGTCCCACCTGAAGACGGAAGCTTGCTTTGCCTCCGAAACGTCGTGTTTTAATTGTTTATTTTATTTTATTTCAATTTATTTTAATTTGTTTTACCTACGTGACTTTACCGAATAGAACCAAAGAGTATGAATCCTTGCAGTCACGAAAGCTTCAAATCTAGAATACTACATACCTGTCAACCCCTTAGCAGTGCCCCCTACCTTATTAGAGACCAATTCAGACCTTATTGGTCACCCCGTGCCCCTTATAAATCTCAACGTTCATCCTGTACACTACACTATACACTACTAGATACCTGTCAACCCCTTAACAGTGCCCCCGACCTGATGACAGACCAATTCAGACCTTATTGGTCACCCCGTGCCCCTTATAAATCTCAACGTTCATCCTGTACACTACACTATACACTACTAGATACCTGTCAACCCCTTAACAGTGCCCCCTACCTTATTACAGACCAATTCAGACCTTATTGGTCACCCCGTGCCCCTTAGAAATCTCAACGTTCATCCGACAAAGTCCCATCACAGGGGAGAAACACAAAGACACATTTTGTTGTTGTTGTTGGTGCCCGCATTGAAACGGCTGTACGCCGTATGGACCTGAAAACGCGATTTACCTGTACAAGGATACGGGGTGAAGTGGTGATCCGTATGGATTGGCAGTGATGTAAACCGATTTTGCTCTTCGTCGCTTGCCTCCAGGTGGTGGTGGACCCCAAGTTCACTCGCACATGGGACTCTCTGCTCGGGGTCTCACGAGTTTCTCGCCTGGCTACACTCGACACAACGCTCGAACTCCAGGCTAACGCTGGCGTAATCAGTGCTCACCTGTTTACTCCTGTGGAGCCCTGCAGAGCCAGTGACCGTGGAAAATCCACGTTCGTATGGCGGGGGAAAGTCCTACCTAGGATAACCACGGTTGACTTCGCGCGCCCCCCACCCCCCACCTTCCCCTAGATACTATTTCATCTCATCACCATTGTTCACCCACCACCAACACTGTCACGACACACTCCCCACTCATCAACCCAGGGGCCGTCCATAAATGACGTCACGCGATTTTGGACGATTTTTGACCCCCCCCCCCTCGTCACACGGCGTCATAAAAAGTCAGACCCCCCTCAAATATGACGTCACAAAGCCCTGCCCCCCCCCCTCCAAAACCATATTTCCATTTTGAAAATAAAACGTGCTTCAAATCGCTTTAAACTATTGTCATTGTAGTGCGTATTTAATGTGGCGCTGCACTCTGTTGTAGGAGAAAACATTAAAAAAGTCTATTTAATTAAGTAGAACGTGTTGTCTATATTTATTTAAAGTTGCGCATTTTGATGTGACGTCACATTTCTCAAACACCCCCCCCCCCAGGTGCCTGACATCATTTATGGACGGCCCCCCACCCACCCGCCACACTGTCACAACGTTCCTCTTTCTGCTGCCTCTTCCCTCGCACCGCTGCACTTTGGAACATCTCCCTCCCATCGCCGTCTACTTCGCCCCCAAGCTCCTATAAGAACCTGGCTCAGTTCAAGAAAAGTGTTTCGCAACTCTTAGCTACTACAACCTTGAGTGCGGTTTGTTGCTGGCTGCTCAGCCACGAGAACAAAAAGGCAGTTCGTTAAACAAGACTGCAACAGCCGCCATTCGCCACTAGGTGGCGGCGATGTCACCGCAAAGCTTGTGCCAGGCTTGGTGCACGTTGAGGCGATCACGTGTCGAAGGCTGCTCGCGGGAGATCAGGGGACAGACCCAGGTGGCGGCATGGGTTGACTGAGATGACCGGCAGATGCATCACCTGTGCTCCCAACTGTGTCAACTTGTTGCGTTTTATCCTCCCGGCGCTCCAATCATTGTTTTGAGCGTCGCTCCTCCGCCCTCCACTGTTTTTTTTTTGCTGGAGGGCGACTGCGTCCAGCTGTCCTGTAGCTTGACAGGACACCTTGCTTGGCACTGCCCAGTAGCGTTCTTCACAAGCCTCCTCCTCCTCCACATCACACACACCGACCCACTGATGGGAAAGGAGCCACACGGGCTCCAGTTAACACACTCACGCGCGTTTATTGACGAAGTGGCTCGACATTGGAACTTAAAAGTTTCCTAGTTTAAAACCGCAACCGAATAACAAAAGTAGCTTATGCAAACGAAGAAAAGTCAAAGTTAATTTCACTCTAAAACAAGTTATGAAATGTAAGACCTACAATTTTCGTGAAATCAATTCGGTGTCAAGTTGCGATGATGAAGTGCACGTGAAAATCTGAATATTTATACTGGAGGAATCCGATGAGCTACAAAGCTCTTTTTCAAAGACATCCAGGCGGGTTCCGTTTACGGGGACGCCGTGCATAGGCTGTGCCGGCAACTGCTTCACACGCACGCACGGCTCCAGTGTTTACAACTAAACTCACTCCCAGGCCACGTGGCTGGAGGGATGTTAAAAAAAATACTTTAATAATTTAATGTGGAGGGACAGATATGAGGGGCGGCGTGATTTGGACCGTGACGCCGGTGGCGCACAGTGGCCTTACCCCTCTTGCGAACGAGTAAAGAAATGACGGCGCGCAAGTCGCATTATTCCGGTTCATACGCACGCTGCAGAATTGGAGGGGGCGGCCTGCCGGATTCGAACCGCGAACCTCTGCAACGAGCGGCCCACGCGCGACCACCGCACCGGGCCGACTCACCGCGCCACGTGGAAATTATTGCAAAACGCGAAATCTCCCTTAAAAAAAACATAATCCGAATTGCTTAAATCTGAAACGCGTCGCTAGCTTCTAGTCCATAACCCAGGAATCCTCAGTGGCACAGAATTGCACTTATAGAGTACTGCATGTAACAGATGCCTTCTTAAAGCGCGATAGCAAAGCGTGAGATGTGAATCGAAAGGGGAAAAAAACCGACGCGTTATTCAAACTGAGTGAGTCCGCAACACGGGAGAACCGCGGGGGGGGGGGGGGGTGTGGGGGAGGAGGGGGTCGTAGCAAATCCATGCATGAGTCCACAAGAGCGTCGCGCGCAGAGCGCAACGACACTCACACACGACCATTCGTGTCGCGTCCACGCCGCGTTCGGCCACCGCACTGCAGGTCACAGCAACAACTCAACAACCCCCCCCCCCAACCCCCCTAACGCACCGCACTCCAGGTGACCTCAATTCTCATTCCTGCTTCTTCCCTCGCGCTGCTCCACACTGGAATTCCGCCCCATTGTCCTCCCCCCCCCCCACACACACACACCAAGCTCATAACGATCACAACCCTGGCTCAATTCAAGACACGTGTCACACTCTTCGTCCATTACGACGACGATACTACTCGTGCCATTTGCTGCTGGCCGCTTGACGTTTTTGGGCCCCGCGCTGTGCAACGGTGTCGGAAAACACAAAACGGGACGACGACCTCCTCGGGTCACCCTCTGGTCACAACACTCACACGGGCGCGAGCCGGTCACCTCGGAAACGGCTTCGGAGCTCCACGGGTTCACGCAGCCAAAGCACAATGTCCGGGTCTACGAATGACCCGTTCACAGCTGACGGTGACCTCTGCACAGTTCAATTACAGTGGTCAACTCCCTTTTAGGCAAAAGATCCCCCCTGCCGTATAGCCTTACCAGACTTTTGGGGCAAGTGATATTGGCGAGCACCTATTAAGGCCAACACGGCACACGAGGGGGTGGGTGGCCACAACGATGCCTGGCCCACCTTTGTCCCCCGAGTGCCGATGTTTATATACACAAAACTATTTTTTTTATATTTTACCAGGTAAGGCCCACTGAGCTGTATAGCTCATTTTCAGAAGCGACCTGGCCACAAATGATAGATCAACAAATCGGCTTATCGTGTGGAAATTTATAGCAGCCAAATACTCTAAATGCATGTTTCTAAACATGGAGAAAACCGGAGGACCCGGATAAAAATCCACGTGACCACAGGGAGAACACGCAAACTCCAAATATACAGGCGTCGGAGTCGGGATCGAACCCACGACCTCCTGCACACCAGGTGAGGTAGTTAACATCTCACCACCGTGGTTCCCCACTGCACAAAGTACTCAATTAAGGCTGAGTCGACCTATGGGAGGCCCAAGACCGGTTCGGATAATCATCACTGTCGGTCGCCGGGTTCGGAGGGGCAGCACGCCAACCGCTACACCCAGGCACAGAGGCAGGCGTTGCAGCCCACAGCCGGCGCGGAGAGCGATAACCGCGGGATCAGGGCACGGGGAAACCGAGCGGGCTCGGCCCTGCGGTGGATTGAGCGGCTCCGCCAGGCCGAGGTTTGGCGATGCGCGTGCGGGGGTTGAGCCCCCCGTGTCGGGCTGGCGTGCGCGGTGCGTGCAGCCGCTGTTGCGACCGGGCGAGAGCGGTTGGGCATCGCTTTGATACCGGGGGCGGGGGGGTGCGGCTAGAGTCGGTTTCTCATTGTGGCACGAGAACGCCGGTATCACCGCTGTGAACCGGTTCGCCGTACGAATATAAAAGTTTCAATAGCAGTTTGAGGTTTCTCGAATTGGCGCCGATCAGTCCTTCACAGTTGCGTGCGGTGGGGTAAAGTGTGGGTACGTCCACATCTACGAACACACCTGGTCAGCTTCGAAGAATGTACCAAACTCCCTGTAAACCTTTAGTGGAAGCCAATTGGGTTACCGGGTTACCGATCATAGTTTAATAACCCTCACTGAGTGTGGGCGAGTGTAGAGGGCAGGGAGGAGTGTGGGTGAGTGTAGAGGGCAGGGAGAAGTGTGGGTGAGTGTAGAGGGCAGGGAGGAGTGTGGGTGAGTGTAGAGGGCAGGGACGAGTGTGGGTGAGTGTAGAGGGCAGGGGAGAGTGTGGGTGAGTGTAGAGGGCAGGGAGGAGTGTGGGTGAGTGTAGAGGGCAGGGAGGAGTGTGGGTGAGTGTAGAGGGCAGGGAGGAGTGTGGGTGAGTGTAGAGGGCAGGGAGGAGTGTGGGTGAGTGTAGAGGGCAGTTAGGAGTGTGGGTGAGTGTAGAGGGCAGGGAGAAGTGTGGGTGAGTGTAGAGGGCAGGGAGGAGTGTGGGTGAGTGCGGTGAGTCAGGGAGGAGTGTGGGTGAGTGTAGAGGGCAGGGGAGTGTGGGTGAGTGTAGAGGGCAGGGAGGAGTGTGGGTGAGTGTAGAGGGCAGGGAGGAGTGTGGGTGAATGTAGAGGGCAGGGAGGAGTATTGGGCGAGTGGGTGATTGTAAAGGAAAACCAGCCTAACCTCTGTGATGGTGTCAAATGATAATACTGTGGTTGTAAGCAATTCCATTGGGAGAAGGCTGTGCTGATGCTAATCAGCTGTTACCCTCATGGCACTGACAGCCACAACAGAGGCGAATGGGGGTGCTGGACGGGTGCAAGGGGCTGGTGAGCCCCCCACCTTTCAATAATGTCCCAAAACCACGAATGAAACACCAAACTAAATTTGTGCCGGGGGCTCCGAGGGGGTCAGGCAACCATGACGTCATCTGACTAAACCATGTTTGGCGGCAATCACTGCGGCTGACCATGTGGAATGTGGAAATGCTCACTGTGGAGGAAAGGATGCCATTCCTCCATCAGGAACTTGACCGGTACTGTCTGGGCCTCTATGAAATATAGGAGGGGGGCGGTGTACTGGTTCTGGCTCCAGTCACGACAGGGATGGACAGTCCTCCTCTCAGGGCTGGAAACTATCAAACAACACTGAGTGGCACTTCTTGGGCAGTGATTGTAGGAGGCTGCTAGATACCGGTGCAGACGATGGGCTTGTATTCACCACGCTGTTGTGGCATCGGTGCATCCACACATCGTGGATGCATGCCAGGTCCGTTTAGAATATTTGCTGGACTGCGGTGATGGAACAGCGGATACAGGCCCATGTCCTTGAGATCGCAACAATGAAGGGCGGAGGAGCGACGCTCACAACGAGTGGAGATAAACCGCAGCGAGTTGGCACAGTGAGAAGCACAGGTGGTGGTGCAGCTGCCAGTCATTGCAGTCAACCCATGGCACCTGGGTCTGTTCTGTGACCTCCTGCCAGCAGCAGCGAGCCTTCCACACTCCAAGTGATAGCCTCAATGTGCAATGAGCCTAGCACAAACGCCGTGGTCATGTCACCACCACTTAGGGGTGAATTCATGTTTTACAGGTAAGGCAGGGGTGTAGGGAAGTGTAGAAAATTAGGTGAGTCCACAGGAGTGTGGGTGAATGTGGAGGTGAGTGTAGAGTGGGTGAGTGTAGTGGGGGTGAGTGTAGTGGGGGTGAGTGTAGTGGGGGTGAGTGTAGTGGGGGTGAGTGTAGTGGGGGTGAGTGTAGTCGGGGTGACTGCGGTGTGCGAGGAGCTGTGTGGCGGCGCTGTGGCCGCTAGGTGCGCCACTGGTCGGCGCGGTGCAGCTGGTTGTAGCGCTGCAGCTCGATCTGGTCCTTGATCTGGTTGATCAGGAGCTGTGCCAGCATGATCCCCACCAGCTGGCACGGGAGGGAGACACAGGGGGAGAGACGCACGGGGAGGGAGACACGCACGGGTGTCGTGACCTGCGGTATGGTGGTGGACGAGCGCGGTACGGAAGAGCCGACATGGTCAGTCAGAGAGCCTGGGTGCCTCTCGTGGGTGGAGGAATATAAAATTAAAATATATTTTGTTTTACCAGGTAAGGCCCACTGAGCTATATATTTTTTTCAGAAGCAACCTGGCCACAAATGAGAGCTCAACGAAGTGGCTTATCATGTGGAAATTTATATCAGCCAAATACTCGAAGCGCTATGCAAGCATCAGGGTCTGGATCGAACCCACGACCTCCTGCAAACCAGGCGAAAGAGTTAACATCTCGCCACTGTTGCGCCCCGAATCAATGAGCAAAGTTCACGGGGACGGTGACGCAATCAGAGTTCTGAGAGACGGAGGAGTCCGCACGCCTGGGAATGGAGCCAGGCTATGGATGACGAAGAGCTGGGGTAAAAGGAGAGGCGGTGGCGACGGGGGGGAGGGAATTCCCCAGCGGAGCGGTGGGTTGATCCTTGACGACGGCTCGTCGTGACGCGGCCCAGCGGTCACGTGCTCCCCCAGCTCGTTGCTGAGGTTCGCGGTCCGAATTGGGACAGCCCGCCCCAGTTATTACTGCGGTGAGTATTGACCGTAAACTGATGTAGTGACTGTGGTTGTCACTGTGTGGTGCCAGGCCTGCGAGGCCACGGCGGAAAAGGTGTTGTCATTACGTGCAGCCCGGTTACTGAGCGTAGTACCAGCCCGAGCGGGGCTTGGGTGAGCGCTGGTTTGCGCAGAGGCACCACGTACGGTGTGCGGTGCGGGCTCCCGTTGAGGGAGCGAGAGGGAGTGTCAGCCAGCCAGGGTTACGTTGGGGCATGATACACTGGTTGACCTGCCGGCACGTAACCGGATGATATTGGAAGGGGGCCACCGGTGGACGGGGTCGCTGGGTGGTCACGTGGTATAGAAGAGCTTTCGGGAGCCTTCGGGAAAGGGCTCGAGAGATCTAGAAGGTAGGCGGGGCGAGGAACGGAGCCAGCCCCAGCCGGGGCCGATATAACGGGGGCCCCGTGTGGGGCTCGGGGTTCTTCGTGTTGCTGGTGATGAAGATCCACGTCGGGTAAAAGAAGCCTCTAGCCACGCGGTCCGGGACCCAGCTTGTAGTCCGGACCGGGATAGTGGGACCGTGTCTCGTTCTGCCATAGCGTGGTTAGATGGGCGTTCAACATCCGTATGTAGATTACATCATGTTGTGTTGGTGTTGGTGTGAATAAAAGTGTTGCTCCCAAGATAACGTCTGCGTCTCAGTTGCACTCACTACACTACTATTCGGGCGGGGAGGCGTGGGGGGGCTATGGGGGGAGGGGTGGGCGGCGGCAGGAGGGGTGGTCGGGAGCGAGTGGTGGTGGGGGGTCGGGGGGGGGGGTCACCTGCGGCACGGCGAGGCCCAGGGCGACGCCGCCCAGCAGGTAGAGGTGCCCGTGGGCCCAGGCCACCAGTTTGTCGATGCAGCCGCTTGTGTGGACCGAGCGTGCGGCCTCCAGCTGCTCCTGCTGCTGGACGCCGTAGCCACACATGGAGTTGAGCACGGCCTGCGGCGTGCGGGAGGCAGCGTGGCGGCACACGTTAACCTCTCCGGCCACACCAGTCTCAACATGATCAGCCTCTCCGGCCTCAACATCATTAGCCACCTCACCAGCCGGAGCCTCACCAACCCCCCCACCCAGTGACTCACCCAGTGACTCACCCAGTGACTCACCCAGTGACCCACCCACCCATTCACTCACCAACCAACTTGTCCAGAATAATCAGGAAAAGATCCAAGCAGTTATTGTCTCTTGGCTGGATCGCAGTCTGAAGTGAAGCGTCAACGCATCCGCTCTTTAACTCGACGGGTGGGCGAGCTGAGACAATTGTGTTTGCCGCTTCAACAGCGTGCAATAATAACGATCTAAGCCTTGTACCCCACGCAGGATCCGCTCGCTCTCAAAGAGAGGGGACGACTCGAGGCGCGAGGAGAAACCACAGACGGAGGGAAGGCAGCAGCTAGGCAGTGAGCTGACCCTACCAACAATTACCCAAGCTCTGGGGTCCTCTACATATGGAGGTGTTATCGGCCAATTAGTGTTCATGTATGTGAGAGAATACCGGAACACACGGAGAAAACCCACAACTCAATCTTACACAGACGTAACAATCTTGATTTGAAGCTTTCGTGACTGCAGGAATCCATACTCTTTGGCTCTTTCGGTAAAGTCAGCTGTGGTGGTCCCACCTGATGACGATTGCTCGTGTTGCGATGGAAACGTCGTGATCTATTATTTTTCTACCTACGTCACTTTACCGAAAGAACCAAAGAGACGGAACAAGTCGAATCCACATTTTTGGTTTACCGCCTTCTCCTCTGCGAGCCAGGGTCACGGCCCCTCCCCGGGGCCCATGAGAAGGGGAGTTTCACAACGACATGTGTGCGTCATCCACCAACCCTCGCTGCTGCCTCCACAGTGCGGGATTACAGGCAACCACGTGCAGCAGCGTGGCCGCCACTGCCCGCGACGGCAGCCAGAGCTGCGTCACCGCCACCACGGCTTGACAATCAGCCCCCCACTCCCCCCGTGCGCCTCTCCCACCGCCACCGCGGCCGACCGCGGCGTAGCGGCCGTGGGTGTGGGCGGCACCTCGTCGCGCTGGGCGAGGCAGCAGGAGAAGGGCACCCCGCAGCGCTCGGGGCTCGGGTTCTCCAGCGAGCAGTTGAAGTACATGTTCCGGCTCCAGTCCTTGTACGTCGCGCCGCCGCAGCACTCGAACTGCAGCGGCAGGCACAGCCATCCGGCGGCGGAGTGACCACCACGGCTTGCCGTCATTGTGAGTACTGGTGTGTCATCAGAATCAGAATACTGCGCTCGGTTACCCGGGAAAGCCTCCCTGAATCACGGGGCTCTGATTGAGGAGGGTCCTGTCATATGTGTCGCAGTAGGGGGTGATGTTGCTGCTTTCTGCTGCTGTGTGTGATCCCAAATGAGTGTTTGATAGGTGATTCGAGTGGGTGGGTGAGTGAGTGATTGGGTGGGTGAGTGAGTGATTGGGTGAGTGGGCGAGTGAATGCGCAACCTCCTGCTGGCCGTAGTCGATGGCGTTCTGCAGGTCGATGTCTTCACGGTAATAAACGATGCCTTTGTTGATCAGTTTACTAATCCGGACACGTGCCTACAAAGACAAAGATCACCCGTATAGCCTTAACAGACTGTAGGGGCAAGTACTGTTAACGAGCACCTATAAAGGCCGGCACGGCACACGAGGGGGGTGGGTGTCCAGCACCGTTTACACACTGTACCAGGTACTCATTTGATGCTGAATTAACCTAGGGCAGGCCCAAGATGAGGTCAAATATTCGTCACTATTATTGGTTATGAGCAGAAATCGCTGGGTTCATAGCGCAGTGCGCTAATCACTGCACTACGACTCATACGTGCACACGCATATGCCCACCCATACACCCACATACACACATATCTCTATTAATCAGAAATCATGGCAAAAATCTATAGAAATCAACGCAAAAACAGCGCTTAACAGTTTGCTGGTGAGTGTCGTATCGTCACAGGAAACCGTGGCTTTACTGCAGATTCACGTGAAGCGCCACGTACCCAATCACTGCTTAATCTGACAGTGAAGATTGTCCTTCAACTCACCGGGTGAGCGAGGTGAGGCAATGAGGATGTAAGGATCGCTCCCTAACTCACCGGATGAGGGAGGTGAGCATACGAACCGTGAGGATCGCTCTCGAACTGACCGGGTGAGCGAGGTGAGGCAACACGCACACACGCGTCGTAACAACGCGTGTGTGCGTGTTTGGCCGTGTTGGGTGGTGGAGGGCCCGATCGACGCGACCGTCGCGACGCTGTCCCTCGATGGCGCCGTCACCTTGTCGGAGAAGACGAAGCCCAAGACCCCGGCCGCGAGCTGGAGTAGGAACACCACGGCGAGGCACACGGAGAACTGTGGGGGGGCAGGGGGGGGCAGGGGCGGTGTGGGGGGCAGGGGGGTGTGGGGGACAGGGGGGTGTGGGGGGGTCAGAGAAGGAAATGGCGTGGCGCTGGCCACACACCCTTCCCTCACGTGCCGGCCTTCGTATGTGCTCACGGACAATTCTTGCCCCAACAGCTTGTTGGAGGCTACATGGGGGACTTTGCGTGTGCGAGATGTTTTCAGATTCATGTTGTGTGTGAGAGTGTTGCGTGTGTGATGTGCGTAGGTGACATTGTCAGTTGTAATGCATAATCTGAGCTCCATTACACAGACACACATGCATGTGTTGCAACACAAACACACGCGTGTGGGTCTGTGTTGCAACACAAACACACGTGTGGGTCTGTGTTACAACACAAACACACACGTGTGGGTCTGTGTTACAACACAAACACACACGTGTGGGTCTGTGTTGCAACACAAATACACGTGTGTGGGTCTGCGTCAAAGCGGTTTTATATTCGAATGAGCATCGAGGTGGCGCGCATCTCCGGTTTACAGCCCTGAGACGGCGACTTTCCACGTTCCTATGACGGTCGGTGATTCCATCCTCAGGACCACTCGGGTAATACGAACCATGCGTGTTAAACGTGGTAGTGGTCATTTTTTTTTGGTTTTTACAGTTAATACCCCCACTGCAGCATTAACCGGGGCTGCCAACGGGATTTGAACCGCGAACCCCTTGCAACGAGCAACGGGCTGCAGCGCTGCGGGCCCGCTCCGCTTCGTCCTACCATCTGCAGCAGCACGATGTTCTCGCGCAGCGCGCCTATGCAGCCGCAGAACGTGATGAGGAACATGAGGCCTCCGCCCACAATCAGCAGCACGGCCGGGTCGGCGATGAGCGTCGCCACCGCAGCGTCTGCGCAATGCACACAACGCACGCTGATTTGAGTGTTCACCCACGAAAGCCTCGTCGAGTCTCGCTCATATTCGAGAGCGTCCTGCCTAAGTTTATCGCAGTAGGGGGGGGGGGCGATGTTGCGGCTTCTGCTGTTGCTGCAGGTGATCCACATTTAGTGGTCTGCAGGTGATTTCTCAGCATTAGGGATGCTTTTTTGGCCAATACCAGTTACACCGAGTGGTTTTGTTTTAGCCGTGGGATGAATCCGCAGAACCCGGAGGAAACCCAAGCAGAAACAGGGGGAGAACATACATAGCGCCACTCTCACACACTCACACACACACTCTGCAGAACTCCACACAGAGAGGCACCCGAGTCGAGAATTGAACCCAGGCGCTCCATGAAGAGTGAGCATCAGCACTGTGCCACCGCCACCCACGCGTTACCCCCCCCCCCCCCTGCACGCAAGGGTTTCCTCCAGATTCCCCGGTTTATTCCCGTTGATAAAACAAAACCACAGTGTCATTGGTATTGGCCAAAAAAACATTCCCAATGCCGAGAAATTACCTGCGAATCAACCCAGCGCCACGGAGAACAAAGACACGGGAAGCAAAGCTTCCTTCACTTCCGGCGCATGTGGGTGTGGAGGCACGGCCGCCTCTCGGTCCGTGCCCTCCCCAGCCCTGACGTGCGTCTCCTCTGCTTTCCTCGCATCCTGCGATAGGCCCCTGTATCTGGTGTCACGGCGCTATTCGGGGCGCCTGAGTTGTCGTCGTGCTATGATCGGTCAAGAGGCAATTGGCCGGAGCCGACGCACACGCTGCACCGAGTTCGGCGTTGTTTTTGTGCAACGTTTTCAATGTCTCGTGTGATGTGACGCAGTTCTTTTTTGTGCTCATTTCAAATTTGCTGCTTCACTTGCTGTGCTCTATTTGTATTGCTTTTTTCGCAATTTTGGTGACCAGGTCCCTCTTGGGTTTCTCGAATTCTCACCCAGTTAAATAAAACCACTGATTACACGAACAGCCATGATCAATCCGCTGCAGGATGTTTTTTTTTATATTGAATGCAAAAAAACAAACCTTTGGCCAGATCGTTACGTGGTGTAACCCAAAAATCTATTATGGATCTTAATACTGGCTGGGAAAACCGACCACGTGTTAAGTGGTGATTATAGTTTATTGCAACTTACTACGGGACATCTGTAAAAAAATATTACCAAGCTGCAGCGTGCACAAAATTCTCTGCCACGTGTCGTGACGGGTACTGCGAGATCCTACTATGTCTGTCCAGTGCTCGCCAAGCTGCATTGGCTTCCGGTTACCAAACGAACACGTGACGAGGTCGCACTCATTACACACGCACAAAGTGCTTGCTACGAATTAACCAGAATACCTCGCTGATCTCGCCAAGGAGCATAAACCATCACACTAACTCCAGTCATCCTTGCAGCAGCGGCTTTTGGCGAGCTATTCAACAAAGATGGTCACAATGTCGTGTGCTTTCACGTGCGCTTTTTGCAGCCGTCTGGAAAGCTCTTAGCCACTGGTGCTTTGCACTTGTAAATCTAGATTGAAAACATTTCTTTAGAACTGCTTTTTGTGTTAACTTTTTTGTCCTTCCCCACACCTCCGATTAGTAAGTTTGGCTACGTACCTGTGTGAAAGAATTTCAACATACACAAAGTATAGTTTCACGGGTTCACGTTTAGAATCCAGCAGGCCACCCCGGTTAACACTGCAGGTGAATTAACCAAAAAACACTTCTCCTTGCATTCTGCTTGGTTAAAGTTTCCCGCGACGTCATTCGAAAAGAGTGGGCCACGTGTACCGGCGTCACAGTTCATATTAAAATAAAACACAATCCACTGAAATATAATCAATGGGGGACGATTGTGCACACAGGAGCAACATCGTCCCCCCCCCCCCCCCATGCTGTGAAACTCGTGCAACCTGTCTCCGTGAAACACAACGGCGCCTTCCTCCGTGGTGATCGCCCTGTGCCACCGGACCGACAGCGCCCATACCACACATGCACTCAATGGCTGCCGCTGTTCTTGCTGGTGGTTGTCCTTGCCGACTGTGGCTCGCACTGCGCGCTGGTGCCGTAGCACCCGAGCCAGGCTTCTGGCATCACCTGCAATCTTCTCCACCTTGGCATAGACCCCGACCGCCAGCACCACCACTGATATCACCTACAAAGACAAAGGCAAAAGATCCCCTATATAGCCTTTACAGACTGTGGGGGCAAGTGCTGTTCACGAGCACCTATGATGGCTGGCATGGTACACAAGGGGATGGGCGGTCAGCACCACACCTAACCCGCCTTTGTCTTCCCAGTGGTGATGTTTATACACCACATCAAGTACAAATTTGAGGCTGAGTCGACCTAGGGGAGCCCCAGAACCAGTTCAGAAAATCGTCACTTGTGTTGGCCGTGAGCGGGAATACGAAATCGGGGGTCGCCGGGTTCGTAGTGCAGCGCGCTCACCGTTGTACTACCGTTCCCGACTACACACACACCAGCCACATCAACACCATCATCAGCTACATCAACACCATTATCACCGGTCACATCAACGCCATCATCATCAGCCACATCAACACCATCATTACCAGCCAAATCAACACCATCATCACCAGCCACATCAACACCACCACCAACCACATTAAAAACAACACCCATGGCATTAACAACAGCCACACACCTTTTGCGAGGCTAGGTTCACCTTGAGGTCACGTGAATTGTGGAAGGCTCACTGGTAGGAGGTCACAGGGCAGACCCAGGTGCTACGTTGACCGAGATGGCTGGCAAGCTGCACAACCTATGCTCGTCACTGAGACAACTTTATACGTTTTAGCTGCCCGGCGCTTCACTTGTTGTGAGCATCCCCCTTCGCTGTTGCTGGAGGGAAACTGTCTCTACTTGCCCTGTAACGTCCTTGACGAGCCTCTCCACAAAGGGCAATTTTGACACCGCTGGGACCAGTCATCTGCAGGTCCACTCAGCTTCACATCCTCCTGTACCGCATCAGTCCATCTCCTCTCTATCCCATGCTCCACACATTTAGCCCACTCAATCGGCCAAAGAAGTCGCTGCTTGGGAAAGTGGTGGCTGGGCATGCGGGCTACGTTACCCAGAAAACACACCATCGCCTGCTGGTTAAGCTCACTGGTGGGACTGTGACCAGATCTTTCAAGGATCTGTGAGCTTGATACAATCCAGCCTGGTTCAACCCTAGGCAGGCTAGTCTGAATATTTCAAACCAGTGCAAATGTTCCTTAAAAGGGCTCAATGTTTCGCAAGCATAGAGAAGGGAGGGCAAAATTGTGGCTGGAGCTTCGTATTGAGTGACAGGCTAGGGAGCTTCCACACAGCATTATGCAGCTGATGAAAAGATAATGCTGCTCGACTGATTCAGTGAGACCTCCACTGCCAAACCAGAGCCACTCATAAGCATACTGCCCAGGTATGGGATCTCCTCCACCCTCTCCACAACTTCCCTATCACTCATGGGAGTATTTAATGACATAAAACACCCCGGCAGATGCTTTGTTTTTTGTGGGGCTGATGGTAAGGCCCCATATTTCTCAGCAATACACTCCAGGTTCAGCAGTAGCATCTCCAACTGTGTCTCACAGTGGAAAGCAAGCACGAAGAACAAGCAAGAGCCCTGGCCCATTGATGGTATCATAAGGCCTTGAGCAGGTCGATAAAGCAGAGATGTAGAGCCTGTTGAAATTCCCTACACCTCTGCTGTAGGCAGACGGACAAAGAATTTGGTGGTGCATAAATGATAGAGGTTTTTTTTTTGTTTAACACGTAGGCTTTCGCGACCAATATTATTCATAATAAAGGTTTTTGGGTTAGATCGCGTTTATTTATAAATGTGTCGTAACCCTCCACCACCCGACACGGCCAATCAGCAAAGAAAAGTGTCACGTTGACAAAAGACAAATAATTCACTACTTCAGCCCACCGGTGTGTTGAAGAGTTAATCCACATTTACAGTTTGAGTACGACGTTTCGCTGGTAAATACTTCCAGCATCATCGGGCAATTCGCCAGAATGGTAAAGCCCTCGCTTGCTCCCGGTTTTATATAGAGCAGAAGAGTGACGTCATCACTTAACTCATCAGGTGCAGTGATTAGAGGCGGAGGGGGGGGGGGTAATGTAATTATATAATCGATTAGTAATCAGTCATTGGTTATGATTAGTAATGAGTTGTAGATTAGTAATTCTTTAAATCAAAATGTAATGTGTATTATTTAATAATACGCTTCCAGGCCGCACTGAGCCGGTAGCTGTCAGAGCGATTAAAGTTATTCTTGTTCCTCTCAATTTCAATGGATTCTCTAATTAGTCTTTGCCAGTAATAATTAGTTTTACACACCACTGCAACATTGTCAAAATCAATTGAGTGTCCTTGTTGACAAGCATGTTCTGCCACTGCCGACAGTTGTGTTTGAGATAATTTAATATTTCTCTGATGTTCTTTTAGTCTTACGCTGATGTTACGTCCCGTCTGCCCAATGTAGCAGCTGCCACATGAACAATTAATCCGATATACACCTTCTGTTGATAGTTTAGGTAATGCGTCTTTAGTGCAAGATACTAGTTTTTGAATTTTGTGTACTGTACCAAATCTTACTGTAATGTTTTGCTTTTGCAAAACGCGGGCTAATTTGTCAGTTACTCCTGAGATATATGGAATTTTTATTGTTTTAACAATCTGGTCGCTTTCAGTAGTATTGCTTTGCGATCGTGATTTGGCATTCAGTGCTCTGTTAATTTGAGCATTATTGTAGCCATTCTGTCGTAGTGCGTCTTTAACGTGTTTAATCTCTCTCACTAGACTCTCACCATCTGACACTGTTTTCGCCCGATGCACGAGCGTCTTGATAAGAGAGGATTTTTGAGCTGGATGATGATGTGATTCTGCATTCAGATAGGCATCAGTGTGCGTTTGCTTTCTGTAAACGCTGTGTGTTATTTTACCGTTTAGGCCATGTCCAAGCAAAATATCTAGGAATGGGAGTGTATTATTCACCTCCATTTCCATGGTGAACTGGATGGCCGGGTTTTGTGCATTGAGATGATTTAGAAAATCATTAAGTGTATCTTTACCATGTGGCCAGACAACCAAAGTGTCATCCACATACCTAAACCAAAAGGATGGTTTTAATGTGCTCGAGGCAAGTGCTCTTATTTCAAAGTTTTCCATGTACAAATTTGCTATAGCAGGGGATAAAGGAGAACCCATTGCTGCTCCTTCCTTTTGTTTAAAGAAATCCCCTCTCCATAAGAAGTAAGTGTTATTTAAGCAATGGCCAGCAAGTTTCGGAATATCTTTTTGTAAACTGGTATTCTTTACTAGTGTATCAAGTAATTTAAGCGATTCGTCCACTGGAACCTTAGTGAATAGAGAAATCACATCAAAGCTTACCAGAATATCATCAGGAGTAAGTTTAATATCTTTAATCACATTTACAAGATGTTCTGATTTTTTTATGAATGAAGATGTCTTACCGATGTAGGGCTGTATTTGTTTGGTTATATATTTTGCTAATTGATATGTGGCAGAGCCAATTGTGCTGACTATGGGTCGTAATGGGATGCCGATTTTATGAATCTTTGGTAGCCCATAAAGTCTAGGTGGTTTTGAGGCCCTTGGCTTAATTAGGTATTGCTCATTTTTAGGGATTAATGAATTTGCAATTATTGCAGTGGTCTTACGTTCTAAAGTATTAGTTGGATCTCGTTTAATTTTAATGTAGGTACTTTCCTCTAGTAAATTTCTAATTTTATTATCATAATCGGCTCGTGACATCAGTACAGTAGTGCGGCCTTTATCAGCTGCTAGGATTTGGATATCCTTATTTACACGCAGCTCTCTTAAGGCTTTTGCCTCGTTAGAGCTAATATTTACTTTTGGAACTTTGTTATTCTCAATTATTTTAGCAACCTCATGTCTAGTCATCTCTGCCTCATTATGTGGAAGGAGTCTAACTGCTGATTCTACCTCAGCAATTATCTCATCCACTGGAATTGTGCGTGGGGTAACGGCAAAGTTAAGGCCTTTAGAAAGGATAGAGACCATGTCACTGGTTAATACAGTGTTGGTCAAGTTCAGTACAGTTTTGTTTTTACATTTTTGGGTTTCAGTAGGGATTTGTTTATTATGTAGTCTAGAAAATTTATTAATTTGGTTAGTTTTTGTTAGTTTAAACACATTATCAGCCGATTGTTGTGTTATGTTATCGATTATATTCCAATAATGCATAGATAATTTTTTATGAATGAAGATGTCTTACCGATGTAGGGCTGTATTTGTTTGGTTATATATTTTGCTAATTGATATGTGGCAGAGCCAATTGTGCTGACTATGGGTCGTAATGGGATGCCGATTTTATGAATCTTTGGTAGCCCATAAAGTCTAGGTGGTTTTGAGGCCCTTGGCTTAATTAGGTATTGCTCATTTTTAGGGATTAATGAATTTGCAATTATTGCAGTGGTCTTACGTTCTAAAGTATTAGTTGGATCTCGTTTAATTTTAATGTAGGTACTTTCCTCTAGTAAATTTCTAATTTTATTATCATAATCGGCTCGTGACATCAGTACAGTAGTGCGGCCTTTATCAGCTGCTAGGATTTGGATATCCTTATTTACACGCAGCTCTCTTAAGGCTTTTGCCTCGTTAGAGCTAATATTTACTTTTGGAACTTTGTTATTCTCAATTATTTTAGCAACCTCATGTCTAGTCATCTCTGCCTCATTATGTGGAAGGAGTCTAACTGCTGATTCTACCTCAGCAATTATCTCATCCACTGGAATTGTGCGTGGGGTAACGGCAAAGTTAAGGCCTTTAGAAAGGATAGAGACCATGTCACCGGTTAATACAGTGTTGGTCAAGTTCAGTACAGTTTTGTTTTTACATTTTTGGGTTTCAGTAGGGATTTGTTTATTATGTAGTCTAGAAAATTTATTAATTTGGTTAGTTTTTGTTAGTTTAAACACATTATCAGCCGATTGTTGTGTTATGTTATCGATTATATTCCAATAATGCATAGATACACTATTGCTTATATCTAAGTGTAACTGCTTTAGCGATTCCGAAATGTAAGATAATTCACTCCTATTGTGCTGTATTCTCTCTATTAATAATAATTCGCTAGCTTTGTGTAGTATTTGGTT